TCGGCCAGCAGGCACCACAAGGTGTCTGCAGCGTCGCTGGGGGACACTGTTCAACAAACGGTGTGTCATGCACGGGGTCTGGTGCAGCACAAGAGGAGCCAAGCACACTTCCTTGTGGGCGCAGGCCTTCCGCAGCGTCAAGATTCTGGTTCAAGCAAAGCGGTGCATCAGCCTGCTGATTGTGGTCTTGTGGCTGGCGCATATCGCTTCCCTTTCTGCGAGCTTTTGTGGGTGGGTTCAGCACGTGGACCACACCCCATTTTCAGGGTTGGGCTTCTCTTGAGCTGTCCGATTTCCACTATCCCAAAACACCGCAAGCTAAATCCAAGGAGTAGGGGTGGGGTTTCAGTTTAAAAGCTGACGCAGACACGCACTGCGACGTCTTTCATGACGGCAGGCACAGGTCGCTCACTGTTCCCTTGCTCCTTGTTCTCGTCAGGTGCTTTGTTGCAGCTGCTTAAGCCTTTGTGTCGTCTCAGACAGCAGCTAGAAATGGCATGCGCTGCTACAATACTACTTTATTCAGGCTGCAGTTCTGCGGAGCGTAGCTCCACAAGCAAGTGCGGTTGTCTTAGTGCTCAGCAGCATATCAGTTCGCAGCAATAGTCGGCTGCCTGCTTGCGCTTGTTCTTGTCAGTTCCCTTTCGCGGTCGGGTTTGCCTGGTGAGCTCAGATGCAAGAACACTGCTCCGACACAGTTTCCAGGGATGTCCAGGGTCTCCCTCATTTTTCACCGAGCCGACTCCGAAAAGCAAACGGTTAGACTCCCAAAAGCCTTTCGCGATCTGAACCGCGCCTAAATTTGTCCATAGCAGAGCCGCTGGAAACTTTGAGCTGCCCGTAGGCACTCTTGCACCGGAATGTCACACACAGGGTCTGCCCGATGCTCACTTTTTGAGCTGACGCAAAGGATAAGGGAGACACTTCTTCCGCTCGCCATGCAGCTTTTTCCTGGTCTTGGGGCACTGGATCTCGGCTGTCTTGCGCCCTCCTGAACGATCAAACGCTCCTGGGAGTGACTTGCGCAACTCATGTTACCCATGTGGTGTCATTGTCGATTGTCGGGGTCTATATTTGTCAAAGTCCGATAATTTCGGGGTGTTGATGGGGTCGTCGATGTCGATAAACTATCACGTGCAGCATTCTCCGCATAACATGTCGGCACGACATGACATGTCACAGCGGCCCTGAAGGCATTCATGATCAGCGCAAGGCACTTGGGGACCGTAAGCTCCAAAAAACTCAGACATGGAAGCTGTGAGGGTGGCGACCTTTGTGTTTTTGTAGGCTTCTGGGCTTCGAGTGAGAGCTGTTGGGCCGTCGGGATACTTGAAGATGTCTGAACCCTGTTCTGGCATGTTCTTGTTGAGGTCGGGATGTTCGTGTTGAGGCGGGTTGCCTGGCCAACATATACAGTAGGACACTCGACTAACGGACCCTGAGGGTGCATTCTGAGCCCTCTAGCAAAGGATGTTGACTTCGAAAACGTACATCGCATAGCACACGCCGGTGCCTTTCGCTGATGGCACTGGGCTTCCAATCGCCAGGCGCCTAACCATCGAGCCCTTTTTACCCCTTGCTTTGTGCAAGCGCGCACCTGCAAGAGACGGCGCAAAGCTTGCGCGACCGCTTTTTACGAAGGAACCTGTGGCCAGAAATCGGAGCCAAATTGGCTTAGCAGTATCCGGGTCTCTATGACTTAGATTAGAAAAAGCCGTGCGTAAGATGAACCACCTGCTGCACAGAGCCTCTGCAGCCTCTGCAGCCTCTGTGACTTCTGTGACCTTTGTGCGCCTGGCTTGGAAGCGGTCCCGCGCACGGCAAGCAAGTATGCTGTGGTACCCGCGCCAGGCCCTTGGCAAGCCCCTCCAACATTGGCACCGAAGCTCTCCAGAGCTGCACAGCAAGCTGCACCCTTTGCGGCATGGCCTTACCTCGGCACCTGAAGACCTCGAAGCTCAAGGTTTGGGGATTCTGGTGCAGGGAAACCTCTAAGCCGAACATTCCAAACCCCTGAGACCCTTAGTTGTTTTACATCACTCTTGGCTCCCCAAGCCGCCAGAAGCCTAAAGCACAGACAACCTAAACCTTGATTGCTGTCCACCCCAACCCTAAACGCTCACCAAGATAGAGGCCCGGCTCGGGAAAAGCGAGGCAGCATTGGAGCACACTCTCCTCGGTCAAGCTTCGGCCGGGAGATATTTGGGCAACTGCACAAGACGCAAGACGAATTTCTGCGCCACAGTCCCTTACTACCGATGAAGGGCACGCGGGATGCCGCACCGCAGCTGCGAGAATGCTCTGACATTGCCGGAACATGGTTTTGACCAGTGTGGCCCAAAGTGCCTTCTCCGTGGTCCCCCGTGGACCCGCGAAGGCATGCCCGCGCGAGATCTGAGGTTTGTACGATGCTGCAAGTGTCTAAGGGCCACGTACCCTGACTGCCCATTGAGGCATTTGAGACATGGAAGCGCAGTGAGGCTAGTGCAGCACCCAAGTAGGAAAACCAGCGCTCCCGAAACAACACCTTTGCAAAAAGCCCTATGTGGACATCATCAGTTTGGGGTAACTGAAGTCATCCAAAGCAAAAGCCACAGGCTTGGCTCGGCCGCCCTGATGAGCCATTGCTGGTAGGGTCGCGGAGTGTCCCAGAGCCGGCTGTGGGCCCGAAGAAGGCCTGAAGCCATGTGGCGGCATGAGGATATGCGGACCTAACAATTGCATTTATCTTGCTCCCCGGAAGCTGCAGCAGAGGCGATGCCTCGCCTGCCACCGCCCCGCACCGGCCGGTCTTTGCTGGGAACACGCCCGCGCAATGACATTAAATAGGAGGTCTTGATGACTTGATGTGTAAGGGGCGCAGCTAAGTATCAGGCCAGGATCAGGATGCCGCACCCCAAGCGGCACAAACCCCGGCCATATCATCCAGGACATGGCGCTCTCTTCGTGATATGCAAAACGAGCTGGATTGCGTTGCTGCGTCTGAAGTTAGCCGTGTGCAGTATTAGACAGTGCCAGGCGTCGCGCATGTTCCAACGTGGGCGGCTACAATGGCCATCTGCATTGTCTGCAAGCCGCCTAGGTCCAGGCAAGCCTTGTCAGCGTCGGAAGAGACTTCGGAGACTTCGGGAGTGTTTTGAACGCAAGTGCTGAACAGTGCTCACAAGTGAGCACGCATTGAGCATTCAGCGGCGGACTCAACGAACATGTGACAGTGACAGTGGTACCCCCCGTGCCCTCGTGCGCCTCAGGCGCGCACCAGTACGCGTGCACAAGGCCCTGCTGTCTTTTTCTGCTGGCCATGGACTTGTGCAGCAGCTCACGGTTGCTTTCAAAAGGTTTTTGCGCAGAAGATGTCTCGGCAGTCTTTGATGAAGGTCAGGGGAAGCGTGGCTCCGCAGAGTGTAGCTTAGCAAGCGCTGAAGCCAGCGGAGACATGATGTGACCACAGCCCTGCAGATTCAAGATCGCCGATGCTTGCCGAAGGTAAGGCCGGGCTGAAGCCTCCAACCGAAAGTCTTCTGTTCCTTCAGCCTTTAGCCAGAAACATTATGACATTGGGCAACTGCTACACTCTTGACAAAGAAGGCCTCAGGCCCCTACACCCAGCTGACAACATGAAAGCTGGCCGACGCCTGGGCTCTGCGTGGTTTCTGAGACGTTCCCTCATGTCTACGTAGGTGATGGGCAGGTATAGGCAGCTCGTTCAGCGGCGCAAGCCCAGGCGATTCTTCCCCCAAAATGCAAGCAAGGCATGTCCGCAACAGCTTCCACGGCTTCCATGCGCCACCTCCGAGCTTCCGCCACTTCCCCACTTTCGCTCCTCGGGTTTGCTGAACCCTTGGACTCCCGTGGACCGATTGGATCCACATCCCTATAAGCTCAAGGCTCACCTCCACAAAGTGTTGATTACATTTCATCACTTTGCTGGTGACAGGACCGGATAGCCAAAATGCCCTGCTGCTCAGAATCAACGTCTGCTCATGAACCAACTGTTGGCCGGGGCATTTTGGGTATGTCGGGCGGCGCTTACCAGTGCCGTGCTGATGGCTCAGAGCCCCAGCCCCTGGCCCTGTGCCACGATACGGCGCTGCTCATTCGGATTCAGAAGGTTTCAGCCCTCAGGCTGGCTCTCTGAGGGCTTTCCGGCACTTTCAGAGCTGTTGCCGGAGCCCTCTTGCGGCCTGCCTTAAAATGTTACAAATTCCATGCCCTTCCACAGTAGAGGGGCTGAGAGTTTCAGGAACTTCGACCCTTAAGTCGCCCTCACTTACAGAGGCTCAGCCGGTTTGACGTCAGTGGGATGTCTGGATTTATCACGTGTCCCAAGACTGGCAGGGCACCTGGGCATGTGACTTTGGCTTCACATGCTTGCGGGCACCGGAGACAAAGGAGGTTGGGGTTTAAGGGCTCAGGGTCAGAAGGGCAGAGTAGATTCGGTGGATGCGTGAGGGGAGAGCAAGATCGAGTCAGGGTCGACCGGCGCTCAATGAGCGGGCAATGGCAACGGGGCCGGCACCGAGGTCGGGTCAACAGGGGGAGAGGAAGAGAGAGAGTGAGTGAGAGAGGGAGACTAGCTGACTAGCTCCCTCTCGGGGGGGCCAAACGTGTGGAGTGTGGAGAGAGAGAGAGAGAGCGAGAGAGGGAGACTAAAGATAAAGATAAAGATAAAGATCAAGATAAAGAAGAAGAAGAGGGAGACCAGGCGGCCTGCTCTTCGGAGGGGGGTTATGTGCTTGGAAGGAAGAAATAGAGGAAGACCCTCAAGCGAGAGAGAGGGAGCCAGGTGGCCGCTAAGTGTGGCCGCAGGGGCATATCCGGGCCAATTGGAGTGCACTCATGAGGGGGGAGGGGTGGAGCAAGTGCGTGGCTTGAAAAGACTCTGCCAGTTCATTATACAAAAGCGTCATTAAGTATATTGGTTGATCGCCGCAGAATTTTCATCGAGCTCGTTTTTTGGGAAATACACAGAGCGCATGGCAGGCTGTTCATGAAGCTGCATGAAGCCTTGGTCTCCTGGCCCGCTTCGCCTGGCCCGCCTGGCCTGCTGGTGCATCGCTGCGCCCTCCCTCCAATTCCGTTATAACTTTTATAACTTGCCTAGCCCTCGGAATGCTTAAGACTACTTTTGGTAATTCGGTAGTTTTGATATCGGAAATAAATGGCTTAAGCATTCCAAGGGCTTAGCGGTCGGGCTAAGGACTCTGGGAGCTCATGCTCGTTGTGTGATCCAAAGGGGCCTTTTCAGGGACGTATGTGGCCATAGGGGTATGTTATCCAGACCCACAACCTGATCTGTGCAAGCGTGAAGCTCTCAGTCAAGTTGTATCTCTCACACCAACCGGTTAAATTGTGCTGTGTCATGATGTTTTGGTAGAAGTCGTTGGTCAGAATAGACTGTTTTGCCACGACGTTTTTGTTTCGGGCTCGCGTAAATCATGATTGACGTGGTGTGCTTCCACACACTGAACATCAATGGTCAGCTAAAATGCCATCTTTGGTAGGCCACGTTATCTAGTTTTAAGTGTGTTGGCGCCAAGAATTTAGGAGTCAATTGAATGGCCCGTGAGTGTTTGGACACCCAGCTTCCTGAGCAGTTAGTCTTTCTGCCGAATTTATCTCAGATTGGGTGGCTGAAATGTGTTGTCGGATGACCTGTTGGGAGAAGCCGGTTGTCAAAACAGATTCCTGTGCCACGACATTTCTCGTTGAAATCACGCTTGCTTTGCAAGTGCCAACACCGTGTGCCCTCGAAAATTCATCCAGGATGATTTCTTCACTGCCGAGATTTGGCCCAAAGCAGGGGCATTTCACAGACGCATGGGTTCACAGCAGGTCCTGTCTCTCGGTGTTAGTGCCACTGTCTTGCATGAAGGTGCTGATTTTTGTTGTTCGCAGGTTATTTTCGGAAACGCACACTGCTCATCTGGCTCCGTGACTCAAACTCTTTGTGAAGTATTGCGCACCTAGCCAATACATGTGGCCCTCCATCGAACGTTCCCGAATGTCCCTAACACTCCGAAAGTTCCTGCGAGGCCGATCCAGAACGAATTTGTGAGGCTGATCCGAACGATCCCGAACGATCCCGAACGATCCCGAACATTCCCGAACGATCCCGAACGATCCCGAACGTTCCTGCGAGGCCGAACCAGAACGATTCTGTGAGGCCGATCCCGAACGATTCCGAACGATTCCGAAGGATCCCGAACGATCCCGAACAATCCCGAACGATCCCGAACGTTCCTGCGAAGCCGATCCAGAACGATTCTGTGAGGCCGATCCCGAACGATTCTGTGAGGCCGATCCCGAACGATTCCGAACGATTCCGAAGGATCCCGAACGATCCCGAACGTTCCCGAACGATCCCGAACGTTCCCGAACGATCCCGAACGTTCCTGCGAGGCCGATCCAGAACGATTCTGTGAGGCCGATCCCGAGCGATCCCGAACGATCCCGAACGTTCCCGAACGTTCCCGAACGATCCCGAACGATCCCGAACGATCCCGAACGTTCCTGCGAGGCCGATCCAGAACGATTCTGTGAGGCCGACCCCGAACGATCCCGAATGATCCCGAACGATCCCGAATGATCCTGAACGTTCCTGCGAGGCCGATCCAGAACGATTCTGTGAGGCCGATCCCGAACGATCCCGAACGTTCCCGAACGTTCCCGAACGATCCCGAACGTTCCTGCGAAGCCGATCCAGAACGATTCTGTGAGGCCCATCCGGAACGATCCCGAACGATCCCGAACGTTCCTGCGAGGCCTATCCAGAACGTTTCTGCGAGGCCGATCCCGAACGATCCCGAACGATCCCGAACGATCCCGAACGTTCCCGAACGATCCCGAACGATCCCGAACGATCCCGAACGATCCCGAACGATCCCGAACGATCCCGAACGATCCTGCGAGGCCGATCCTAATAAATATTAATAATATTTTAATTAATTTTTTAATTTTAATTAATTTTAACTAATTTTAATTCATTTTAACCAAATTTTACTTAATTCTAATAAATTTTATTTAATTTTTTAATTTTAATTAATTTTAACTCATTTTAATTCATTTTAACTAATTTTTAATTAATTTTAATTAATTTTAATTTATTTTAATTAATTTTAATTAATTTTAATTTATTTTGATTTATTTTAATTTATTTTAATTTTAATTAATTTTAGTTAATTAATTTTAAATTAATTTTAATTCATTTTAATTCATTTTAATTAATTTAGAACGATTCTGTGAGGCCGATCGAACGATCCCGAACGGGCGGGGAGGGGGGGGGGGCGGGGGGAGTGGGGGGGAGGGAGGGGGGCGGAGGGGGTGGGGGGGGGGGGGTGGGGGTGGGGGGCGGTGGGGGCGGGAGGGGGGGGGGGGCGGGGGGGGGGGGTGTGGGGGGGAAGGGGGGGGGGGTCGGGCGGGGGTGGGGTTCGGGATCGTTCACAGAATCGTTCTGGATTGGCCTCCGCGGCAACGTTCGGGATCGTTCGGGACCGTTCGGGAACGGCTTCATAGGATCGTTCGGGATCGTTCGGGATCGTTCGGGATTGTTCGGGATCGTTGGGGATCGTTCGGGATCGTTCGGGATCGGCCTCACAGAATCGTTCTGGATCGGCCTCGCAGGATCGTTCGGGATCGTTCGGGAACGTTCGGGATCGTTCGGGATCGGCCTCGCAGAATCGTTCTGGATAGGCCTTGCAGGGATGGGCCTCGCAGAATCGTTCTGGATCGGCTTCGCAGCAACGTTCGGGATCGTTCGGGAACGTTCGGGATCGTTCGGGATTGTTCGGGATCGTTCGGGATCGGCCTCGCTGAATCGTTCTGGATCGGCCTCGCAGGAACGTTCAGGATCATTCGGGATCGTTCGGGATCGGCCTCACAGATCGTTCTGGATCGGCCTCGCAGGATCGTTCGGGATCGTTCGGGATCGTTCGGGATCGGCCTCGCAGAATCGTTCTGGATAGGCCTCGCAGGAACGTTCGGGATCGTTCGGGATCGTTCGGGATGGGCCTCACAGAATCGTTCTGGATCGCAGGAACGTTCGGGATCGTTCGGGAACGTTCGGGATCGTTCGGGATTGTTCGGGATCGTTCGGGATCGGCCTCGCTGAATCGTTCTGGATCGGCCTCGCAGGAACGTTCGGGATCATTCGGGATCGTTCGGGATCGGCCTCGCAGAATCGTTCTGGATCGGCCTCGCAGGATCGTTCGGGGTCGTTCGGGATCGTTCGGGATCGTTCGGGATCGTTCGGGAACGTTCGGGATCGTTCGGGATCGTTCGGGATCGTTCGGGATCGGCCTCGCAGAATCGTTCTGGATAGGCCTCGCAGGAACGTTCGGGATCGTTCGGGATCGTTCGGGATGGGCCTCACAGAATCGTTCTGGGTCGGCTTCGCAGGAACGTTCGGGATCGTTCGGGAACGTTCGGGATCGTTTCGGGATCGTTCGGGATCGGCCTCGCAGAATCGTTCTGGATCGGCCTCGCAGGAACGTTCGGGATCGTTCGGGATCGTTCGGGATTGTTCGGGAACGTTCGGGATCGTTCGGGATTGTTCGGGATCGGCTTCACAGGGTTCTTTCATCGGGATCGTTCGGGATGGTTCGGGAAGAAGGGGTGGGGGGGTGGGGGGGGGGGGGGGGGGGGGGGGGGGGGGTGGGGGGGGGCGGGGGTGGGGGGGTTGGGGGGGTGGTTGGGGGGGGGGGGAGGGGGGTTGGGGGGAACAACACCTGACAAGAGTGTTTGCCTCCAATAAATCACGTGGAGCACAGCTTATCAACGACAACAAAGCCTAACGCAGCCAACTGCTGCCGACCACTGTGCACCGATGAAACCCGGACAAAGACAGACGACTCGCGCCGGTTTTGCTTCCAATATACGTCGCAGAGCACAGTTTATCAACGTCAATAAAGCCAACTATTGCCGACCACTGAACCCGAACAAAGACAGACACCTCACACCAATTTTGTTTCCGATATACATCGCAGAGGACAGCTTATCAACGACACAAAAGTCTAATATCAGTCGAATAAAGCCATTTATTGCCGACCACTGTGCACCGATGAAACCCGAACAAAGACATGCACCTCGCACCAGTTTCGCCTCTAATACACAACGTGGAGCGCAGCTTATATAGCTTATCAACGACAGCAAAGCCCCATAAAGCCAAGTATTGCTGACCACTGTGCACCTATTAAGCCAGAATAAAGATAGACACCTCACACCAATTTTGCGTCCAATATACATCGCAGAGGACAGCTTATCAATGACACAGAAGCCTAATATCTTCAACTGTTGACGACCATTGTGCACCGATTAAACCCGAACAAAGACAGACACCGCACACCAGTTGTGCTTGCAATTTACAATGCACAGCACAGCTTAAAAACAAGAAAAGACGCTCAATAAACGCAACCGCCTTACATCTTTTCCGACATGAATATCAACCACCACGTACGTTTCACGCACGCTTCAAACCCAAAAAAACACTTCAGTAATCCCCCAAAAACATCAGAAACACCAGCCACCTGGCACCAATTAATCATCGCAACAGCCACCCCCCCCCGCCCCACAAAAACAAGACAACGACAACCTACCAACACCAATAAAAACAGCCAAACGATAGCCCCATGCAACACGCCCGGGCCTGCACATAGCACCGTTTCCCCGGTAGTCTTAAGCATTCTGAGGGCTAGCCAATTTATAACTCATCGGGCCTTCGTTTAGGGCTTCTTGTAGTTCAGTTCCGAGAAGGTTTTCACCTAAGCGCAGTTCTGAAACTGTCAAATGCCTTCTAGGCAACCGAGCATGTGCTTTGAGGTTCGTAAGTAGCTGTGATTTTTTGTGCTTCGCCCCAAGGGTCCTGGAACCTTACATCCTGTGGGCCCAATAGGAGCTAACTGATGCAATGGCCAATAACCTCAAACCTGAACGCCCCAGACCCCCTGAACCCTTGAAGCTCCAAGTGAGTCAACTCTAAACCTTGAATGCCCCGAAGCCCTTAAACCCCCTAAACCCCTTAAGCCACTTGACCCCCTTAACCCCCTTTAAGCCCCTTAAGCCCCTTAGGCCCCTTGACCCCCTAAAGCCCCTTAAGCCCCTTAAACCCCCTAAACCCCCCAAAAACCCCCTAAAACCCCTAAAACCCCCTTAAGCCCCCTGAAGCCCCTTAGCAGCCTGTGTTCGAGTGAGGCGTGGGGCTTGACGGGTGCCAGGGGCATCCGTGGCCTCGCCGTGTCTGGCACTTCGCGGTCAGCCGCGAGCTCCGGCCTCCACAAGGCTTCAGGGTTTAGGGTTCTGGGGTTCTAGGGTTTAGGGTTCTAGGGTTCTAGGGTTCTAGGGTTCTAGGGTTTAGGGTTAGCTTCTGTAGGGGATTTTCACGAGGGAAGTTGAGGGAAGCTTGAGGAAGTCTGGGGTTCATTTTTTGGGGGCTTTATGTATTCAGATGTTGTGCTTGTTTCTTTCAGCTGCCTCTCCAGGCAATCACTTTCAGCCGCCAGACGCTGGCCGCCATTAGGCAAGGAACCTCTTCTGATTTTGGGGAGGACGGCGATGATGAGCTGGAGGCAGAGGAAGACGCTGGGCTGTAGGTGCGGAACAGGGCACAAGCTGGCTTACAGGGGTTCTGTTCTGGGGGGTGTGGTCCGCGCATTGTTGTCACTTGAAGAATTGTTGGCTTTCTTGTCAAGAGAATCCAACGGACAAAGGTCGTTTCTGTTTCTGTTCGGGTTCCGAGGACGCAGCCGAGATGACATCAAGCTTGTTCAATGCAACGCTGCAGAAGTGCTTGGAGCTCGGCAACAATCGCGATGATTCATCAGCAGTTTTGCGGAAGAAGGTCAGCGAGATATGTCGGCAAGCTGACGCGAAAGGCTTGGTGCAAAAGCTGTCAGCAAAGATCAATGACGAGACAGTGGCAACTTGGCTGTGTCAAGGCACTGGCGTGTCTTCGCCAGAGGATCTGGAAGCTTGCCGACAAACAGGCAGGCCTTTGCCTAGCGTTGAAACTTGCGTTCCTTTGGTTTATGTTATGAGATAGCCAAGCACCGCAAGATTCAAGCCCACCTTGATTGAAGCCTGGGTTGAAGTAGCCTTTAGGCTGGAGTACGATAATCCTGGAATGCACAAATCTCCTTCAGATGAGCAAGCGAGGTTAGAGACTTTGGAGACCCCTTCCAGGTCAAGTTTTGCTGGGAGGTTTGGGCGAGATGGTCGAAACGGCCGTGTCGCCCGAGGCGCTGGCAAAGTTTACGCTGCTTGGGAGTCCAGCAGATCATCCTTTGGCTTTTAAGGGCTTTGTGTAGGCTATACGGCTATACGTGCAACAGCCCCAACAAAACTGTTTTGTGCTGCAGCTCGTAGGAGCCAGCACTTTTCTATATTTTGTGCAATGGCAGGCTTCTTAAATTACCCGAGAAGTGCTGTCATTGAGCATTTGTTGGTTACCAGTAAGGATGTATTCCATCAAGGCTGTGGCCACCCTGGCGCCTCTTCCACCACCCTTGGGTGTGTTACTCAATAAGGCCGGGGGGGGGTTGGGTTGATCGCGCTTTGAGGCATCACGCGACCACAAAGCATTCCATGTCAAGCTCCCATAGAACCTTCTGAAAGCCCTTCTGAAAGCTTTGATCAACAAACGCCAATGAAGTCTTTGCTCGGTCTTTGTATGCGGACCCCGTGGGCGAACTTGGTCATTTTTAGGCCCTTCCGTATGGTTCTCTGTTTCTGCATGCAAAAGCGCAGCCTGAGGGCGGTCTTTTGTAGAAATCTTGCGAGTCGCATCTGCATGATCTGAGCCGTGTGTGAGCAAGGCACATCCGCACCCCAAAACTGGCGAAAATTGAACTTGGCCCTTGGCATGCCCTGCGATGCTCGATGCTCTGAGTCGTGTGGTCGCCTGAGTCGCGTGATTCGGGCGAGCGATACGTCCAGCCCGAATTTAGCAGATGAAAACTTGGAACTCGGCGTTGGGCAGAGGCCGCGGACATGGTCCTCAACCGGCTCAGCAAGGAGGCAGAGGCGCAGCTGGAAGACTTGGAGGAGACATCGATGACGTGTGTTTTTTTTTTGGCCTTCTACTAGAGCAATTATGAAGCACTGAGCTCACATACTCTGGCCTGTACTTGCGTGGCACTGCTTGTAGAGATAGCGAGCTCTTGGTATCACGAGGGAGTGCACACAGCAAGCGGCCTGCAGGAGAAGATGGAGCAAGTCAGCCGCAGGGTGCTCAACGAGGAACTCTTGCGCTTGGGGGCCGCTCAGGCAAGGGCTGGCGAAGATCAAATCCAAGAGATGGCGACGCTGGATGCCAGTCTTAGGGATGCCATTGAGTCCAGCAACTGGGGCAATGGGCTATCGAAACTCGCCGGGGCTTTGAGTAAGTCAGGCAGCTTCAACCGCTGGGCCAGCATCGAGCAGAACCTTGCTACCAGCCTTGAGCTGCTAAGGCCACCAAGCTCTGTTTTGGATGTGTGAGAACGTGCCAACTTTGCCAAACTCCTGAAGCCACATCTCGAGATGCACATGCTCGTATTGTCATACATGAACCGAGCAGTGAAGGGCAACAGGCGCCAAGCTCGGGTGCGGAGGATACTGGAAAGAAAAGCTCGGCGCGCGGCCCGCCTCATCCTTCCTGATGTGCTCTTGCTGAGTGCCGGAAACAGGGATACGTCGACTTCACGCGCTGCCATGACAAAGGCAGCTCTCAGTAGCCCGTTGCTGCCACAATCGAGGGACAAGGCATGTAGCGACCTTCAAGGCACAGATGGTTTCGAGTTCGAGTACCTCGTTGCTTGCTTGTGGTTTCCACTTACCGCAAAGGACGCAGAGATGCATGCTGCTCCTCTGGCTTCACCCAGGAGAGTATCCATGGTGCAGACAAGGACGAGCAACTACACCATGGTCACCTTCAATGGGAAGGACAAGCAGGAAAGTGACGCCACGACTGTCGATCCAGTTCATGGGGCACCTAGGTCTGCATTTTTGAAAATTTCAAAGCGAAGCGGCGACTAGCAAACGGCCAAGAGCACTCCTTGCAGCAGTTCATCAGAAGGCCTTTTGCCATCCTGAACCTGTTAAGTCATGGCTTCCAGCGGAAATGCAGCAAACCCCCAACGCCTTGATCCTTGATGAACGATCCCCTGCGCTGACAATGAGAGCCTGGCACTTGCTGAGGCAAACGGGGACCGGATCGAATGCGAGGAGTCGCAGCACATAGAGCCGCTTAGTGCTAAAAAATGAGCAGTGCTGGCAGGCTTTCTGGTCCTTGAGCACGGTGTGACTTCAATCCTGACTGTGAAGTAAGGTCAATACACCTGGGCTACAAAGTCCAGTCCTTCGGCAGGTCATCGATGCGAGCTCTGGCTTTGCAGTAAGTCCAGGTTGTCATCTTTAGGGTTTGAGACATCAGGGCAGGGGTTGCATTCCCGACTGCCCATGGCGAAGCCGAGTGTTGTTGTGGGATGGTGTGGGGTGAGATATTGTGAGACGGGCCAGAAGCCGGGTTCATGGATCGTCCGGCCTGGAATGCATATGGGAAACCTGGACCCACGATGCTCCGGAGCTGTAATCCCATAGGCCCATAGTGCCTGTTTTTTGTGACAGCTTTCGAAGCCTTCAGGTCCTCGGTCTAAGATCCTCACTTCAACTCCCACTCTGAACTCTACACGTTGGGCGCGTTGTCACTCCGAGGAGTGTTCGGAGGCTGTGCCTCGAATCATGCTCAGCGCCACATGGCCTTCATGACACCAGGACTCGGGTTTTCCATGGTGTTCTGTGCAGTTGTAAATTTCGCTACTGATGCTGGTTGTTGGTTTTCTTGAGGCACGCCTTATGAGTTATGTGTCTGGGGATTTGGGGGGTTTGTCTTCTTCGCATCCCGAAGCAAACTGCGTTGCAAGTTTATGTGCACAGAGTTGAAATGCGGGAAGCAGATGGTTTAAACCTTGTTGCGTCGTTTGGGATGTGCCAGCTTGGGTGCTAGATTGTACTTGCCGTTTTCGATACAGTATAGTCACTTTTGGGGACTGCTGCGTGATCAAATTCAAGTTTAAGCACGGCTGGTACCCTTACGATGATTCCATCCATCAAGCTACCTGGAGGCCTCTGCGGCGAATTCGTTCCTTGGTTGTTAGGCACACTCTTTTCAGCTTCTTTTCAGGTTGATAGAAGCAGTTGAAGACCTAGGAGTTTTGTGCGGGACTCAGTTCCCAACATGCTTACTCTCAAGGAAGTTGGACGGCCAGTAAGGTCAACCTGTTCCATGAGCAATCGATTGGTGAGATGACTGCGGTGGAGCTTCCGTCCTCCAACGCCAGGGCACCGTTTGACCTCTTGAACGACGTCGTCAATAGCACCTGTTGCTCATCCCTCGAACCGTGATCTTTTCGGCTTTCTGTGTAGTGAAGTTTGGGAACTTTTTTTTTGGGGGTCTTCGCTGTTTTTCAAAATGGCCAATCGAAGGCTACCTTGCGAATGCTTGGTCACATCAAGCTTACAGATTGCCCGAGAGCTAGAACCAGGACTTCCCCTGAGGGCACTCGACCTGCCTGCCCGAGCGGACAAAAGTATGTTTCTCGATCTGAATCAAGCATGGCAGACAGGGTGATGTATTTCCAACCGTGGATAAACTTCCGAATGAAGGGGCGGCCGCGAAGCTTCAGGTTTGCTGGTTTACTGCAGCTCGAGCGCCTCCTTGGTAAAACTGCTGCACTGCAGGAAAGCAGTTTGTGCCGATATTTAGCTGCTGCAACTGCGAGGAACAAGCCATCATGAACATGTGCGTGCTCTCGGTTTGCAGTTGTAGCCTGTGAGATGTGCTAACATGAAAATTGCAGAGAGATGCATCATATTCGTACACCTTGAGTTGGGCGAAGGCTCTCGTACATTTTTCAAGGTAGTCAACGTTGGCAGAAGTGTACTTGTCTTGCACGGTAGACATAGCGACATGAAGCGGGCGGGCTTTGGTGCCGGCACGGGCCTCGGATCACTGCAGGTATGCGGCATGGGTCTGTTTTTTGCAGAGTTTTGGACCGGGCGGCTCACAAGATCAGTCTCATTGCAGGAAAAGCGATGCAAAGTGCATAGCACCACTTGCTCTTTCCTATTCAGTTCTATTCTTTCCTAACATTCTTGGTGGTGTTTCCCTAGGTGGCGTCGCGCTGCTATGTGTTCTGTACGGACCTCGATCAGCTGCATCTTGACCGGGCAAGGGCTGATAGGATAGGTTGTACACAAGAATCACTGCGAGGAGCAGCGGCCACAGGCCTTCGGCAGAGCAGAGCAGGGATGTGCCCGAGAAATCCCGAGAATCGTCACGCTGAGGCTCTCGAGGAGCGGAGCTTCAGGCACTGTTGCAATGTCCTGAATGTAGCAGCAAAAAAAGTATAAAGAGAGGAAACGTGGAAATACAGGTTATGGTCCACAGCACTGAGCTCACGCTTGCTAGCGCTGCAGGTACAGCATGTTTCCACTGTGTTGTTCCGTTTGCCTGAAAATAGTGTGCGTCATGGTGATGTCAGTTGCATGTGTGTGTGTGTGCGGTCGATGTTGGAGCTTCAAGTCGGTATGGCGTGAGGCTTTGGATAAACGACGAGTTTCCGCGGGCTTATTTAGTTTCGAAGTTCGTGTGTGCGCCGATTGATACTGGTTTCTGGCACTCTTTCTGTAATTCTCATGCAGTCGACCTTCATCTCCAGCAGCCAGAAGTCAAAGGTGATCAGGAGAGTCTTTGAGGTTCCATCTGTCGGAACGATCTGCAGGAGAGAAAGGCAAGAACGCCGTCATGCTGCCGCCCTGGCATGTTATCACAACGATGACTTCTCCGTGTCCCCATGGTCTCTCGAGACCCAAAGATCCCGACAGAGTGTCGCGCGTTTCGACTTAAAACTTGTCTTGCTCGGCAGGAACCGGGACACCTTTGACACTTTCATTCAGGGGCAGGTGCGTTGCTGCGATTCCCTGCGTTTGCTTCAGCCATGCGGGCCTAAACACAAAACGTTCCAAATGATCTGTGCATGTCAGCCGCCCCAACCCCCCCCCCCCGCCTTAACCTCGGCCTGCGCTGGCACAGCTACAACCTCGGGATCCCGGTGTCTCCGACTGTTTCTGACTGTTTCTGTGCTTCTGAGCATCCATCTGCCAGCGCGAGAAGCAGCGGGCCGCGCTCGTGATGTTCCATGTGTCCTGGTGCAAGGCGGGTGTCTTGTGGCTTCCAAGGGCTTGAAACGTTGACTTCAGCTTCCAGCTCTTGAACTTCAGTCGGATGACGCCTCGTCTGTTCGCTCGATTTCGTGGACCAGCCAGCTTGGTTCATCTCAGCATGTGTCAACCGGCTTCGGATTTCGAATCATGGAGTCAACAGCTGCCACTGGAGTCAATGGAGGCCTGTCAACGCACGTTCCCTTTCTTCGATGCGGCGGCTGCAGCTGCTGGGCTCTTGGATCTGATCTTGCAGGGTAGTGGCGGAGAGGAGAACATTATAGAACATCAAATCGGTAGATTGATCACTCCAAGCAAGTCCGAACATCTCTCTGAACCGGAGGTCCAAGGCCACGGTGCACGGATCTCAGATGAATCTGACATCTCAGTCGAGACTTTGAGCCCATTTTCTTGTTCGTGACATCTCTTGACCTTGGCAACTTGGGGCACTACTTGGGGCACATTTGCCGTTGTGGAAGGTCCACGCTTGATGCAGCACGTATGTGTGTGTGGGTGGGAAGGGTACGTTTAGAACGCCCACGATTTGAGGGTGTTTACTGCAAGCATTCTTTCCTGGATCTTTGCCTAAAGCAGCTGGGACACGGCAGCTGGATAGTTTGCCCAAAGCAGCAGGGACACGGCAGTTGGAGACTACTGGAGCGTTCGAGTTTCTTTGAAGGCCGTTTTAGCAGGCAGAATTCAAATAGAGACAGCAGCCAGCGCTTGAAGCGGCCAAGGCACCCCGGGGCTAAGCTGCCTTGGAAAGAAGGTTTTTGTTGCACGCATCATGGTGTGGGGTTCTTGCTTCTCGTTTCACGCCACACGCGCATGCGTCGCAAACCGCCCCTCTCGCTCTCTCTGCCCTAGCCACGTACCACTTACCACGCACGGACTGCACCTCGTAGAAGGCCACAGGGTATGGCAGCGGGCTGCCTGCCTACATGTCATTCCTGGGAACCCCTCTAGGCTTCTCGACATGTTTTTCACGCATGCAAACTTCGGAGAGGCGACATTTAGACTCGTGCTGTGAAGGCGGTATGCAGCCAATGACTGAGATTGGCTTACCTCTCCCAAGCGCAGGGCCAGTCCTCCGGGACCTGAACCATCCCGAAGGATGTGCCCCCATCCAGAAGTTTTGTCATATCTTCGTCTGCGGTCACTAGGGTGGGCAAGGTCGAAATGGACTTTGCGCACGTGGAGTGCACAGACGACAAGGTTGGCTCTGCTGCTGTACCTGTTTCGGAAGCTTGAGAAGGAAAGGCAGAGTTGTTACTCCTGCAATCACAGTAGTCCGGCTCTGCGTCTGTGCTGGTGTTTGGCTTTCAGGTATCACCATGCTTCTGCCAGAATTTGGATGTGCCCCACAGGATACAAAGACATCCGGTGTACTTGACCATTGAACAACTGGAAGCAGCCCCAGCATTCCTAGCGACAAGAACCCAGCGGCGCCCAGCGGTTCCCTCTTCCATGCCATTTGCCGGCCTTCTTCTTCCAGCGACCGTCTGGTGGCCGGCCTGCAAGGAGACCTGTTGGGTTCAGGTCGACGCATGTTACCCTAAACCCTAAACCCTAAACCCCAAACCCCAAACCCCAAACCCTAAACCCTAAACCTAAACCTTAAACCCTAAACCCTAAACACCGGTGCTGATGGAGAGAAGGCTCACCCTTGGATGCTGGGCGGCGCCTGCCAGCGAACAGGAGGCAGGAGGCTCCATTCTGCTTAATTCTTCTGCTCGCAAGCTTTGGACGTGTTCTGCTCAACTCGTCAGCTCGAAAGTGCTGAACACTGTCGGAGAAGCATGATTCTGACAGTTGAGATTCGGATTCGGGTGTGTGGGGCTACTCGGCTTTGCAGAGCTAGTTTACGCAATGATTTTACCGTTGGGGCGAGGAATCCGCAAGTACGAAAAGCTTGACGCCGGTGTTTGCTCTCGCCTGCTCTCGCCTTTCGGATTCGGAAGCCCCCTTTCACATTGTCCCGGGCAGCTCATTTGAAGTGTAACAAAGTCTCGAGGAGCCCAAGTCTTCCAACGAAACCCGTCCGGGCTTCCTGGGACAGCTGCAAGGCGGCTGTGGTTTCGCAGGGTTTTGCTGGATTTCGCAAGGGTTTTGCAGGGTTTGGCTTCGTATGTCATGAAGTTTGTGAAGGCCAGCAGCCAAAGCTTTGCGCCCGTGGACCCTGCAAATGCTGGCAGGTCACAAGCGCGCCATCTATGCCCTGGCCATCTCGCCTAATGGCTTGTTGGCTTCCGGCGACAAGGTCTCTGCGATTCTCTGCGCAGGGGCACTTTATAGCTCAGCATCGCGCTGGCTTTGTGGCAGGAGGGCGTGATCTATGTGTGGAACCTCACGTGCAGGGCAAAGGTCCCCTCACGGCAGCTGGGCCAGATGCCAGGATGCTTCCAGAGGTTGACGATTGCATCCTAGAAAGCAGATGCTGACCAAAAGTCAAAAGCAGTGAGAGGCACCGAGAGTTGGGGCTCCTGCGCGCAGTCTCCCCTCGCATCTAAGGCCATGGCGCAAGTGTGGATCTTAGCTGAAAGGATATTTGGGTTGGTGCAGTCTGCACGCGAGAACCCCATTGAGTTCCAACAAAGCTGTCCAGGCTCACGGGCCATCGCTACGGCGTCACAGCCCTGTCTTTCACCTGGAACAGCATGCTGCTGTCTGGAGCAGCGGACAACACAACGCTGCTGTGGGACCTCGTGGCTCGGAGGTGCTAGAGTTGCTAATACAGTTGCTAATTGCTTGATTTCTATCATGTTTGTGATATTTCTCGGGTAAGTCAGCTTGAGAGCCACCGCCAAGGCTTCGGGGACCATCTCCCAGCAGATCCCGCATCCCAAAACAGTCTCCCGGTCGAAATGTGGCGATTCACAGCCAGCCCAGTACTCTCATGCAAGACAGGGCTATGAGACAGCAAGCGTGTCCTGGAAGGTCAAGCTCGACTCAACCCTTGAAATCCTCAAGCTGTTGTGCAGCTTTGCAGTCAGCTTTGCTGCGATGTTGTCAGGTCTTCGGCATTTCGGTCGATCCTCGTGGTGTCTGGGCCGCAAGCGGCCCAAAGTAATCGGCCTCTGAGGTGTTGTAGCATTTCGAGACAGGTCGAGCAGTGCTTCAGGAAGGGCAGGAGATCACAACTCTGTTGAAGTTAGGATCAGAGAGACGTCCTGACCCTGGGTGAAGCAACACAGGCAAAGGCATCAGCCACACCGCAACCCTGCGCTCCGCGGACCCCCCCTGCCCCAGAGTGATTCTTGCCAGGAGAGGGTGGGTTCGATGGTTTTGCCACAGCCGCCTGGGACGGCAACCTGCGCGTCTTCACGGCGTCCGGGGAGCAGCGAGCTCTACTTGGCGGCCACCGAGGCCTCAGTAACGAATAGTAAGCAGCTCAGCAAGTGCTGTTGGGAATGCTTGGCTTATGCAGCAGAGGCTTCTAGGCAGTCGGGCCAGCGTGTTGAGGGCTTCGTTTGGCATTTGGCGGTTTGGAGGTTTGGGTGTTAGGCATTGGATGCTCAGTACACTTGGAGACTGCAAGAGGCCGGGTTTACTTGGAGATGGCCTCAGTTCCCTGCAGTGGTGTCTGTCTTCGATTTCCTAGATGAGTGTCATGCCGGTTGAATGGTCAGTGAGCGCGTGTTCGCCCATCTGCCTCACAGGAGGACTCTACGCAGCCGCTTGGTGCTGATTAGGGCTCCTATAGGTTCACGGAAGGGACAGTGGACGCAGTCTTTAGACCTGAACCTTTGGGGGCATTGGCAGACGGCATATATCACCGAGCCGAGGTCGCCCACTCAGCTTTCGACGGAAACCTGGTGGCAACGGCTTCCGCGGACAGGCACGAGCGAAGTCGAAAAAATAGGGTCAAGGAGGCGAGAGAGCGGAAGAGAGCATAGAGAGAGCTGGGGGCCGTGTCCATGTAGGTTCAAGCTGAAGCGAGAGGAATGCAGCTTCAAGAGAGCTTGCACCTGAACAGCTGCAAAGGGCCATGACCATTCGGCAGGTCGTTCCCTAGCATGCGTGGCGATCAACTGGATAGGGTCATGAATTGCTCCAGGACAGTCAAAGTCTGGGACGTGGAGAAGCAAACATTGTTGTGGACGCTTTCCGGCCACAAGGACCGAGAGGTGTCATATTTCCATGGGCTTAACAGACACACGCGCAGACGCACAGAATGAACACAAACTGTTGGGGTCCTTGAGGATCATGTCACTGCCGTCGGCTGGTCTGACAAAGAGCTCCAGCTTGCCTCTGTGGGCTGGGATCGGAGGCGGGGCCCGCCCAAACTGGGTTCCAAACTGAGTTCCGAAGAATGCAACTTCATGCACTTCGCACGTTGTCGGGAAGTTCTGTTTCTGTCTTGATTCTTGATTCTTCCACAGGTTTCGTCTTTGGTCGCTCTCCAAAGAAGAGGTTGCGGCCTGCAGATCATTGTCAAAGTGTTCCACAGACATTGAACCCTGGCTGCAAGACAAGGGTCGGAGTTCAAGCGTTTCTATGACTGTGGGGGGGGTTTCTGTTCCGCGCTTCGGCATCCCCCACCCTCACTCTCTCTCACTCTCCAGGCGCCACGGCATGTCCGACGCCATCCCCAGCTGCTTTGGGCAGTGGCATTTGCTCCAGGCCCCCATCAGATCCATTCTCAAGTTCATATGATGTGTCAGTGCTTCAGCGAGTCTTTCATGTGGAGCCCATGCTAAGTCCTGTGTGCAGTAGTGTGCAGCAGTGTGCGGTCATTGTGTCGCATAGACGATACCATGCAGGGGGTCGCCTGGTTGCTGCCTGCCATGGCGCAGTGGGACAATCGCCAACAGCCGCTTTGCTGCAGAGACGTGACTTCAAGCTCCGGTTCGAGGGCCCTTCTGCGCAACCACGGCGGTTCGAGTTGACGAAGCATTCTTCGTCCATGTGATCTGAAGCGACAGCATGAGCTCTTGTTGGCTGGGGACTGATGGGGACTGCATCCCCAGACGAGGTTGTGCTCTACGATGCGGAGAACGGTGCGGTGTTGCGGAGGCTCGGACGCCACAAGGAGCGGTCGTTTCTTGAGCCGAGGTGCTGGTGCCTCCACATCTCCGGAACTTGATTTGCATCGTGCGTGTGCACTGCAGGACACTCCTCTGGCCCTGGCCTTCTCGCCTACGGGCGAAATCCTTGCAGCTCGTTGAAGTTTATGCACTTGGAGTCTGCAGAAGACACTGTCTTCGTTCTCACTCACATACCACACATGCACTTTCGATTTCAACGCCTGGTCTCACTGTCAGGTTGTACTTTTACGCACATTCGCTATTATCGTGTCGCACGGCCTGTGACAGGCTTCCGCCGGCATGGACCGGCAGGTGCTGCTTTACGACGCCGCCGAGCCCGCGGACGACCTTCCGCAGGCCTTGATTGCGACAAATTGCAACGAGAGAGCGAGAAGCTGTCTTTGGTGCCCTCTTTTCATCTTATGCCCTCGCAGCCCTCGCCTCAAACCCTAACCTGCTGGACTGATGAATTGTGTCGTTGGTCAGGGCGACCTGGATGACGAGGAAGAAAGCCTCCTGAAGCAAAATTTTGATACCTCACGCTGGCATACTGGCACCATTGAGAGTATATCTAGCATGGACATGCTTGGCAGAGGAACCAGAAGCATCCAGAAGCTCTCACGACTTAGCACCCCATGGCAATCAGCCACGCAAGGTTCCGAAGCCCTTTAGGGCACTTTGAGCTCAGCTCAGGACTTCAATGGCTCCAGGACGTGCAGGATTTCCGCGAGGAGCGCAAGAGCCTCAACGCCCCTGGGCCTGGGAAGTCCGTAGCTAAGTTCAAGGCCTGGTGATATCCTTCTCTCTGATGTAGATGATTATAGTATTGTTAGTTGTCTTTCGATGTTCAAGTTTTTTGCCGGAACGCAGCGAGCTTATGCCATGAGCCTATGTGATTCGCATAGCAACTGTGCAGTAGCAACTGTGCAGGTTGTCCTGTGGGCTGTCTTGGCTTGTCGGGCCGAGGCGAGCGAGATTGCGTTGCTGGCACAAAAGCTGGCGTCTTGGCAAAGTGCCAGGGGTGCCTGTTGGAGTGACAGGACCCAGAAATCGGGCGAGCTTCAGGTTGCACACCCATGACGAACCTGCCCAATCCTAAAGAGTTTGATATTCCGCTCCGGTGCCCCTGAGGCCCACCTTCAGAACCGTTCAAGGAACGACCAAGGCGCCGATGTGTGTATGGATGTGTGTGTGTGTGTGTGTGTGTGCGCGTGCGTGCGTGCGTGCGTGCGTGCGTGCGTGGTTCTTTCTGAGTGCTCTCCCTGCGCATGGAGACTGGTGCTTTCGGGGTTCTTGGCAGGAATGCTCTTGAAGTTGTCCTAAGTTGTCCTGCTTTCAATTTCTTTTTCTGTCTATGACCCGTGCCATCCTCAGGAGAGAGAGGGTCCCGGACTCCGCATCCAGCTTCGGGAGTGGTGGCCTTCTTGCTGCCCGGACCTGGATTTCTCCGATTGCGCAAGTCCCCTGCATCTTTCCGAGCGCACCCCGAGTGCACCCCGAGTGCAAGTCGCAGGAGGGAGGAGATGTCAGGAGGGTGTACCAAGATGTACCAAGATGCACCGAGATGCACCGAGATGTACCAAGTAGATGCTGAAGTATTTCCGAAACTTCTTCAGGTGCTGAAGTTGAAACCGAAAATGTTGTAGCAGTTTGGGGAGGTAGTCTGGGGTCTTGAGGACTCTGCCGTTCTGCCCCTGGAAGATCGTTGCCCAGGTGATGCCACGAGAAGGACAAAGAGACTGATGCAGGTGAGAAAAGACTCGATACCATTGCGCAGGCATCGCAAAGGTGGAGGTCGTATCTATAGGTATCCGTAGGTACGGACAGCAAGGGTGTCTTGTCTCACTGCGTCCCATTTCACAGATCAAGGAATTGGTGGCTTGTGCTTGCCATTGGTGTGGGGCTCCGTTTCTTTTCGCTTGGTTGGACGATCGGAGTCCTTGATGAAAGAAGAGGAGGACGGAGACCTTAGTCAGGCTCGCCGGGGGCGCTGACATCGGTACGTTGGCTGGTCCATGTGGCCCTGCATCCTTGATATGCCTAACGCTGCGATTGGCAGACAGTCGCAGACATCACAGGTTCTGTAGCACCTGTCAACATGCTGCAGCATGGTTTTAAGCGTGCACGCCTTGACGGTGTGCACGTGCGCAGAAGAGCTCAACGCCCTTCGTCTGGAAGCGGTGAAGCCCCTCGGGTCAGTAGCCGCGTGTGTCATTGGAAGGTCCAACATCTTCTGCAAGACCATCAACTCTGTCAGCAGAGAATCAGGAATGCAGTAAATCACAACCCTTCACATCTGAGTTCAGCGCTTCAGCTGCCTCGGATGGCACGGTTTGTGTGAGTGCTTCCTGGTAGATGCCTGTTTCCGGCATGCGAGCAGTGGCTGACATGGTTGCAGGTGGTGTTGCTGCTGAAAGATTGTGTTGCACGTTGAGGAGTGTCGTTGAAAGGCTGGCAAGGACGACAGCAATCTTTAATCCATTTTCTGAGGCCGTGGACAACATCGAAGATCACTGGAGATGATGCGTTAGTATGTCTGGGCACAGTGGCCGTTATGGCACTCGTGTGTAGGCTGCTCTCGGCACCTCTGCAGCTAGACCTCGGTGGGTGTCACCGGTGCAAGGACGCACACGGCGAAGCTGAGCCGGCCTGTAAGAAGAATGGAACGAATCATGTTGAAAGTTGAAAGTGTACATGTGCGCAGAAGAGCTCAACGCCCTTCGTCTGGAAGCGGTGAAGCCCCTCGGGTCAGTAGCCGCGTGTGTCATTGGAAGGTCCAACATCTTCTGCAAGACCATCAACTCTGTCAGCAGAGAGTCAGGAATGCAGTAAATCACAACCCTTCACATCTGAGTTCAGCGCTTCAGCTGCCTCGGATGGCACGGTTTGTGTGAGTGCTTCCTGGTAGATGCCTGTGTCCGGCATGCGAGCAGTGGCTGACATGGTTGAAGGTGGTGTTGCTGCTGAAAGATTGTGTTGCACGTTGAGGAGTGTCGTTGAAAGGCTGGCAAGGACGACAGCAATCTTTAATCCATTTTCTGAGGCCGTGGACAACACCGAAGATCACTGGAGATGATGCGTTAGTATGTCTGGGCACAGTGGCCGTTATGGCACTCGTGCGTAGGCTGCTCTCGGCACCTCTGCAGCTAGACCCGGTGCAAGGACGCACATGGCGAAGCTGAGCCGGCCTGTAAGAAGAATGGAACGAATCATGTTGAAAGTTGAAAGTGTACATGTGCGCAGAAGAGCTCAACGCCCTTCGTCTGGAAGCGGTGAAGCCCCTCGGGTCAGTAGCCGCGTGTGTCATTGGAAGGTCCAACATCTTCTGCAAGACCATCAACTCTGTCAGCAGAGAATCAGGAATGCAGTAAATCACAACCCTTCACATCTGAGTTCAGCGCTTCAGCTGCCTCGGATGGCACGGTTTGTGTGAGTGCTTCCTGGTAGATGCCTGTTTCCGGCATGCGAGCAGTGGCTGACATGGTTGAAGGTGGTGTTGCTGCAGAAAGATTGTGTTGCACGTTGAGGAGTGTCGTTGAAAGGCTGGCAAGGACGACAGCAATCTTTAATCCATTTTCTGAGGCCGTGGACAACACCGAAGATCACTGGAGATGATGCGTTAGTATGTCTGGGCACAGTGGCCGTTATGGCACTCGTGTGTAGGCTGCTCTCGGCACCTCTGCAGCTAGACCTCGGTGGGTGTCACCGGTGCAAGGACGCACATGGCGAAGCTGAGCCGGCCTGTAAGAAGAATGGAACGAATCATGTTGAAAGTTGAAAGTGTACATGTGCGCAGAAGAGCTCAACGCCCTTCGTCTGGAAGCGGTGAAGCCCCTCGGGTCAGTAGCCGCGTGTGTCATTGGAAGGTCCAACATCTTCTGCAAGACCATCAACTCTGTCAGCAGAGAATCAGGAATGCAGTAAATCACAACCCTTCACATCTGAGTTCAGCGCTTCAGCTGCCTCGGATGGCACGGTTTGTGTGAGTGCTTCCTGGTAGATGCCTGTTTCCGGCATGCGAGCAGTGGCTGACATGGTTGAAGGTGGTGTTGCTGCTGAAAGATTGTGTTGCACGTTGAGGAGTGTCGTTGAAAGGCTGGCAAGGACGACAGCAATCTTTAATCCATTTTCTGAGGCCGTGGACAACACCGAAGATCACTGGAGATGATGCGTTAGTATGTCTGGGCACAGTGGCCGTTATGGCACTCGTGTGTAGGCTGCTCTCGGCACCTCTGCAGCTAGACCTCGGTGGGTGTCACCGGTGCAAGGACGCACATGGCGAAGCTGAGCCGGCCTGTAAGAAGAATGGAACGAATCATGTTGAAAGTTGAAAGTGTACATGTGTGCGCAGAAGAGCTCAACGCCCTTCGTCTGGAAGCGGTGAAGCCCCTCGGGTCAGTAGCCGCGTGTGTCATTGGAAGGTCCACATCTTCTGCAAGACCATCAACTCTGTCAGCAGAGAATCAGGAATGCAGTAAATCACAACCCTTCACATCTGAGTTCAGCGCTTCAGCTGCCTCGGATGGCACGGTTTGTGTGAGTGCTTCCTGGTAGATGCCTGTTTCCGGCATGCGAGCAGTGGCTGACATGGTTGAAGGTGGTGTTGCTGCTGAAAGATTGTGTTGCACGTTGAGGAGTGTCGTTGAAAGGCTGGCAAGGAAGACAGCAATCTTTAATCCATTTTCTGAGGCCGTGGACAACACCGAAGATCACTGGAGATGATGCATTAGTATGTCTGGGCACAGTGGCCGTTATGGCACTCGTGTGTAGGCTGCTCTCGGCACCTCTGCAGCTAGACCTCGGTGGGTGTCACCGGTGCAAGGACGCACATGGCGAAGCTGAGCCGGCCTGTAAGAAGAATGGAACGAATCATGTTGGAAGTTGAAAGTGTACAATTGCGCAGAAGAGCTCAACGCCCTTCGTCTGGAAGCGGTGAAACCCCTCGGGTCAGTAGCCGCGTGTGTCATTGGAAGGTCCAACATCTTCTGCAAGACCATCAACTCTGTCAGCAGAGAATCAGGAATGCAGTAAATCACAACCTTTCACATCTGAGTTCAGCGCTTCAGCTGCCTCGGATGGCACGGTTTGTGTGAGTGCTTCCTGGTAGATGCCTGTTTCCGGCATGCGAGCAGTGGCTGACATGGTTGAAGGTGGTGTTGCTGCAGAAAGATTGTGTTGCACGTTGAGGAGTGTCGTTGAAAGGCTGGCAAGGACGACAGCAATCTTTAATCCATTTTCTGAGGCCGTGGACAACACCGAAGATCACTGGAGATAATGCGTTAGTATGTCTGGGCACGGTGGCCGTTATGGCACTCGTGTGTAGGCTGCTCTCGGCACCTCTGCAGCTAGACCTCGGTGGGTGTCACCGGTGCAAGGACGCACATGGCGAAGCTGAGCCGGCCTGTAAGAAGAATGGAACGAATCATGTTGAAAGTTGAAAGTGTACATGTGTGCGCAGAAGAGCTCAACGCCCTTCGTCTGGAAGCGGTGAAGCCCCTCGGGTCAGTAGCCGCGTGTGTCATTGGAAGGTCCACATCTTCTGCAAGACCATCAACTCTGTCAGCAGAGAATCAGGAATGCAGTAAATCACAACCCTTCACATCTGAGTTCAGCGCTTCAGCTGCCTCGGATGGCACGGTTTGTGTGAGTGCTTCCTGGTAGATGCCTGTTTCCGGCATGCGAGCAGTGGCTGACATGGTTGAAGGTGGTGTTGCTGCTGAAAGATTGTGTTGCACGTTGAGGAGTGTCGTTGAAAGGCTGGCAAGGAAGACAGCAATCTTTAATCCATTTTCTGAGGCCGTGGACAACACCGAAGATCACTGGAGATGATGCATTAGTATGTCTGGGCACAGTGGCCGTTATGGCACTCGTGTGTAGGCTGCTCTCGGCACCTCTGCAGCTAGACCTCGGTGGGTGTCACCGGTGCAAGGACGCACATGGCGAAGCTGAGCCGGCCTGTAAGAAGAATGGAACGAATCATGTTGAAAGTTGAAAGTGTACATGTGCGCAGAAGAGCTCAACGCCCTTCGTCTGGAAGCGGTGAAGCCCCTCGGGTCAGTAGCCGCGTGTGTCATTGGAAGGTCCAACATCTTCTGCAAGACCATCAACTCTGTCAGCAGAGAATCAGGAATGCAGTAAATCACAACCCTTCACATCTGAGTTCAGCGCTTCAGCTGCCTCGGATGGCACGGTTTGTGTGAGTGCTTCCTGGTAGATGCCTGTTTCCGGCGTGCGAGCTGTGGCTGACATGGTTGAAGGTGGTGTTGCTGCTGAAAGATTGTGTTGCACGTTGAGGAGTGTCGTTGAAAGGCTGGCAAGGACGACAGCAATCTTTAATCCATTTTCTGAGGCCGTGGACAACACCGAAGATCACTGGAGATGATGCGTTAGTATGTCTGGGCACAGTGGCCGTTATGGCACTCGTGTGTAGGCTGCTCTCGGCACCTCTGCAGCTAGACCTCGGTGGGTGTCACCGGTGCAAGGACGCACATGGCGAAGCTGAGCCGGCCTGTAAGAAGAATGGAACGAATCATGTTGGAAGTTGGAAGTGTACATGTGCGCAGAAGAGCTCAACGCCCTTCGTCTGGAAGCGGTGAGGCCCCTCGGGTCAGTAGCCGCGTGTGTCATTGGAAGGTCCAACATCTTCTGCAAGACCATCAACTCTGTCAGCAGAGAGTCAGGAGGGCAGTAGATCCTAAATCTTTACATAAGTGCTTTTGTTGCCTCTGGTGGCATTCCTCTCTCCTATGGAAACGCTTCCGCTCTGTTCTTGCCCACGTGGCTTCAGCTAGTCAGTCCTGCACCGCTGCAATCTGGGCTCTGCAGAAAGGTACCAGCAGTGCGCTTTTCAAGCCTGGCCCTTTACCCTCCTTGACCCCTCGCCTTGCTCTCCAGTTTTACAAAGAGTCAACCCGTGAAGAGAGCAGAAAATTTAACACCTGACATCGCTGCAAAGTAAACAAGACCATGCTTCTTGGACCTCCTCAAGCCGGGATTCAAGAGGATGGGTGCGGTTGACAGCGGCCGCTCAGCGAAAGCCCAGAGCACCGTGTGACATTGAAGGCACAAGTTGATATGGCAGTCGTGTGCGGAAAGCTTTCCCCTGACACAAGGACTGGCCGCCTGCAATGCGCGATGTCTGCAATAAGTCGACGAGTTGTGGTTGGGCTTGAGATGCTTTTTTGCCGGTAGTTTGCAGGGTGCCTCTGTGGCCTGCTCAGCATATCTCGGCATGTCTCGGCATATCTCGGCATATCTCAGCATCCTCGAGCCTTCAGGAGCTGGCACTGTCGTCCATCCCGCAGAGCAACTCCAGGACAGTTCTGGCAGGTCATAGTACCGAGTGTACTGAGTGTACCGAGTGTACTGAGTGTACTGAGTGTACTACCGAGTGTACTAGGTGTGCTGTGTATTCATGTGTGCGAATGCTGCGAATATGCACAAGGGACGTGTTTCTACCTTGCACGGCTTTCTTTTGGAGAGGAAGAGCCGGCGTGCGGCAACGGGCAATGGCGGCATCTTCCAGGAGGGCTCTGAAAAGGTTTGAATGGGGACCAAAATGGGATGAAGGGGCATCTGACCAGCTTTGACCTCATGAGGAATGTGTCAGCCGCCCAAACGGTATGGAGAGCATCTCCTGGATTGCGTCTGTGCAGAACCCTAAACTCCATCACCTTGTACAAAGCAAAGCCGCCACGCAGGAGTGCATCCAGTCAGCGCAGCAAGTTGCCATGTCTGCCGGCAAGAACAGTGGTGCAAAACATTTTGTCTGACCTTGTAGGCATATGGGACTCATGTCGGTATTCTTCTTCTGTCAGGGAGACCACGGGATGCTGAGAGGCTTTGAGACCCCCTGGGCTCAGGGAGCCTAGCGATTTGTGCCCTGAACGTCAGACTTTCACCTCAGGCATCTCCTTCACGGCATCTCCGACAGCGACGAATCTCGGCCTACTCTGCTGTTTCATCGTCTGAGGTGAGCTGCCAAAGCTCGATTGTCTTGCTGAGTCTTTTTGAACCTGCTTGACGAAACTTGAACCTCGCAGAGGAAACGGCCCGGGAGTTTGCCCATCCTCTTACCGCGAGGTTGAAGATGCACCTGAGCCAAGACAGACTTGTTTTGAGCTGCCATGCGTATTGCACGTATTGCACAACTTATTCCGATATGGAACGTCGTGGCACAGTAGGCAATTTTCAGAAGACGCGGCCCTTCTGTTCCGACTGCGCCTGAGAAATCCGTCCCGCGATCCCTTGAGGTCAAAGTACTCCCCGGGGGATGGCCTCGACGTGGAGGATGAGCGACAGCGCATTGAAGGTGGGCGACGTGTCGTCGTGCCGCGAGTTGTGCCTGGTAGCCCTAAAGTTAAGCCTTCCCAGCACTGCCCTAAGGCTGCACTGAAAGAGAGGGGAAAAAAGGTGCTCTTGGACTCGGATCTATGCCCTCAACAGGCTTCGTCCAGGCGCTGCGGTCGGGTGACTTCCGCGACTTGGTTTTGAAGCAGAAGGGGTTGCTTCCGTGCTTGAATAGCTAGCCGACGAGAGGAGAGAGGGTCAGCAGCCTAAACAGCTGCAGGATACTGCAGGATGGATCAGGTCGTGAAGATTTGGTGTATTTGGTGGCATGGAATCGATGCGGATGCTCCAAATGTCCGCGCGATCATCCCACTTTCGCGTTAAGTATCAGAGAGCCGTTGCTCTGTCAGGAAAAGTCGTTGACATGGCAGAAGAGGACTGGAGGGCCACTGGAGGGCCTGGAGGGGAGATTTTGAGCCACATCATCCGACACCTTTCTTGGACGATTGAGGACGATTGAACGTCCATTTCAGCTATCCCACTCTTTGGGTCGCTCACCCGTCTCGCAGTATGAAGTTGTGCGAGCCCAAATGTCTGCCATCTGAGCCGCAGGGCCTGGATCTGACACTGCGCACTTTGAGGGGACAGGAGCGCAGCGAGCTTGCTGTCCCTCCCATCACTCCATCACTCCCTCGAAAGGGCGCCGGGCCTTCGTCCCTATGCCGTTTCGGAAGTCGGGAAGGGCTTTGAATCTGTGAGTGGGCTGCTCAATTTCAAGGTTCATGAGGGCATGGGGGGGGAGAGTTGCTTCTCCCATGACCCACCCGTTGTGCAGGATGTGGTGATGCTAGCGGCAGTGTCCAAAAGCTCCTCCACGGTACGGGGCCCGGGCATTTGCAGGGGCAGAAGGTACGGGTGGTTGTGCAGATGTGTGCAGGGTTGAGAATTCGTCAGGCGGTATTGTGGCCCAAGGCTTCTAGGCCCTTTTGCGCAATCCATCCTCGCGCTTTCTGTTTCGCCACTGTGTCTGGCGTACGGGAACAAAGCGAGGTGAACTGTTTGGACTTCCTTGTTGATGCCAAGATTGGCATTGAGAACAAGGACACAGTCACAACAAGAAGGGTAGCCACTTCCATCTGAGTTGTCCAAGATGTGCGACAACTGGCAACAAGTTTCCGTGGTTCGTTCAGTCGATCTGGGCTGCTTATTGTTATGTTTGGGCATGTTAATGAAATGCTAGTGGCATGTGCCCCCAATGGCTGAAGCCCGTACTGAGCCGTTCACTCCACAGTGCCCAAGATTTGCAGTCCAGAGATGTTCTAGGCTCTCGACACTGAACCTGGATCTTCCTTAACGATGGCTCGTGCCTTGTTCTGGTACCTCGTGCAGCGGCTGTTTTTCTTCAGGACTGCCTGGGCTGGACGCCGCTGTCTCACGCTTGCCGCAACAGCGCCACGGAGGCAGGGTTGAAGTTTTGACAGCGGAGTTAGGGGCTTCTCTTTCCTGAGTCCTTGGGCCACAAGCCTGTCAGCATCTGTCAGCCGTGATGTCGCAACGGTGTTTCTCTACTCAGAGACGCTGTGAGACCCCGAGAGGGCCTTTCGGTGAATCGTGCAGTCAGGCTGCGACATTCCTCCTGGAACACCGGGCCGCTGTGGACTCCCAGGACCTCTCTCGATGACCTCTCGATGACATTTCCCTGGTTCTGAAGCTCCAGGATGTGGCCGGTCGGACGCCGCTGATGTGGGGTGCTCGGACTCCGCCAGAGTATGTCCCTGCTTGGGGCTCTGAGCAAAGGCTTGCATGCATGGATGCCTCTGCAGAGATCCCGCCGCTGCTGCTGGAGGTGTCTCTGTTCCTTTGAAGGAAGCACGGGGGATAAGTCATACGATTGCAAATGTTCCTCGCGCAGGCCCGTGCTCAGATCACTTTGCAGGACACATTGCTTTGCGTGCGCTCCGCCGCACAACAGCCACGCTGAACATGGTGTTGTCATCCTCGCCCTTTGAGTGAAAGTGTTCAATGTACAGCTACCCTGGATGCACCTTTCCACCCTGAACGGGACATTCGGTTGGGACATCCGGGCATGGCAGGACAAACGCCAGTGGACGGCGCTTTTCTACGCCGCCGAGCGGGGGACACAGGCCGGGCGGACCTGGCATCCGCAACAACAGTGGCCCTGAGTAGATGTCAGGAGCCATCAGTATCTGGAATGCAGAGAAAGGATGAAGCAGTTGCAGGATGTTCAGGGCAAGCGCAAGAGCGCGGACAAGTATAGAGTGGAACCGACAGAGATCTGAGTGCCGCTTGTTCGTGTTTCAAGACCTCGTAGGGCCCTCGCTGAAGCCTTGGGGTCCCCTGGGTCCCTTTCAGGAGGTCGTGAAGTTCCTGCTGCGAAAGCTCGCTACACCTCAGCAGACTACTGCCGAAGGCCGTGCTCTGGGTGCACCCGGGCTCAGACCGGGGCTCCCCAGACCTTCCTTAACTTTGGATCAGGCATCTCTCCACTGATGATCGCGGCCGTCAGGGGGAACACCATGGCCTCCAAGCAGCTCATTCGGCACTTCCGGCGGGTCTCTTGATGTGCAAATCCTGAGGTTCAGAGCCTTTCTGAAATCTGGCCAGGCGCAAAGCGGACCTCAACCGGGTCGATAAGAATGGGTGTCTGGGCTCATATGTCTCGAGCCTGAAAACCCGACGCTTTGGTTTCCCTGCCCAGGAACACGGCGTTGATGCTGGCACTGGCGGCAGCCTCTTGGCCGGAAGCAGATCCCTCACTATTGTAAATCGCTACTAGATGTTTGGAAACTGTTGGGCCGTGTTGGGGTTTGGGTGGGTTAACATCATGAGAAGGGCGGCTGTGTACTCTTGCGCAATGTGCTTGAGGCTCAGCAGGACTTGGTGGCCTGGTTGCTCCAGGAGGATGTAGACGTGGACAACAAGAGCCTCGAATAACAGTGATGCCACGGTCTAGTACTGGGCATTCGAGACAGCATGTGCAAAGTGTTGGGACGTGCGGAAGCTGAGCCACTCAGTTGAACATTACCGTCAGGAATCGCCTTGAGGAAACGGCCTACGACATCGCTGCTGCGCAGGGCTTTAATTCCTTGAGGCTTGCCGTGAAGCTATGGACTTTTCTACGGAAAAGTTTTACCTATGTGCAGCCCTGTGTGGTGTCCCAAGGTTTCATGAGCCATTGCACAAGCAAGGAAAAACACCATCGTCATGATCTCGCGCATCCGCGAGGAGGCTCTCGGTGCTTTATTTGCTCTGAGTGTGATGTTCTCGGTCTCTGTTTGTGTATGGAAACGTCCTCACCATAGCGTTAAACTACGGCTTTGGTGCCAAAGCCAGGGGCAGGGGTATAAAGCAAACACATTATGACTCCATCCAGCGAAAGCTCCGCATGTATGACTTCAGGATACCGCCAGCATTGCACCAATCATTTGAGTATGATAATGAATGAATCTTGCGTGTCTTGAACTCCCTAAATCCTTGCCGTCCCGGGTGCGTTGCATTCTCATATGTGTTGCATGATGTCAGAGGCATTCGATGTCGCCCTTGTGGCTTCCTGAGTGTGTGTGTGTGTGTGTGTGTGTGTCTGTGTGTAGGGTGTGTCCGTAGCTGTGTGGCCTTGGGCAGTAGTTTTGCAAGAGCATGTTCTGTGTCTACATGTTGGTCCCTTTGGGTGCCCCAAGCATACGGACCATTACAGGGATTGGCCCATATCGAAATGTCATGTAAGTGCTGCTCGTCGCCCCCTCGGCCCGGCCCCATGTGCAGAGCCTTTTCGTGTTCAGGGGGGGACTTAGGAGGGGGCGACGGGGCCAGGTGAGGGGGATGCTTGAGGTTCAGAAGCTACAATACAACTTATCTTGAGAGTGCCTGGTAGCAGGTTTACTACAGAAGGTGTACGGGTTCAAAGCCAAGGTGATGCGTAAGGCCCGTAATGCATGGTATGCTTTGGTGCATTTCTGTGAAAAAGCTAAGCATGCTACTTTTTTTCAGGACGCCGCCAGCCGCTTTTGAGTTCATGCGGTCAGCTCTGTAAGCTATGTTCTCTGTTGTGTCCCTGTTCCAATACATGCAGGTGTATTGTATTGTGGACTACTCAGAGAACTCATCCGCCAGGCGAAGCGCAAGGCAGCCCTGGCCGCAGCCGCTGCGGAGGCTGCGCGCTACTTCGAGGCGGACTGAGAGATTCGAGAGCTCGGTGAGAGCTCGGTGAAACTTTGAGCTGAGGGCTCAAAATGGCTCAGCAGCTTGGAGGAAGGAGGCTGTTTTCCTTCTTCCTCAATCCGTTTAGATCTCTCTTGATCCGCCTTGCGCGTTTCAGGGAACATGCTCTGGCAGATGCTCTGTTAGGTCTGCAAGGTTGGAGCCTTCGCCCAGCCCGTTTGGTCGCCAAAGGTGACGGTGTTTAGGGCCCAGGGTGCAGCTTGTGTAGATCCTCGCCAACACCAGCCCAACGAGGCGGGTTGGAAGAAGCTAAGTCCCCCCCAGGGCTTCGTCGAGGGAACTTGACTCAGTCTCAGCCGGGAGCAGAGAAACGGCTGTGGTTGCTGCTCGGGGTACCCAGGTTGCTCATTCATACAGTTACGGAGCAACTCGGGCCAACGGCATGTCGCACTGCTGCCTCCACAGAGGGGGCAAACAGGTCAGATCTACACTGGATCCACGGTAGCAGTTGCTCAATGTCAGCACTGAGACATGCGTGCCAGACCCTCTGCCAGAAGTTCGAGGTCCAGGGGTATCCGACCATCAAGCTCTTCTTCCCGCAGGCAGGGGGGTTACTCCGATGCCCAACAATTTGAGCAGAAGGCAAATAGCACTTTTAGTTGGACAGGTTCTTTTCGCAGAACAGCTGGGTTTGGTCCAACACCTCCGTTTTAAGTAACGCACGTCTGTTAAGCACGTCGACATCGAGCTCCATACTTGATCCATGTGAAGCTGGTTGTACCTCCTGAAACTGCTGGAGGGGGGTGGTAGGGGGGGCAGGTAGTGAGGCATGATAGCCAGCGCATTCTGGTAGACTTGCATGGAGTGTGAGAAGAACCAAGCCGGGACACGAAAACCGAACCCATCCTTAACCCTTGGTTCTGAATCCGTCCTTTCCCAGTTTCCGAATCAGCGGTTGCTTCCCATCTCCGTGAATATCCAAATCCACGGTTTCCAGTTTCCCGAAGCCGCGTTGATCGAGCTTGGAGTTTCCCGAATCTGCGCAGTTCAGTTGCCAGACGCAGGTTTTCTCAGTTTCCGAGTCTGTTCTGCTTTAGGTTCTGATATTTACGGTTGACCGACCATGAACCGTACTAGGCGAAATTGCCTCCAACACATCTACTCTTGTCCATGAGCGAGGGCGCAGTGCGAGATCGCTCTTGTTCTAGGCAGTGTGGGGCAAGGGTTTCTCTCCAGTTCGGCCCAAGCCGCAGCCACTTAGTACCCACAGATCCGGCCATGGGCATGTGCGCCTTTGCTGGACAAGAGGATGGGGCGAGCGCTCCGAGCGCCTCGAGCGGAAGTGGAGGACCGGAGGAAGTTCAGGGGAAGAAGGGGAAGAAGGGGGGGAGGGCTGTTGAGATTGCGAAGCCACCGCAGATTACTCGTAGCGCCAGGAAAAGCTGCCACGAGTAAAGGCCCACGGCAGTTCCAAGTGATGCGGATCGAGGACGGGTGGCGGAGGGGTCTGCGCTTGTTCGTGTGCGTAACAATTAACTTCCCACCGGGTCGCCTTTCTCCTGACAAACTGCAACGAAGACGGTCTCCACTTGACATGTCCAGGCATCCTTCCAAGTCACTTGGGTTGGTCAGTACACTCAGGAGAACAGCCACAAGCCCAACGAGTTCTCCAGAAAGCTGCTGCAGCAAATTGGAGGCCGGACCATGGCGACAAGCCGATTGCATGATTTGTTTAAGTGGCGGTCACCAGCGAGTCTCCTCTATCCTCGTCATAGAGGTGCTTTAATTAATTTAATTAATGCAGGAGTTCAGGCTGTCTAGGTATGTGGTATGTGCATCTCTCCTTCTTGTGGAGGTGTTCCTCGACTGCTGGAGATGACCACCTGCTTCTACACCAAGGTTCTGGGTTCGACAAATTGGCTGTGTTGCGCCTGTTTGCAAGTTGGCGCCTTTGAAGGTTTGGGGGCCTTAAGGTTTGAGTGGTGCCAGGGCCAGCCTCCGAACACTTAAGTTAACGCTTAACACTCGCGCCGAGAAATTGCCCCGATACACGTACTATGCTTCTTGTCAGTCGTACCTGGATCCCGAACTATGAAGTATTCTGGAGCGCTTTTGGTGCCCGAACATCCAGCTCGCGAACCGCAAGGATTTGATGCCCCAGGAATGTGTACGCTGACTTGAGAGGGTCTCTCCCAGCCCCTTGGGAGTTCAGCTCGAATGCAAAGTCCTGCTAACCGCGAGGTCATGGCCAACCCGCATCTGGAACCCTTCTTCGCCTCTACAGAGGCCTCCCGTTCCTTGGGTTTACTTGCTGTCTTGGCCACTTGCTGTAGTGGCGAGACTCGTGCTGAGCGTGTGACGCATTGTGCCACCTTTGACGGAGGTGTCGCATCATGCCCCGCGCCTGGCGAACTGGGCCACTGGGCACCAAAGTTCTTCGTCAGGTCTTGGGCTAGCTTCTATAGTCTTAGGTGACTGCATGACTCTGCATGACCCAAGAATCCCAGGTGGCAGAGAAGATGGGCGCTCCTGAGCAGCCGTGGACGCGGGAGCGGGCCGGCCGCAAGCGTAACGAGGCAGCGAGTTGCGGCAGCATTCTCGTACTAGACAGATGAAGGACGCACATGATGTACATAACGTTGCTGCAGGAAACGCTGAAGCAGCAAATCCTGCATCCCAACCACAAAGGAGTTCTGGAGCTGGAGGACCAAGTGCTGAGAGCTGCAGAATCGTTTCATCCCTCGGGCCCTGAACCTGAAATCCACGAGCACCACAACAGTGGGCAAAAATAGGACGAACGCACGCGCACAGTGTAAGCCTCAAACCTTTCTGGAATGGTTTGGGAGAGGTGTTGTCGACGCTAGGGCAATTGTAAGGCAGTTGTGGTGGGGCATCCGGCTGTTATGAGAATACACCCCGTTTCTGGACGCGTGCGCCTTCGTACACGGGCTTCAGGGGGTGCAGAATGGGACTCTGCCTGCATGAGCATGCGTCATGCGTCCCCACAGCAAGCGGCTGCCCTTGGATGGAAGATGCCCGCCACATTGTTGACCTTCTTCTGGCCACGGTTCGGCATGTCCTGAAGGCTTGTTGTTGAATTTGCGTCCGGACTTGCGCCACCAGTTTGACACGACCATTCGTTGCAGTCCCCAATTGCTGCATCATCACAACTTCCTTTCTGAGACACGCAAAGCCGAAGCTGCAGAGGACTTCCTGGTCCACGACCGCTCCTCCGCACATTTTGCAGGCTGGCACAGCGCAAAGCGGATGGGCTGCCCCATGCACAAGGCCCCTCCCCAAGCTTGGGGGGGTTTGCTTTTTTTGACTCAGTTCTATGGCAGGGAACCTTGCAGGACTGGCTCCCTCTCACTCTCTGCCCGCAACCCGAAAACCCTAGACTTTCAACATAACCGAATCTCCGAGCTCTAGAACTTTCAGCAAGAACTGCTGCGCTTGAAGCTTGAAGCTCGAAGTGGCATGAAGCACAGAAAGGGATCCTCAAATGATGCGGGCCTGTGGCTGAAGTTTAAAGTCATTTTCTGAGGTGAGTTGTTTGAGAAGTGAGGGAAGGGTCCTGACCTTTTGGGGACTCTGGGGGAGCCTTACTGCTTGGTGTTGGAGGTCGGAGATCACTTCAAGCTCGATGACAGCCGCGTGTGGATGCGTCTTCACTTCTGGGCTTGCCGCGAGGCCGGGAGCTTAACATTATTAATACATTACTCGTATGAAGATTATTAAGATTATTAATATTATTCATATAATAAATATTATTAATACTATTCATATTCTTCATATTATTCATATTATTCATATTATTCATATTATTCATATTACTCATATTATTAATATTATTAATATTATTAATATTATTAGTATTATTAGTATTATTAATATTATTAATATTATTAATATTGTTAATATTATTAATATTATTAATATTATTAGTATTATTAATATCATTAATATTTATATTATGATTTTCTTTATTATTATTATTAATATATTAAATTTTTTGGTTATTCTTACTATTATTAATATTATTAATCTTATTAATATTATTAAGATATTAATATTATTAATATATAATATTATTAATATTATTTATAGGATAATATGAGTAATAGGATTAATATGATTTTAATATCATTAATATATCAATATTATTAATCTTATAATTAGTTAAATATTAGTAAATTATAGTATAATTAATATTAGAACTTATAAGATTATTAATGTTATAAAGGTTATTCAAATATTTATTATTGAGTATTATTAATATTATTTAATTATTATTAATATGCAGTACCCATTATTAATATTATCAGTATTATCAACATTATTTATATTTATATATTTTCATGTAATTAATATTATTAATATTATTCATATTATTAATTTATATTATGAATATTATGAATCTTATTAATATTATGAAAATTATTCATATTGTTAATACTCTTCATAAGATGAATATTTTTAATATTATTCATATTATTCATATTTTTAATATAAGTAATATTAGTAATATTATTATTAATAATGTTATTATTATTATTAGCATTATGAATGCTCTGAATATTGTTCAAAAGCGAGGCACGAAAAGAAACACAAGGCTGACTCTGACTCAGCCTGACCCTCACGTGAAGTTCTCAAGTAGCCTCCAGGTTGAAAAGCCTTTCAGAACCCCCCCCCCTCCCCCCCCTCGAGCACGGGGTTTTCTCCAACTTTCGGACCAACTCATGGAGGTTGGACTTTTCGGACCCTCGGGCGGTGAACGCACCAAGCTCCAAGTCGACTTCGAGAGTCTCGGGTGATGAGAATCCCCCTGGAACTCCCCTGAAAAATCCCCCTCTTCTTCTTTTCTTGGCAGTTTTTTGGGCTGCCCAAGGAACTTCTACACGCGCTTCATCGGCCACTTCGTGCGCATCTACGAGCGCAGCGCGCCGGCCTTCGCACGCCTGGAGTCTTTGGGGGCTTAGGGGGATTTTGGAGAAAGCGGGGAGGTCGAGGCTGAACAAGTTGCAACTGTGTGAGTATCTACCAACGAAACCTGAAGCCGTCTGAAGCATCAAAGCTTTCACGGAGTCTGCATTAGAAGAAAAGATCGCTAGATGTGAAGGGAGCAGAGCTCCTTTGGTCGCCCAGTGGCCCTGAGACCCTTCATCACTTCCCAAGAAGTGCATGAACGGCTCGTTGAGCCCTCCAAACATTTCCCAAAGCCCCTGAAACCCATTCCAACCCAATTCCGACCTATTCCGACCTCCAACATCTTCTGTGAGATTCTGCGCAGGAGTGTCAGTGGAGCGATGAGTCCACGCCGGCCGGCAAGGCCACGGACCGGTTTTCTTTGATTCAGGGGGGGGTGTGTTCGTGTGCGTTCGCGTGTTCGCATTCGCATGAGGCCAACCTCGAACGCTACTGTGCCCTGCAGCGAGAGACGCCGGACTACATGGAGCCGCTGGGACTTCGACACAGAGTCTGTGCATGTCTGCACACCCCTGCACGCCTTTCCCGGCAAAAAAGCCGCCTCCACCACCTCAGGAAGAGGCTTCATGGCATGGACGACGTGGTCGGTCTACGAGATCCCGCAGAGGAGCGGGCCACAGGTGTGCAGCCAATCGGCCGGGCCACAAAGTCGTATATCCAAGAATAAGGAAGTGTGAACTGTTCCATGAGTCGTTCCAAGCTGGGAAAAGAGCAACTTGAAAAGTGCATGCTGGCATGCTTGCCTCCTTGCAAAACGGCTTTCGGAGAGTTGCATGTAGCTGTTGAATTTAGTACCTGTGGTACAGCCGAGAACCTTGTTGGCCACGTCAGCGCAACCGCTCAGGCCCGAAGGCGCGTCGGCGGGATTCGGGACGACGGCTGGCCCTACTCTGACGACGGACTGTTTGTACCTGAGTAGGGATTTCCCCTCTCAGACGTTTGACTGGTGAGAGGTTTTGAGAGGCAAGGCAACGTCTTGGCTTCAAGGACTTTTCAACTCGTTTGAGGACAGATGCCAAACCTGGACAAATTATGGTTTGTTGCTGTCCTGCCACAGCCAGCTCGGGTTCGGAAAGGCGAAGACTTGACTCCAGCCCAGTACTCTTAGTCTTGGTCGGCTTTCCCAGTTCTACTTTGGTCCTACTTTCCGATCCTTGACTCAAAGTGATGCTGTGTGGCGACGGAGTTGAAGAGAAGTGCATTCCTGGCCAAGCCAAGAAGGTCACGACGGAGGAAAAGAAAGTACATGAACTGATGGTTGCGTCAAAAGTAGGTTTCGGCGAGGCTCTGTTGCAATTTTGGCCGTTGTGAGGGCCCGAGCTTAAAGTAGAGCCCAACTCTAGCCCGACTTAGCCCACACAGACATGACATCTGCACTTGAGTAGCGCACCCTCTTTTGGAAGGCGGACCGGGCCCCGCAGAACTTCAGGCCTCCTCGAGCTGCGAAGGAGGTTTTGGGTTTCAGATGCGTCAAAGACTGAGAGGCTTCTGCCTTTCTCTGGCACTGAAGAGCTATTGATGCATTGTTCTTGAATGTGACGGCTGTCTACCATTGTCAGCCCGAAGCATCTGTCAACGTCACAGTTCCATTTTCTTGCGACTGGTGCAAGGGGTCAGCGCACAGAAGAGGGCTTCCTCAGATATGCCAAGGCAGGGAAGTGTGAGCGCTTTCAGTACCGTAGGTACTATTGCTTAGAGCGATGATTCTCGGGCTAGTTTAGATTCCCTGATGTGCTTAATGGTTCGGGAACTCAGGGACGGGCCGACACAGATTCCGGTCAATTGCCAAAGCAGCTCGGATCCTGCTGTGTCCTTCGCCCCTGCCCAGCGCATGACCAACGCGCCGGTGCGGCAGATGGCGAGTTCAGCGGAGCTTGTCCAGGTGGGGAAAGGATGAAAGGATTTGGGGGCTACGGTACGGAAGTGGCTGTGAGTGTTAGGCTGTTAGGGCGCCATGCAAAAGAGGCGATGGCCTTCGAGCCCTTTGCTGCCATCCTTGTAGCCGAGAGGTGGGAGCCGGGCCCATCGAATGCTTCAAGACAGACCTGAAAGGAATCAACTGGAGAGTGCCATGTTGCAAGTTCCGCCTCAAGCTAAATTTCTGGTGCTTGTCTGCAGCGCGGTTGACCGGATGTCCGCCCGAAGCCCCGCAGTGCCCCTGAAGCCGGTGTGCAGGTATGTTGACGCCCTCACTGCCGTTGCCCAGAGGCTGCGAAGTGCCATGAAGCACGGCTGGAGAGAGCACTGTGATTCATCCTAGCCTTCGGCCCGCATGGTACGCAGCAATTTTTGCTCAAGACCCTGAAGACTTTGCCTGCCTCGATTTGCTCTGAAGGCCGGGCTGCTTCACTTCAAAGCCCCTAGCCCCGCTGGAGCGAACCCTCGGAATCAGAAGTTGCTGGGGAGGTGCATCATGGCCGCGCCAGGGAAGATCACTTACACCTACACCGATGAGGCGCCCATGTGCGGAGCCTAGGAATGTTGCACGGCTCTGAGCCCATGGGGCAGCCGAGCTTTTCTTGCCACTCTGAGTGCCACCTACTCTCAGGTTGGCGACCCATGCTCTCTATCCGATTATCCAGGCGTTGACGGCAGAATCTGCCCATCGGAGGTCATGACCGTCATGACCGCCTCATACAGTAGCATCGATTTCGCACAGTAGAGGTTCTGTTGGTGAGGTTTGCAGCAAAGAGCAGATCTGGTGTGTCAACTGATTCGCTGCACGAGGCGTTCTGCTCCCAAGCCGGTGTCGAGATGGAGTTGAAGGCCAGCGTGTTGTGGGATCATGGAAGTTCATGAGAACGTTCTCTTGAAGTCTTTAGGACATCTCTGTTGCCGGACGCCCGGGCCTCGAGATCAGAGCACCTGCAGTTGATGCCTTTACCAGGGGCAGAGGCCTGAATCTCAACCCCGCATTGATTTGCATTGTGCGTGGGCGAAAAGGCAGGACAAGGCACTCAACCTTGCGGAGTTTGGTAGTGGTCGAGCAGGTTCACTGTCAACTTTCATAGTCCCTGCCTTTTGCCCTTGCCTTGAGAAAAGGAGTGCTGGCCCTGTTCCCGGACATGCTCAAGGAGGCCAGTGCGAATGACCCGAGTCCTGCCCACGTGGCCCAAGGCCTCTCTACAGCTGCAGATGTTATGCCTGAGCCAGGGCCAGCGCTCTGGCGACTATCTGGCAGAGCTGGGGCTCCTGGCGCAGAGCGGCAAGGCACATACCGCCCTTTGCGGACCCGCTTTGAGCTCTGTGACCTCGTGCCGACCCCGAGAGGCCAACATCATCAAGCTGCCGAACGTCAGCGCATCCGTGCCACAGCTGAAGGAGCATCTCTGAGCTAAAGAGTTGCGAATGGCGCATCCCGCATCCCAAGGTGGGGCGCGATGCGACCCAGATGCCGAACCCGAGCCCCAAAGCATCCCAAAGCCCGAAAGTCAAAGCTGAGAAGGCTTTGAGGTCCACTGAGCACATGCCAGGAGTGCATCGCCGAGTTGCAGGGCCAGGGCTTCGCTATCCCCAGCTACCCCGAAGATCCCAAGGACGCTCAGAATGCGCATGCAAGCACTTGTGTGGTGCACAACTCGCGTGAAGAGAAGCGCGTTCGTGGGCAGGATGAGAAGGAGAAGGAGATCAAGGCTCGCTATGCCAAGGCTCCCCGGTGGAATCTAAGTTTAAGACTGGCGTGCTCCATGACAGCTCAATGCAAGTCGCGGTGGAGGGAAGCCTCAAGCACCGACGCATTTCATGCAGCTCCTTCTGCTATCGTGTTCATGCCAAGCCCCGGTCGTGTTAATTCCTCCTAAACCCTAACCCCAAGCCCCAAATCCTAAACCCGAAACTTTTAAAGCCAAGCTTCGAACGCCTTGCGACGCCTTGTTCGGCAGGTCCTGGGCAGCGCCGTGAACCCGGTTCTCCGTGAGGGCAACTCTGACCGCCGGGCGGCGGTGCCCGTGAAGGAGTACGCTGCAAGGCAGCAGAAAGCAAGGGGGTCTCTGCGGCACCTTTGGGTGAGAGGGAAGGAGGGCAGGGTTTCTTGAGGTTTATTGGGCAGGTTTTAATTTTAGGGTGTCAATAGCCTGCACTCAGCACTCAGGCCTTCAAGTACCCGCACTCCATGGGCGCCTGGTCCAAGGATTCGAAGACTCATGTGCCTGGCCCAGGTTTGATGGTCTTGTAGGGCTTGTAGCGGTTACAAAGGCGGGAACAGGAAGAGGGGCTGTTGAGCATGCAATCGGGCTGGAAAGGAAGTCCATGCGCGGCCTCATACAGCCACGCGACCTCGAGCAAATTGCACACTGCGCCACAAGACCACCATCTCGGCAGCTTAATCCTCTTTGAGGAGTGCAAATTGAGAGCCGCTGTACCAAGGTGGCATCCATGTCTGACGGAGATTTTTACGCGCACGAGAAGTCCGTGACGATTCCGGAGGCCAGAGAATGTCAATAGTCTTTGGAAGCGTTTGGCCTCAGCATGCTTTAGTGACTTTAGTGATCAGGCGCAGCAACTTGGGTCTGGCTTCGTAGCTCTAACCTATGGTCTCAGAGTTCATGGAGAAGAGGCGAGTTTGCCTCTGGGACGAGGCATGCGAAGCTCGTATCGAGATGGTGGCAGAGTCCGGGGAGGCCATGAGAGGGCCAGGGGAGAAGTTTGCACGTCGGAATTTTGGTTGTGATGGCCTGTGTTGCTTTCGGGAGTTGCTGAGTTGCTATTGAAATCTTCGATGCTCTGGCCATTTGTGAGCAGGTCACGGTGCTGAAGGAGAAGATCTCCCTGCAGAAGGGAGAGATCTTGGATGCCGCTCGGATGAGGATCCGCCTGGTTGCCTTGGGTCAAATCTTGTTGATTTCGTTGTGCATTGGCTCCGAGATCAGGCACACGACTTGCCATGAACAGGGGTTGTCTTCAAATGCACGTGGTGACGTAGTGTTTGGCTGTTTGGCACTTGACGGCAAGGCGAGCTTCATGAACTGCACCATGTTGCGGGAGTTCTTCGAGCGTGAGATTGTCGACGCTCGGGAGAAGGACCGCTTGGTGTGAGCTTGCTTTGCCAACCCCAAAGCCGCCCAGTTACTTGCGTGTATCTGGATCTCCTGAGCTTCTGTGTGTCGAAAGGCATATGCTGATGGCACCAGGATGTGCTGTTCTCGCTGCACCTCAAAGCCACAATGATGAAAATCTCCGACCCGATCATGTTCGGGCACTGCGTCAAGGACCCGAGTGCTGGCTTAGAGCTCATTTTTTCCAATAGAAGTAAAAGGTCTTTGCAAAGGACTGGTGCCTACGAGAGAAACAGCGTTTGTGGTTTGGCACAAGTGAAATTTCAGCCTAGGTTTGCGCTGAAATTGTTCTCCCCACGAAGAGCCGAAGCATCTGTATTCAATTCGTTTCAGGCCTACTTCAAGGATGTCTTTGCCAAGTACTCCCAGACTTTCGAGAAGCTGGGCGTGAATGTGACTTGGGCTTTGAACTGCTGAACTGTGCTGAACTGTGTCACTTTGCAGCTTCCTTCCGCAAATCTCAGGCAAACAATGGACTGGGTGATGCCGCTCTGCACCCTTTTGGGCATTAAGGAGCAGCTTTCACAAGCAAAGTGGAGTGCGGAAAGACGTCTGGACGTTAGGGCCGTTAGGGTGAACATGCAGAACGAAACATGACTTCCATTGTCTTTGTGCAAGTGCCGGCAAATCTCTCTGCATGTCCCCCCTGCAAGGTATGGATGTGTTTTGCGGCTGTTAGCCGTCAAGTTACCTGCCATGCGTCCTGAGGTGTACAAGAAGATCTCGAGCCTCCCGGAGGCAGAGAAGGCTGCGATTGAGGCTCTGCAGACTCAGCCCGAGCAATTTGGCAAGCGACAGAGCCCAAACAAGTATGTTGCAATGACCCTAAACCTTAAACCCTAAACCCTAAACCCTAAACCCTAAACCCTAAACCCTAAACCCTAAACCCTAAACCCTAAACCCGGTCTCATGTCGGCTCCACCTGGTGCTAGGCGGACATCATGGCCACCTACGGAAAGCAGGGGCTGCCTAGATTGCACTTTAGCGGCGGCACGGGGTTTTCAAGGCCCGGGGTTTAGGGTTTAGGGTTTGGGGTTTGGGGTTTAGGGTTTAGGGTTTAGGGTTTAGGGTTTAGGGTTTAGGGTTTAGGGTTTAGGGGTGCAAAGTATTGTGACCCGCATGCTGGATCCGGCCTCAAACCGGATGTGTGGTTTGACATTGCACAGATTTTCCTACGCAAATGTGTGATGAAGTTGTCGAGCTTTCTTCCTCACACACATTGAGGAAGGGGAGGTTTCCGTAGAGGTGTTCCGTTTAACATGTGGATGTGGAGGAGCAGAGCTTTCTTGCAAGTTTTGAGGCAGTCTCATCAGCAACTTACAGTAGCAAAACCTTCCTGTTCCCATCCTCGTGCATGGTTTGGCAGGGAAACAGCCGAATGGAGTAGGAGCTTTCCATCAATTTTGACATTCGGAATATGTTTGTTTGTAGAGGCAATTGAGGATCTCCAATGAACAGATTTCCAATTACGGAGCGGAATTTGGAGGAAGCAGGCTTTCCTCTCGAAGCCTGGATGGAAAAGAGGCTTTCCCATCAACTTGCTGAGGACATGGAGGGTGTCGGCTCAAAACTGTACAGAGGATGCAGGTTTCCGATTAAAGATGGAGTTCAAATGCAGTGATGTTCTTCTCCTATTAGACCGAAAAATGGCTGAAACGAAAGCGACTCAAGACCAAGGAAGATGGCGTTTGTGGACTCACACCGAGGTGCGAAGAGCAGCGTTGCTTTCAGCTCTTATGTAGCCTCGGTGTAGCATGGCCTTCTCTCCACATAGCCATTTTCTCTGAGTCGCGTAGGTGCGTGTAGGCATCGACATGCAGCAGGCGTGATCCGTGTAGGCTGCGTGTAGGCTCGGCGTAGGCCCTACGTAAGCCGTGCCTAGGGTCCGGGCTAATGTTTGTGCATGAAAAAACCTTTTCCGTTGTTCTTGTAGTTCTGGGCCATGTAACCTCGAACACTCTTGCCTTTCGCCATGTTATAACGAGCATCGTGAGTAACAGAAGGAGCAGATTTCCTAAAGCCTTGAACCTTGCCTTACACCGGGTTTAAGATTTCTCCCAGCACCTTGCAGTAGTGAAGGCAGGCTTTCTTGGACCCTCATTTTTTGCGTATGTTCGCGGCCCAACATGTGAACCTCAGTCCCTGAACCCATATCCTCGTGGTTGATGGTTGTGGGTTGTAGTACTTGCCGGGCCAGGCATCACGAACCTGCATGTTCCCAGCGACATCATCATCGACAATTCCATGCCCACGGCCATTCGTGCGGGCGGCAAGATGTGGAACAAGGACGACAAGGAGGAGGACTTCAAGGCATATGATGTGACGCTGATGGGGGTTGGGATCGGTCTTTGGAAATGCTAGCGAGTTGCACCGATCATGCTTTCGCGGTTGTGTGCCTTCCCACGAAGTTCCCAATCCAGCCCCACGACCGATGTAGCTTTGGTTGACGTGTCATTGGAAGTTTAGTGAAAGAACGTGCACCTACAAGGGAGCGCTCTGCTGATCTTTTCATGGAAGCTCACCAGACAGCAGCTGCAAGATACACAAATAGCCGTGCGGAGAATCCACGCAGGCGATGCCCATGTGCATTGATGCCTGATGTAGGCATGCTTGTTTGTCATGGTTTCAATCCGACCGAAGAAGCAACTTGATGGAGAGGCCATCATTCCTGACCGCAGCTACGCAGGGGCCTTCGCTGAGTGCATTGACTTCTGCAAGCAGCACGGAGCTTTCGACCCAAGGACCGGGCCGAGCAAGCTGTGAGCAAGCTTTTGTGTCTAGAACTGAATAACTCTCCTAGTCTGAAATAGGCACTCCCCCCCTTGCGGGCTCGTTGAATAACTTGGGTTGAGGGGCTGTGGGGTTGAGGCCTCAGACCTCAGGGAGGACCTGACGCCTTGAGCCTTCAAGCCTTCAGGCTCAGGGGGCCAGACAGCAGGGTCGCAGCATCTTGTGGATCTCCATTCTCAATCGGTGGCAACATCAATCAAGGCTACTTCAAGAGCACTCCAAGAGCCCAAGCACCTCGCTCCACAAGACCACTGCAAGACCACTCCAACGGAACTCCAAGGGCCCAAAAGTTCACTGCGACACGCGAACTTCCCCCAGGACGGAGGCTCGAAGCGACGCCAGCCAAGAACCCAAAGTCAAGAAAGTATGGCCCGGCCACGTTTTGTATGGCCCTGCCACGTTTTCGCGACGGACGGTGCGCGGAACCTTGCGGCTGCGCGCCTACTGAGACGTTCAAATCATGCCATTTACGATGCTTGGACCCCGTCCGACATTTCCGGGCCTTCAGGAGCGCACAGCACCGACGGGCACGCGGAAACACCGAGAAGGTCGCCGCTCGCAATTCGGAATGGGCAAGACGCCCAGGCACGGACACCAAGAGCGTCACGGATGCGCTTCCAGGTCAACCTATCAGGTTCCTTTGCCTTCAGCATCAGAACCCCCTAGTGGAAGCCCTTCTTGAGGAAGGAAGGGAGCAACCCTATTTTCTAAGCAGCCAAATGCAGCAAAGCAGTCAGACTGAACGTTTCAGAGTGGGGACTCAAGCCTCGGATTCGTTGATTGACCTGGTTGGCTCGGATGGCCAACGGCAGAAATCATGGCACGTGGTCGGCCTATAGAGCGAGAAGCGACCACAACGGGAGTAGCATCGGACTTAAGCCCTTCCATGCCCTTCCCCAAAATCGCAATGCAATCTCGCGACTCTGCCAGCCCCGACCTCCCGGCAGGACTATGGGGGCTTGCCCGAACGTTGGCTTGATGGCTCAGAGACTTGGCAGCGCTCCCGAGAGAGCGCAGTAGCCAGTACAGGCACTTCGAACTCTCTGCAAGCACATGCCACTGCTTAAAGTGCTGAAGCTCGGAAAGCCCCAAAAAGTGAGTCCCTTCCTGGGCCTTAGAGCCTACTCTTCTTCTGACGAAGGAAGGCTGAGGAGTACGGCTCCCATCCGACGACTTTTGAGGCGGGGCGGGTTTCGTTTCGAGTCGTTCTCCTTAGTCCTGCGCAGCCTGAGACAAGACAGCGCTGCGTGGGCTCATCAATGTGCTCTCTGCAATCGCAAGTTTCTCCTCTCCTAAGCATGACCGAAGCGAAGCCGCGTCCCCATGAGGCATCATGCTCCGGAACCATCCGGATCGTCATGAACGATGGCAGCAACAAGGTTCCGATGGGCCGGGCCGGCCTAGAGGGCCTAGAGAACACCAGTGGGGGGTTCGAAAATTCGAAGATCCCTTGCTCCGAAGGTGCTGCTGGGCCATCGGCTCCAGAAGGGCGACATTTGGCGCTCCTGCCAAACCAAGGATGCTCCCATCAAGGCAAGCTCTGTGATTCTAGGGTTGAAGGCACCAAGCTGCCGGTTTATATGGGGTTCTGTGGTGCGCAGCTCAAGCTCTTCGGGCGCTTGAAAATCCTTCGAGGCCTCCCCCTTTTGCTCGAAAAGCGCCCTGCAGAGGACTGGGTGAAGCTGGCCGTCCGCCGATGCCAGGCCAACGACTTCCCGGGGAACGACAAGCCATGCAAAGCCTCTCAGCTGCAGCGCGGGGGGTAGGCACGAAAGATCCAGCAAGGCATCAAAAGTAGATGTTGGGGTCTGGTCCTCACAGGCAATCTTCTGGCTGGATCCTGCCCGGGCCCACGATTGCCAGATTATGGACAAGGTGCACAAGTATCTGCCGGCTTCTCGCAGCTGACAGTCTGCAGCCTCAAGTCACTCAAGTCCCGACGTCGTACCCGGAAGAGGGATGATCGAATCTAACTGGGTCGTATAAGCAAGATCGCGATTTTTCGTTTCCTTTCAACATCAGAACGGGGTGAGCTCTTGATGTACCACAGGCATGTTCACACCTTTGGCTCCTGCTTGCAGCTGTCCTCGGATCCAAGGAAGTCCGCACGGATGGTTTGGATATTGAGATCATGTCCCCGCAGCAGGCCGTGTGCCTCAGAAACGGGCTGCAACCATTTTCGTTGACCAGAGGTTCTGCCATAAGGCTGACAGCCCATGCAAGCCTGCGACACCTTGACCCTATGCCAAACGTCCACCAAGTCAGGCCATGCGCGTCACTTGCGAGCGGGCCAAGAAGGGCCTCAATACCATTACCGCCACTCGCCTTTTTCCATGGTGTGTGGTGTTTTGTGCCTTTCTAAGCCACATATCGAGGCACTTTAAGGCTTGTGATCAGAAGTGTACCTTCGCATCCACTTTCTTGCACATCCATCTTTTTTGCTTTCGCGACATGCTCTGCAGGTGACTGGCAATGTTCTGCGCGACTACTTGACTGAAGCCCGGCTTTTTGTTTCATCGCTTCTTAATGTGCAGAGCGGAGAACCAAAGAGTGTAAAACCAACAAGCCCCTGGTGCTTTGCACACCGCGAGCGCTCCAAATCTAACATGCTTGCTGCTTTCAGGATCTGCATGTCTCCTCTGGACTCAGACCCCACTTCCTGCAGCTTTTAAGGCCCATTGACGGCCTCTTGTCTCCTGGGGTCTTCTGGAAGGCTGAGATCACTGTCCTTCATCCCAGCACCCCTGGGGACACTGAGGACCTCTTTCCCATCCTGGAGCTTGGAACAAGTGCCAAGATGCTCTCGGTGGTGCCCATGCTGGCAGGAGAGATGGGTGGTTTGCTATTGCTCCAAGATTTGCACAAACCTTACATTCAAAACAGCAGAGGTTTGAGCTGGTTGCTCTAGCCTTAGACGTGTCGGACCATTCGCTCTCCGTTTCACGTGCAGGCTTCAGCAAGGGTGAGGTGAACGCTTTGCAGACCCGTGCTGAGTAAGCTTGAAAAGATCTTCAATCCCACCGAGAGTGCAGGCGGCGGCATGTACGAGACTGGGGCAGGCGGGCCCAAAACACTCGTTCGCTCCTTCCCTCCGACTGCCTGGATGGCCACACCTGCTACCATAGGAGATGCAATCACAGCCCTAAGCCCAGCAGACCCAAGCACAGCTCAACTTGACCCGGCTGACGAGGCGGCTCTGCCCCCAAGCACGTCCAGCAGTTCACCAAAGAGATTCTCGACATGAATCCTTTGTCGTCCTTTCCGGCAAATACGGATGGGAAGGTTCTTAGAAGTGTGCACTTGCGCTAAAGTGATTTGCGAGGACGGTGTGAGCCGAGCTGAGCCGGCTCTGTAAGGCGCATGAAGAAGTTTGACACATTCCGTCGCAGAGTGGGCATACACTCCGGACCCCATACTCAGCGGCAGCCCAGGAACCACCTTCGCTGGGATTCTTTGGGCGAGTACCTTGCGCTCACTTGCTCCATGGAGGAGCGGGTCGAGTCATCTCATTCGTGTATGCATCAATAGCAGCATGCCCCAGGATCTTGCCAAGGACACTGGCAACAGGCGCGATCCCCCTATTTAGGTTTTAGGGATTCCGCCCCCCCACCCCCCCCCCTAGGGCTTAGGGAATAGGATTTAGGGAGTAGAAAATTTTGCGGGTCCCGTTCTCAGCGATAGGATTTCGGGTCATATAGGTGTCGAAACTAGAAAACGGGGCGGGGGGGGGGAACAGACATACATCTAAATATATCTATATGTATATATATATATATATATATATACATAATATATATATATATATACGGTACCCCCCCCCCCCCCCCCCAAAAAAAAAAAAAAAAAACTACCATTTTATACTTTTCTCCTATACTTTATCGTCATGCGTGGCATTCCACAGATGGACCCGATTAAAAATTGAATCAGCCGATTCAATTTTGAATCGTCCCTCCAACTGAAGATTGAAGATTGAAGACTTCAGTGTGAGGGCCGATGAGAGGTTGGGCGGAATTTCATAGTGGAGTGCTCGGTGTTGTGAGGATGCTCGGGTACAGTTTTTTGACGTCACGCACGTGTAGAAAATTAGGAAACGGTAGGTTTTGAGGGGGGGGTTAAATATTTGCCGCAACAAAGCTTCTCTCGCCCCAGGTCAGCCTCGGCCTTAGCTGCAGCTCTCAGCCGCGCTGTCGGCCGCTTCCTGGACGCGAACAAGAACCCTTCCCGCAAGGCCTCCCGGGGTTTCCATACGGGGAGAGTTCACCGGCAGCTCCAAGTCCCCGTGCATTCCGTCCACTCCGTGTACTCTCTCTCTGATGTGGACTGGTCCTTGAGATGTCTTGCGGAGGTCAAAGAGATCGACAATCGCGGGAGCCACTACTGGGTAGCTCGCTGCCCTTGCTGCACTTGGCCGGAGCGGTAAAGCGATCTACCCTCATATCAGCTGCGGTCTGCAGCTTTTTCGAGGGCTTGTTTCTTGAACGTTGACAACCAAAGCTACACTGCCCCAGCAGCAACGACCTCCACTGAGGCTACTGGGCTGAGGAGTTGGCCGCTCAGAGTGACGACAAGCGGCTCAAGGCTGTGCCCGCAAGTCACGTCAGAGGGTGCAGCTGTTGCATAAGTCGTTGGCAAGTATCTGTAAGAAGTCTGCAATCGAGTCCTTAGCCAGGACATCTTCTCGACAGTGGCCGAACAGCTCAAGGTCGGGATTCTCTCATGTCTTTTGCCATCGGAACCGGAACCGTTGCTGTAGAACCATCAGGAGAAGGAAGCTGCCATCCTGTCGGACATGATTGACTGCCAGGGAAAGGCAGTGGACATTGGCGGCTATTACCATGTGGACAAGGCCAGAGGGAAATACAGAAAGGCCTTGAGAGGCAGAATTGAGGTCGTTGGGTGCATGGCAAGGCCAAGGCGGACGTGGCCATGAATCCCAGCGCCACCTTCAACGGCCCTTGGTCTGACAGTGATCCATTGCTCCGCAGTCTGCGCCACCACAGGTCCGAGGTTTGGGGATTGCTTTGGATGTTTTGGACTCTTGGTCTCTCCGCTATTCTCGGAGCTGGACATTTGTTCAAGTTGTTGCTGTGATGGTGCCGCTGTTTGAGCGCAGTGGGTTAGTAGCTGCTACTTCTTTCCACTTCGAGGGTTGCCAACTTTCTACATCCCTCATCCGCTGCGCTTTGTCGGGCCTGTTCTGACATTTTGCAGCTGATCTGCCCTTTCCAAGGTATCATCACGAGCCTGGCTCAGGGCCCGGATGCGAAGAAGTGAGGCCCCGCCTGTGATTAAAAACCAAGGGAAGGTAAGCAAAAAGTGGGGGCATCCCAAGATACCGGAGCTGCTTTTTGTCTTCCCGTGATGCATCGGATGGTCGAGCCTTCTTATGTGCTACCATGCTGCGCGATGCAGGCTTCGCTGCTCCAGGCTGAGAAGTTCGATTATTTTCCAAGCCTGCACGGCCTGCACAGCAGCTGTGCGCCGGCAGGTCAGGTGAGGGTCTGCAGGGCCGAATCACAGTAGGTCACGGTGTCTCTTGGCACGGATAGGACGACTTGACGTACTTCAAGTTGAGGAGAAGGAAGGTCCCTCCCGCAAGCGGTTTTGGAGCGCTGACCTAGGGCAGCATTGGCTGCTCTACATTTTGCGGCCTCCTGTGTGGCCTCCTAACCCGGTGTGAGCACGTGAAGATGCTCAAGCCCAACTGCTTTTTAAACATCTTTTGGCAGCTGCCTTTTGCAGCCGTAATGATGCGATGCCCCTAGACTACAATGTTGACGTGTCGCACACATGTGCCGCGCCCATCGTGTGACCTGTTGAGCTTCCAGCCCGATCCCTCCTCTGGATTCCTGTGGCCTCACACCCGACGTTCCGGGCAGAAGCAGTTCGCCAGAGTTCCTATCCTGCCAGAGCTCCCAGAGTACGAGAGCTCGTTCCGTTCGTTTCAAGGCCCAGTGCCTATAATTGCCTATGGCTTACAAAGTCCGCACCATCGCAAGGAAGACATGTGAAGCAACATGATTGATTAATCCCGAAACCGCTTGTCGTGAGCCAGAAGAACCACCTCGGAACGGACCTTCGGAGTCTTCCAAAAGCCTGGCAGATTCCAACGAAGGCCACAGCTCCAGGGCGCGCAGAAGTTACACATTCCACAATCCTGTCAGATACATGGACCGGCACATCATCGCCTCAGTCCCGGTCTCAGAGTGCTCGCAAGACACCAGCACTCTTCGGCGGCGAACGGAGCAAATCAGGGGGATCAAGGGGATCCAAGGCTCCTTCAGTCACTGACCTCCTGCCGGAGGCTCGTCAAGGGCACAGACTCATGTGAAGGGAAATACACATACTGCAAGAAGAATATCAGATCCAGTGGCAAGCAGATACTGCGAACACATGATGCTCGGTTGTCTGAAGAGAAGCACAGGGATTGCCAGTCATTGACAGCGTACAGTCACTAACGCTAGCTCCTTGGAGAGTGCGCCAGTTGTCATTTATCTCTCAATGTCTCGCTCTCTCCCTCTGTCTCTCTCTCCCTCTCTCCCTCCTTCTCCCCTTGTTTTCTCTCTCTTTCAGGTGGGTCAACAGCCGTGGGCCATAAGTGGTATGAAAAGCAATCAGCTCATGGTTATGGCGGTATGGGAGAGGGGAGAGGGGAGAGGGGAGAGGGAGAGGGGAGAGGGGAGAGGGGAGAGGGGAGAGGGAGAGGGAGAGGGGAGAGGGGAGAGGGGAGGGGAGAGGGGAGAGGGGAGAGGGGAGAGGGGAGAGGGGAGAGGGGAGAGAGGGGGAGAGGGGAGAGGGGAGAGGGGAGAGGGGAGAGGGGAGAGGGAGAGGGGAGAGGGGAGAGGGGAGAGAGGGGAGAGGGAGGGGGAGAGGAGGGGAGGAGGGGAGGGGGGAGAGGGGGAGAGAGAGGGGGGGAGGGGGGAGGGGGGGGGGAGGAGGGAGAGGGGAGAGGGGGGAGGGAGGAGGGGGAGGGGGGGGAGAGGGAGAGGGGAGGAGAGGGGAGAGGGGGGAGGGGGGAGAGGGGGGAGGAGGGGAGAGGGGAGGGGGGAGGAGAGGGGGAGGGGGAGAGGGAGAGGGGAGAGGGGAGGAGAAGGGGAGGAGGAGAGGGGAGGGGAGAGGGGGGAGAGGGGAGAGGGAGAGGAGGGGAGGAGAGGGGAGGAGAGGGGAGAGGGGAGGAGAGAGGGGAGAGGGGAGGAGAGGGGAGAGGGGAGGAGAGGGGAGGAGGGGAGGGAGAGGGGGAGAGGGGAGAGAGGGAGGAGAGGGAGAGGGGAGAGGGGAGAGGGGAGGAGAGGGGAGAGGGGAGAGGAGAGAGGGGAGGAGGAGAGAGAGAGAGGGGAGGAGAGGGGAGAGGGGAGAGAGGGCAGGGGGAGAGGGGAGGGAGAGGGGGAGGGGAGGAGAGGGGAGGGGGAGAGGGAGGAGAGGGAGAGGGGAGAGGGGGAGAGGGGGAGAGGGGGAGGGAGAGGGGAGAGGGGAGAGGGGAGAGGGGAGAGGGGAGAGGGGAGAGGGGAGAGGGGAGAGGGGAGAGGGGACCACTCCCCCCCTTCAATGATTTCCCCCCCACCCCATTTTTCCGTAAAGTCGACTCTGCCACTGGAGTGTTTTTTGGGTGGCACTTTGCCCGGACCCTTAAACTTTAGCCGTGCATGCGCAAGCTTGCGCCGCTGCGTGCACAAAAGCCGCGGTCTCAAGTATGATCATGCCACCGAGCAAGCGCAGGTGATTAAATTGACCACCCATTCCCCAAGGCGCCATAAGTTGGTGCACCGGGCCTGGTGCCACCTTTGAAATCTTGGTTAGCCATTTGTATATGGGTGTAGGTGGACCCTTGATCACATACGTTGTGCAGGCTATGCCTATGATTGCTCTTCTTGAGATGGGCGGTCGATGATTTGCAGGACCTGAAAGAAGCGGCTGCGGAAGCTACGCTGGCTGCTGGGTGCCCCAGAGGACCTCTGCCACACGGCGCGCCTGAAGTGCTAACCTATGCAATATCCTGCAACATGCATAGCGTGCATGGCACAGTCCAGCCTTGAGATGCGAAATACCTGGTTTGCGGGCTCTGCCTTTGCTAGCGGATCCAGCCGGACGTCCATGAGATACTGGTAGTTACTGGTAGACAATGGTACTCGTGAACGTCAGAAAGCATGGCCACTCGTTTGTAGAATTTTCAGAGCGTCACTTGCTTTCAGAACTGTCCAATGCTCCTGGAGCTGACAGTCCCAACTCCTCTATCGCTTCAAGAGAAGCCTCTAACACAGCCGCAAGTGCAGCCAATCTCCTTTCTATCAAAGCAGAGTACCTCTCCTTGAGCCTCATACCGCGGACTTGACAGACGATCTGTAGAACGACAACCGCTGCGGTGCTTCGGACTCGAATCAAACCACGCATCCATGCGGCGCCTTGTTGCGATCGGCTCCTGCTGGCTTGCTGCGGGGAGCGACTGCAGCTGCGCGGACACGAGGCATGCCCCTGTCGTCTCGTGAGATGTTTCGAGCTTTAGTTCTGTCTCTGTGCCTTGAGATGCTTCCATATGCTTTGTCAATTTGTCAGCGACTCAGAATGATGGAAGCCAGAAGATGTCTTCGAAACAGCTTCTGTCCCTCGAGAGACGTGCTCGGAATATCTCGGAATCACGGCCATTTGTCACCTGCCATTTTCCCGCATGAGCATAATGGTTTCGGCACGGTCTTGCTGTTGCTGCGCGAGGGCGCGATCGTTACCGCGCAGATGCCCAGACAGATATGGCTGAGTTCCCATTTCGCAGACAGCCGTGCCGAACTTTATCGCAACGACCGTGTGGCCAGATGTGCTTCGAAAAAGAAAACGATCGTTGTTTCAGGCACCGATGTTTTGATCTACACATGGGCTGGTAACATGCGGATGCTATCGTCTTGACGCATGTGCGGTGGCTGCCGTGGACATCACAGACCCGTGCTCTCTGAACTAGAGAGGCGCAACGCTGCGGCTTTCTGCGTTTGCCTTTGCCTCCTTGCAGGCGGCCCCTGCGAACGGAGAGCGCCTGGCGCGCTGCTCAGCAGGCTGAGGCGCCAGCTTGGAAGGGTGTTTGACTTTGACATCTCAGTAGCTCTAGCATTGTGTAGCATGAGCACAGGGAGGGCAGGTTTCGAAGAATGGCTGCACTTTACGTTCCCTAGTGCCCTGAGCGTGACTGGATTCTTTCCAGCAGTACGAGTGTGCCTGGCCATGCACGGCCGCAGGGCATGCTGCAGAGCATTTGGGCCCCGACAGCAACGGGCAGGGACAACTTGCATCAAAGAAGCTGATTTCATCTTTGGTTTCATTTTTCTGAGCACATCCACAGGTTTTTTTGGCCTCTAATCGGCTGCACAGGCTTCTAGGCTTCGCGATCTCTGCAGGACCGCTAGGTGACAGTCAAAGCCCACAAAAGCCAACGCAAGCAGGTGGATGAGCTGCTCGACATGCACTGGGACACTCGGTTGTTCTTCAGATGTTTCAATCTTTACAGACCTTCATATCACCGTTTATCAGTTTTCTCGTCTTGCCGTTCAAGATTGTAGGAGGCTTTCAGGATCCCACAAACATGTCTCAATCCCAAGGACTACACACGGACAGGTCGGGAGCTGAGAGGAGCTGAGCACACAGGGTTAGCCACAGAAGCTCAGAGAAGTTTTCGAAGTCACTCCCTCGTTTTTGAGGCTACACCATCAGCATCGAAGATGATGAGCTCGTCCAGCAAGCCCAGGCGACACCTTTGCCTTTGTCTGTTTGTAGCCACTCGTACCGTACTCGTACCCATTCCATGAAGTTTCTCTTGCTGGAGCTCCTACCAGTACATGCGTGTGCCTGCCAGATGCGAGTGCGGAATGCTTCGGAAACCGACGCGCCGTCTGCCCACGTGTACGGAGAGGCACGATCTGGGTGTGCTCTCGAATGCAGGTGTCTGGAGCTGGCAGTGTAGTTTGAGAGTGGTGCTCACATGGGTACTCCCGCCCTGAACCGCCCGCTTCATGCATCCGCGAAGTGACCTAGAAAGTCCCTGCCCGCAGCTTACTGCGAACGGGGTGCGCCAGCTCTCCAGTTTCCTTGGCCTGGACGAGGCGTGCATCACCCAGTGCCCCATCACAAATGCTGGTAACGCTCGCGGGTCGGTTGGGTTTCTACTTTGGAGCTGATCAGAGGGGTATCTAGCCTCCGACGTTAAGACAGATTAAGACATGTGAAGCGCTGCGACGGCGCTGCCTCCCTTATCTTGAGCACCGTGCAGGCTGCCCAAAGCTGCAAACTCTTGCAGGCCACGGATGCGTCGTTCGTGGATCTGGGGGCTGGCGTCGGGAAGCTGCTTGGCCAACAAGTTTGAACTGCAGACGAATCAGACAGGTTACCCAGGTTCGTCTGACAAAACTTCGTTGGTGGTGCTGCTGGGGCGACATCAACAGAATGTTTTTTTTGGCATTTCGGGCCAAACACGTTGCCCACATGGCACAATGCATCTTAGCTCATTCTCGGCCACCAGAAGCACACATGTGCAAAGAGATGCAACCTTCCTCCAGCGTCGCTACACCGGCCACTCTCCATTTTCTTGCCTTTTCTCGGCTTCATTGGCAGGTTTATGTATTGAAGAGCGGACTTGGTACATGCTCAATGCAAACAGCAGGGAAGGTTCTTGGTCTTTTCACATGTTGGGCCGTGTGGTCGTACCTCAAGCCAGGCATTCTGTCAGTGCTTCCACCCCCCAGGCTGGTGGTGCAGATCTACCTGGAGAACCCAAGGCCCGCAGAGACTGGGTAAGAACGCCTGGCGGCAGAGTTTTTCTTGTAGACCGGGGACGATGCCCAAGCCAAAGTTCAGGAGTACTCGTGTAACATAAGATGGATGTAGGATACAGGTTCTAGCTTACTGAGGTCATAGGGTCCCTGAAAGTTGAAAAAGCAGAGTGAAGGCAAATGACCATAAGTGACCATGTGCACTCGTGTCACATTGTTGAAGGTTGAACCATTGAAGGGTTCTCGGCTTCTCGGCTTCTCTTCGGGCTGAGATCAGTTTTGACGGGCACGGGCGATTCGTGTGTAATACGTTCACATCCTCCAAGCCAAGACTGTAGCCAAGCTCCAAACACCCATTACACATCATTACACAGTTGCGTCCCAAACCAAGACCGCCACATTGTCAGCATTGCCAGGGTGCGCAGAGCACTAGGCGTGGAGCTCTCGCCCGGACGCGCGGAGGCCGGCAAGGTGACTCGGCAAGGCACGCAAAGAAAATTGGCACAGTTAAGTTCGGGAGTTTTCGGAAGTGAAGTGAAGGTTGAAGTGTGCATATTTCTGCTGAATCAATGGAAGACTCACAGACCTAAGTAAGCACCTTGCGGAAACCGCCACTGTGGTAAATTGTGGAACCCTTGAAAATACGTCCCCCCGGTCTGTCGGCGGAGGAAGCTTTGAGGGAGCTGCGCGCCGGGCCTTTGCCTTCACTGCGTCGGCGGGCGCTCTTGGGTCAAACTTTGGAGGAGAGAGCATCTGCGTTTTGTAACATGTCTCTACATCATGATCCGTACATGTTTCGCACATGTCAACATACATCTCGGAGCCTGCAACAACCCCGAAAGGGCCGGAAGGACGCCGAAGGTCGGAAAGTCCCAGAGTCCCAGAACTTCTTTGTGGTGAAACGGCACTGCCATTTTCGAGCAAGGCTTCGCGAATGTTTCGAGCAGAAACTCTTGGTACTCAGACGAAACGAAGTTGCAGAGTACAAGGCCCCACAATGCTGCGCGTCTTAGTGTCAGGACGGAGCGTTTGCGTCTGATCCCATGGCTTTAACCGGCGAAGTGGACTTTGTGGAGGGTGACATGCTGCTTGGAACGAGTGTGCGCTTGACAAACTTGGTTGAGTTTATGTGGGCTGTACTCGATTGCAAGCCGTAGTCCTTTGCGGGGCTCATTGGGTGAGCTGAGGTTTCAGCTGGACCTGAGCCACGCCACACATGTCTACATGGCGTCTACCTCTTGGTGCCTTGCAGAGAGTCGCAGGTCTCTTTCCCATAATGTTCTTGGGGGGCCTCGACTTTGTAGACCTGACAAGGTGCCCCTCGATGCTGCGCAAGCTGGCGGCCAAGCTGCTGAAGGCCCAGTGTTGCCAGCCCCGCCTGTGTTTCCAGGTGTTTGGTTTCACCTCAGCTCCATGAAGGACAGCCCAAACTTGCCGTTGCTGCTCCTCAAACCTTGATCAGGAGGCGACAAACCTGCAGGCTGCCGCATCGCTGAAGCGCTTGCCTGAGGCCTTCTGCTCGTGTGCCCGAGCGAAGTATCTTGAACATTCCTGAACCTGCGGGACAACGTTTGCGGATCATCTGTGAGCAGGTTCAGGAGCCAGCCACAAGCTCAAGCCAAAATTCGGCAAACAGAACAGGCCCTAATTCCAGGAAGCAAAGCAGCAACAGCCGCGAACCGTTAGCCTCAGAGACTGAAGCGGTTTTAGGGCTCGGGACTCAAGTTTTCTGGCTTCTGCTGCTTCGATTCCAGGCTGTGATTTTCATGTCTCCCGGCTGCCGCGTTGTCTTTTGCTTTGCAACCGCAGATCTGAGGGCCCAAGCACAACAAGAAACTCCTTCCCAAAAAGAGACTCTCCGCCTTGGGGATTACGTTCGCAGGGCCTTGCCGGCTTCGAAGAGTCCCAAGCCCAACTCCAGACGTGGCCTGGCTGGAAGCACCCCCAAGTTGGTACAAAGCCTCTGTTTGGAGAGGCGGCTGTAGAGCGGTCGCATCCTGCTATCGAATTGTTGCTTTCGGTTTTTGGGGAGCAACAGCATGTGGGAGTCGCACCTTAGGCCTTGACGCAGCGAAGTTCTATCTGTGAGCAAACATTGTTTTCGGCTTTGCGGGGCGGGGAATCGCACTTTGGGCAGTCACACGTTCTGGATGGTTGTGGCTTTTGAGTCTGATACACAATCTCTGCTTGGGGATTTGCTGCCAACAGGCGCTCCAGCTTGTTGTAAAGCCTGTCTACAACTTCAGCGTCTGATAGGCGTCGTGTGTTCTGAGCTCTCACGGATTGAGGCCGCCTTGCAAGGCTCCATACAAAGCTTTGTATGAACATGTCAGAAGCTGGTCTCCTGCATTGGGCTTTAGGAGGCAAGCCACCATGTCCCACGGTGCCACAGGGGAGCCTCCGGAAAAGCTAGGATAGGGCTTGGTGAGCTTAGGAGATATAGTAGGGCTTTACCGAAGGAGAAGAACCATTGCCAACCGTCATTCACGGGCGCGCGCTCGTGCCTTCGGAGCCCCCCTTCGGTCAACAAGGTTCCAGGTTTCATTTCTCCAGCATACAATCCGAGGTCGTGGACCAAAAAGGATCCCTCCGGCTCTCGAGTGTGACTTTGCTGCAGAACAAACTCAACACGCGCGTTTTGCCAATAACATCTGGCATTGCAAAGTAGGGCTGTGGGTTTGCGAGTGTTTCATGCTTGGTGAAGGGATGTGAAGGGTTTTTACATTCCATTCCGAAGGGTGCACTCCAAGCCCTGCAGAAAACCAGAAGACCAACGCCAGTGAAAGAAGGCACAGGCAGCCGCTTCAGAGTCCCTAGAAGCCTAGAATTCGCACGGCAACTCCAACAAAATTCTCGGACCAGGTACATATACCGCCCTGTGCAGCAATGCCATGCAACGTGAGCGATGAATGCAAAAGGGCGTGGGCTTTGCGAGGCCTTGGGAGCTCGGAGGTTGCCCTGTGGGGCTCGACAGGCTGGTTTAGGAGTTTAGGACCTACCTCGATAGAGGAGCTTAGGATGATGACTAATCGGATGGTTCAGAGAACTTCGGTTTGCCTCTGCTGCATGCCCGTTCATGCCTGCTTGCGTCGATCTACGGCCTCGGTGTGTTGATGTGTATTATTTATTGCATATTCTTGCTCTGATTGCTAGTGTTAGGATTCTCACACTTTCTACTGTTACTACGGTTACTCGTACTGCCATGACGATGATTGGGGCATGGTGATGACCGCTTGATGACCCCAGGGGGTCGCCTCTAAGGTCTTGGCAAGCCCGACGCAGCTGTGGCCTGGAAGGGGTGCGGCAAGCTTTTCAGCAGCCTGCTGCAAGAAGCTGCAAGTTTGTTGCCCTCCCCCCCCCCCAGACCCTTGTCCTGACTTCCTCAGCTGATGCAGAAGGCAGCCTACTACGAGGGCTCGATGGACAACCTGCCCGGGGCCCTAAACACCCCCTGAAACCTGTTTCGGTTTGCAGCTGTAGGGAGGACCTGGGAAGGGCTTTGTTGGAGGGTTTCAGGGCAGGGTACCATCCCTGGTTTGCCGGGTTCATGAATCTGGTCTGCGTTGCCGGGAGTTGCGCTTCGCGAGGACGATAATCAATGTGGACACAGTGCAAGACGACTCAAGCATGTGAAGGGTGACACCTTTCCAGGTCTGCAGTGGCAGACTGGGTGTTGCGAAATCGGCGGCTGGGATGCAGCAATGTGGGACCCAGTATCTTTAGTATCTTTACGGTTGCCGGTATGACACCCCTTTCCTACACCTGCCCCAACATCCTGCGGGCTTCTGGAGTCCTGTTCCAGGCTTCTGAGGTTGCGCCAGTTTAAGTCTGACCAGTCCGAAGAGCCATGGTTTCATGAATACCAGACCACGCATTATGTTGGCCCGTATCTTAATGCTATGCAGAAGGCGCGCCGGAAGCCCATCACCGTCTCCCTTCTTGCGGCCATAGTTGAACCAACAGCACTTCTTTCTGTCGTAGGGGAGCAGGTTGCTACAACAGGCCACCGGAAACGGTCCTCAACCACCAAGCCGAATGCCGGCAAAGGTTTCCTTCTGTGTGGGCACTGGGTGAGGGAAACTTTTACGAGTTCACCCACTCGGACAGGTGGGACTGCTGCATGTAGAGCGGTTCCATGGTCCCTTCACTGTCGCACCTCGAGACTCCATGAATTGTGATTGCCGATTTCGGGATGTTTTTCCGTTCAGTGTGCAGGGTTTCTGCACGATTATCGGTTCGGCAAGCAACCAACTCGACTTTTTCTTGGCTGTTGCATGTGCCAGGCGCGGTTTCAGTTTCAATGTTCCAAACGACCTCCAGCTCCCCAAACAATTCCCAGCATCCAAAATGCTACAGCTGGAGCTCCCAAAACTGTGCCACCTTAACCTCCCTCAATGATTCAAAGCTGGAACCGAGGCTTTCGTAGAACAAAGCAGGGCGCCCTTGGGTGTTTCCAGGCCGGCGGTGCTGGTGGCACTCGGCCCGCAGGCGCCTTCAAGCAATTTTCAGGGTTTTGTGGAGGCATAGGCTCCAAGCAGGCTCCAAGAGAGCGGCGCATGGGAGACCAGAGGGCTTTAGCAGAAGTCTGAAGGTGGGCGCGGACCTGGAGAAAGAAATCCGAGGCACGCCAGGGAGAGTCCGGGAGAGCTGTGAGAGCACGCCAAGAGCTGTTCGTGGTTGCCTCTTTTTGCTTTGCAAGGCGCGCAGCGGGAGTTCTCGCAAGAGTTCCTCTTCGGGGCCCTCAATGGATCCCACTGGTCGGAGGAGTGCTGTGGAAGATGCAGGTGCCAAACTCTCGAGGCTTAGGGGAAGGTCTCAGCAGTCTAAGGACAGGGAGCTCCATGGGAGCTCCAGCCTCGTTTTGGTTGCACTGAAATAGATCGGGATTGAAGGGGGGAGGGGGACGGGGTGTTCCGCAAGATGGACACTCAGAGGCTATGCTACGCGTGCCTGTGAAAGACAATGGCTTTCAAAGGGAACACCCTCAGAATAGCGGAGTGCAGTCGGCAGCGCCCAGACCGCAGCAGGAAGAGCGTAGCGCGCAGCACGCATCGGGCGTGCGGAACGCAGCCAGCAGATGGCGCGGAATATGCGGCGGGCGCAGGGCCAAAAATCTTTGGCTTATGAGGTTGTAGAAAGTGCCGGAGCTGTGCTAAAGCCAGCCGTTGTGTGCATAATGTGCCCTGTGTAGCATGACAAACATTTACGCCTCACTTGCTGCATATGCCTTCAGTCGGATCCACACTCGCTTGTGATGAGACAAATCCCGATGACACAAACTCTAAGCCCTCGAAGGCGAGTTCACTTGTTTGAAGGTAGGCGCGACTGAGCGCCAATCGCGGGAAAAAGGACAATCTCAATCGAGGTAAAACGAGCCCGAAAACCTGCTCCACGAGGCACGCGCCGAATAGGCAGAGTGATTCTCTGACGGTCTGACTCGCAGCACCGGCCGTAGAGAGATCGCGAGCTGGTCGTGAAAGGGACTCCATCGGAGCAGCGGTCGTTTTGGTTTGCAGATTTCTTCCCGGTGGGTTGGCGTGCTTCCGGGCGGGCGGGCGCTCCTGATGCATCTTCGATCGCGACAGCTTGTGCCATGAACTCTAACTAGGCGGGACCTCTCGGCTCACACAAGACTTCTGCGTGCATACGCCTTCAGTTACCTCCAGAAACCCTTAGCCCCAAACCTCAAACGTACTATCGCGCGTGCCCCCTCGCTTTCGTCCGGGTCTCTTCTGTCAAGTATCCTCCGCCAGCACGTGCCAAGACTTGACCACTCAAAGTTGCTCGTCTTGTAGAGGAAAAGATGCCCGTACATGGATAAGATCCACGCTTGCGCGCCGCCGCCTTGACCTGACCCGGTGCAGGTGGTCATAGGGGGTCTTACGAAGTCTCACGACAGTCCAGAGGGGCAAATAGGGGGTCCATAGCATGTCCAGAGGACAAGGAGGTCCATGGAGGTCCGTGGGAAGCCTGAGCAGTGGGGTTGTGCTGTCACCTGAGTGTGCTGAGCAGCATGGGAGGAATCACTAATGGCCACTCTGCACCCCTTGTCCGATTTGTGGCAGGAGCTCAAGATGTTCAACATCCATCCGCAGGAGCTAGGGACACATCCCTGTCACCCCGCGGGGGCTTCAAGTTCATGCAGCTCAGGATTGTGGTTGGGGAAGAGTTGCTGGTAGTTGATGTCGGGCCACCACTTGCTTCTTGAGCTCTGCAGACAGACTGCATGCGGCGTAGGAGCCCGCAGAGGGGCCTGGTAAAGTCCTCAACCTTCTCAGTTTCTCTCAACGGCGGCCGCGCCCCTTTGATGGCTCAACTCATGGCAGACGCTTTTATTCTTATCATTCCCCAGAAGCCAAGGCATAGCCCACAGCCTGGGGCCAGGCTCCCCTCTTTGAGCCCACCCACCCTTGCACCCCTCAACCCCAATGGGTGCCCAACCCTCTACTCTACCACACTCTTCCCACCACGCCCACCACACCACACAGCAAAGCCTCCGAGATGCCACGAGTTGTTGAGTCTTATTGGGCGGGGAACGTCTTCCCCAAGAAGCAAGAACTGCAGTTTCCCTGTCCCCTGGGGACCTAGGGTGCAATCTGTGCTCAGCCATGACGACGTGCGCAGAGCCTTGGACAAAGGGTGCCTTCAAGCGCAGCCCAAGTTTCGTAGCCGCCCTGAAGTCTCGACAGAACCCTTCCATCGTGCCTGCGCGACAACACGAGAGCATCGCCCTAATCGTGCTGTAGCAGGGAAGGGAGAGTCGAAGAAACCCGGGAGGCTTGAAGGTAGCAGGATGTACAGCAAGGCTTGTGTCAGTGCCTCGACTCTTACCTGGAGAGTCTTGCCCACTCCAGGACTCCGGTTCGGGGTATTGTCGCAATTGTGCCCGAAACCCATGAAACCCTCAACCCAGTTCCTCGCTAAGCTGGCTGAGGATCTCAATGCACCATATTCGCGGGCGGAGCTGAAGCGGGCTTGCTGCCTGAAGTTAAGGCATAAGGCAGCTTAGCAGCTTGTTTTCTTGCAGCATCTCCAGAGCATTTATGGGACTTCATGGGCCGACAAGGGTTTCGTGACCACGACACAAGAGTGGGTTGAACATGTTACTGTCTGTTAGCGGCATGGGGTGCCATGTCTCAGCATTTCTTTCTGACAAGCCACGACGCCAAACAACCCAAGCCCCTTTCTCCTCTAACCCAGCTGTTGCAGCAATCTTGCCGCAACCTGTTGCAACAACCCACACAGAAAATCCGCTACTAGCGCCAAGCTGGATGCCAAACCGAAGCCAAGGTCAAGGCTGTTCGATTCACCATGTTCGACGCAGACACTCTCACGGGGTGTCCTCAAAGACCGCAAGGGTACAACGAGTTGAGAAGGGAGGGGGCTTAAGACATCCTCCAAGTGCGCCGAGGTGGAGGTGTGGAGGTTGTTACTTCTGTGAGAGGTACTCTGTGGCGGAGATCTCCAGCAGCGAAACTTACAGACAGGGGTATCCAGCCCCTGGGCAGCACGTCATGTGTGTGTTCAACTGAATCTGGTACCTTTTGGCTTCTCGCTTGACCGAAGAATCTGATATATAAATCACATGAGTTTCAAGCTTGATCAAGGGGCGGGGCCCAAGGGTGGGGCCCAAGGGTGGGCAGCAAAGCTGATACCCGGCCCATGGAGTGCCCAGGACCTCAGAATGCTCGGCTCCCGTCAGCTTCAGATTGCAAGAGGACGTGTCGAACAGGTCGGGCCCCCCTTATGTGGGGGCCTACAGGGCATCATGTGCATCGGCCCCGCGATGCCCATGGGAGCATCTTGAGCATCGAGAGCCTCAGGGTGCGCTGACAAAGCTGTGTGTTGCGATGTTTTGGGTGCCAGGGCCACTGATGCCCATGATGCCCATGATGCTCACCCCGAGCCATTCCGTAGTTGAGGGCGAAAGGAGGAGCTTTGGAACTGAAGGACTTCCTCTATGTAGGGGCGTCCGCGGAGGGCCCCGCAGCTCTGCAGTTGTGCATCCAGAACGAGTTGTCCTGGTTTGCTTTTCAGGTTCACGGAGGCGTGAACGATCCCCGGCTCGGCCCGATCGATGTGCGTAGCTGGGCATCAACAGGAGATTAGGAAGCCACCAGAGATGACCTGGAAGGGATCCGTCGGTCGCATAAGTTGTCTCAGTTCCTGTAGCTGCCAAGCAACTCGTTCAGTCCACACACGGAGAGATGGTTTTTGCAAAGTATGTGGAACGAAGTGATCCCGTGCTCTGAGGAACCCTTTGTGAGACATGCGGGCAAGGCCGCCTGCCGGGATGTTGAAGGGAGTGTCCTACTTGCAGTCCGCATGTCGAGGAGCGAAAAAGTTCATCAAACGCTGCTGCAGAAGGTATAGGCCGTATAGGCGGCATAGTGCGAGCTGTTCCATGCTGTTCCCACAATTTCGAATTCGCCAAGCCATCTTCCGAAGATGGGGTGGGGGGGGGGGGGGTACCCTCCTTTGCCCAAACTCCCCCCCCTAATCTGGGCAACGCCCATTTGAAGGACTTGACCTTTGAATATCCAAGAGATTTGCCTTTTCGGCCCCCAAGTTCTCAATCCTCAGCTGTGTGGAGGCATCAAGCAGTGCCCTGGTCACTGGGGCCACCTCACCCTAGCGAGACCCATGTTGGGGGCCCCGGCGCTTTCAAGTTGGGGTTTGATGTCTTTGGTGTTTTTTTTGGTTGGTTCTTGCTGGTTTCGTTGGTGCTGATGCAAGCGTTTAGGTGAAGGTTGATGGTCTTCGGGTTTTTCTCTACCACTTGTTCACCCTTCTTCGTCAGATTGCTCAAAGCTGCGCGGGGCTCGAAGGTTGTCGCCCGAACAGTCGAAAACGTATTAGTATTAGGCCTCGAGCTTCATGCAGTGCAGGCCTTTTCCAGAGTCCCGCAAAAATACTTCTCTTCCCCCAAGGCATCAGAAACCTGAACGCTGAGCCCCAAGCCCACTCCCCGAAGAAACGGAGCATGCTGCGCTGTGAAGAGGATCCTCCAGAGTACGTCCGGTACAATCTCTGCGTGTTTTGGGGCTGAGGGATCGGCTCAGGGTGTTTAGGAGTCGGGAGGTCAGGGCCTTGTGTAGCCCCGAAAGATGGGGGTTGTTCTGGAGCTTTCAGCCCAAAGCCTAAGAGTTCTTGTTCCGACACCCCAAACACCGGGAGAGCCAAAGAGCCATGCCGGAGTGGGACTACCTCCCGCCCCTCGAGTCAGAAGTCGGGAGGTCCTCGCAGGCGCAAACCCTTTCAGTGGCCATTTTGTGTGGTTTTGGGGGGGTTTTCGTGGGGGCTTCGAGTATTGGAGGCTTTGGCTGTGCTTTCGTTGGGGGACACGCGAGCCTGAAAGCCATGCCGTACCATGCCATGTCATGCCCTGGTGGGGCAAGTGGGCGCTGAAGAAGTGCCTACTCCGGTTGTCTTTTCCTGGAATTCCTTCGACTTCACGACTTCACAGCCCGACAGCCCAACAGCCCCACAGCCAACCACGACCACACTCTTTTCAACCCTCGCAGCTCTCAAGATCTCAGCCCTCAAAGGCGTGTTGTCTGTGGAAGGCGATTGGGAATGGCGAGTCCTCACCGCCCCTGCCGCAGCCGCGACAATGGTTCGAGCCTCAGCACTGAAATCAGCACCGTTCCCACGAGTGCCCTTTGGCGCTGTGAGGTTCTGGCCCTTCTCCCGGGAGAGCACCCGGGCGAGCGAAACCCAGGCATTTCGGGAGTGAAGCGTCTTGGCGGGGTGGGTTTGGTTTTGAGGAATTGGGAACATCAGGAATACTTAGGGCTTGGATGTGTGGAGGTCCGCTCCGTCTTAGGTCACAGCCCGGTTGTGGACATTGGGGGCCCTCTCAGCCCATTAGAGTCTCAAGGTGCCACACCTTCAAGGTCCCAGAATCTCTGACCTGAGAGGCCTATCGGGGCGCCATGCTCGGCCTTCGCCAGGGCGATCTTCGGTGGATGCCGGATGAGAAGTGCACGAAGCGCCCCGGCACACAAGACGAGTAAGGGCATGACCGGTGTTACTAGGATGCCTGTCCAAAACCGGCACGGCTCGTTTCTCTAGTCACGACTGGTTTGTGTTTGCACGGTCTGTTTTATTGAAACCGGATCACTACATGTACGTGCTTTTGTGCAGGTGCTTCGCTTGTGGTGAGCCATTTAGCGCGTGGAGAAGACGCCATCACTGCAGGCGATGCGGTCACTCAAGGGCTAGGCTTGTGGAAGCCGCAAAGCGCAATCCTACTTTTGATTTCCAGGTTGCTGGAGTAGCAACGTTCAACATTCAGCCGCACCGCTGAACCTATGAGATCCAAACAGCGCGAGCTGTGTTGACAGAAGCTACAACTGTGGACGCGTGTGACTAGAACCTTTTGCTTTCGCTGTTGATTGCAGGTGGCGACATCCCGCGTTGGTAGCAGGTTGGTCAGGTTTATTGCAGGCACGGTTCGCCCTGGAAAGGTTGTGCGGCCAGATCTTCTGCTACGACTGCTCCAACAACTTTGTCTCAGGAAAGCTCGTGGGACGCCCTGGAGAGGCAAGAATGAGCCACGACTCCCAACACAGCCTCCCCAAGTATTGTAAGCTGAAGGAACTTTTTTTGGGCAGTGCGGAGTAGAGCAGTCACGTTTCTGGGTGCAGGCACGAGGAGTAGGAGAGGGTGGGGTTGTCTTCTGTATCGTGTATACTTGAAAGCTGTGAACGCGGCAGCTCTCAGGATTCCAAGATTTCGAATTGCAGGTGCCAAGTTGAAATCTGGTTTCAGGAGCCAAGCCTAGTTTTTTCCGGTTCTTGGGCCGACAGGTCAAGTCCCGTCTCTGCGAGTCCTGCCTGGAGCCGCTTCGAGAATTTTTGTTGCGAGTTCAGGAAGGGTAACATCACACCATCGCCTAGCTGCGTGCTCCAAAGCGGAGAAACCTAAATTTGCATTTTGGGTGTGCAGCGGAGAGTGAGAGGAGAAACGGATTCCTCTTCTGCTGGGCAAAGGTTTTGCGACGAAAGCTTGATCATCCAGCGTAGCAGCGCATCCTCGGGCATTGCTTCCTGGCTGCTTCAGGCTTTAGGTTCAGGGGATCAGGATTTGCTTCCACCTTGTCGATCAATCTGACGTTGTGCTAGTTGAGTCGCCTTCGGGTTATGGGCCACAGGGCTGGAGAGGGGCTGAGGTGAAAGATAGGCGGTGTATGGCGGTGTTCGACAATGTCTCCCGTTGCACCACGCCGGTTCGGCATCAAAACTCATCCCTGAGCATCCCACGTAGCCGAGCTGTGCGGCTGTTCCGAGGCTGCCGGCATGCAGCTCTTCCGACGAGAGAATCGTACATCGACCGAGGATGAGGAGCCGGCCGGCTTGCGCTTTGCTGGGCACACTCCAGCTTTGTTTGCTTGAATCTAGCCCTGCCACTTTTAGCTGATGAGCAGCCTTTTGAAGGTCAGTAGGATCTTTGACAGCCCAATGAAAGGGCAGCTAGTACTTACCGTCTATGTAAGCATCAGGTTTCGGTGGTGAAGGCGGATGCACGCTTGACACCCCGTCCTGCTCAAATGCATCGGCCTTTGGAGTTGCGTGAGGACACCGTCGAGCAGGAGGACCTGCTTGCGCACGTGGCAGCCTTTTTTGGTCCTGAACTCTTGACGGCCTGCAAGTAGTTTTCGAGGCCGAAAGAGAGCGCCACATCATGACAAGTCCATGATGGGCAATGCCGCTGAAGCCACTGCACAACAGCCTCAGAGTCTCGTTAAACGAATGTGACGAAGGATGTGGACGACCAGCCTTCCATTTCGGATGGCGATGAGATGCCACCAGTGCCCGAGGACTTAGAAAGCACCTTGGATGCCTGATGAAATCACTGGCCCAAGTGGATGTCAGTTTCTGCCCATCACACTCTCCAGGCCCCCACTCCCCCTTCCCCCAGCAAGCAGCCTTAAATCCTAAACGCCAACCCTAAAACCTGGCTTAAACTCTTGGGCATTCCGACGGAGGCCTCAGCTACTCTCCCTATGGCCCAGACTCTGACGCTCGGACTCATCTGCAGGTTTTCATGTCATAAAGTTATACTTGTACCATCTTGTACAGGGCTGTTGTCCTCCAATGTGGCTGGTTTCCATGCAGTCCTTTGCTGTGCAGGTCTTTTTTTTTACTTTGCCGTAGGCGTCCGAAGACTCTGAAGTGCAGTCAGACCTTAGGAAGTGACGGCTCGGAGCGTGTGGTACTGGGGTGATGAGCCCAACTCCCGTGGGCAGAGGGCGCCCGCCAATCACCGAGCTGAGGCATGGCGCCGCGAACAGGGGTAGCAGTGCAAAAGGAGCAGTCGTAATTAGAACCAGCTTTGACGGTCCTGTCCTTCCATTCAGCCAGTTCTGGTCTGTTCTGGTCAGAATTGCTGTCGACACTATGGTCTCGCGAACTGTGCAGGTGGGCTTGCCTGAAGAGTCCATCGAACACCTCAGCCAATCGTGGGAAGGAGTCCGAATGCTTGCAAGATCTTGCAAGGGTGGGAATCGAGGTCGCTCTAAGACTCGAAGGCCAAGTATGTGCATAACTTCAGGGCCACTGCCGCAGGACTTGAGGATCTGGAGGATCTTGCTGCATGCCAGTGTGATGCCCATGGCACAGAGTGGGCGAACATGGTCGACGCTTGGGGCTCAGGGTTCAGAGGGTTTCAACGCCTCTCAGACATGCATGCCAGCAGCGCTTTGGGAGCTGAAATGCTTAAAGGCATTAAGGTGCCTCAGTATAAGGGCGCGCTTCTTCTGCAAGCCGAGGCAAACCTCCGCCACTTCGGGTCCTCCGTGCGGGAGTGCCTACTGCAGGCCTGTGTGCATGAGGGTTGGGCTTTTGAAAGATCTGTTGCATCTGTGATCGTCTGAGGCAGGGGAGGGCTTGGAGGATCAGGAGCACCTGCTCACGATCTGCAAGTTGGCACAGCAGGCTACGGGGGGCAGACCACGAAAGATTGAGAGGAGGTTTGAGTACGGTTGAGTCTTGTCAGCCTGGTTGTCGTAGAAATGGTGCAGTCAGAGAGCCTCCAGCATCAAAAGAAGGCATCAGTCTTTGTGGCAGATGGAGCTCCAGTCCCAGAACCTCGCACAAGGCTTTCCCATAAGACTCGTAGCAGCCTTTCCAAGCAGCAGCAAGCTTGTGACCCCCTCGCCTCACATCCCTCAAAGGTTGTCAAGCAGCTGAGACTGGAGCCTTCCGACAGCATGGATATCCTGACCTATGTGAGCCATGGCCGAAATCGACATGCGTGGGGTACCAGTAGTATGGAGCTTTCCGTGACCAAAGAAGTAGCCACCGTGAGAAGTATCCAGGAACAGAAGCGCCGCGAAGCATTACAAAGCAACGTAGCAGCGTAGATCTCCACGACATCGCATGAGAAAGCCTTTGTTCGAAGCTTCGCGCCTTCACCAAAAGCCCCGAGGAAGGTCAAGAAGTTGCCGGGTGGGCACATCCGAGACTCGAGGCCAACACATGGGAAGCATCTCAGAGAGAGCCGGAATTGGGGTGGGGGGGATTTCAAGCTTAAAGCTTGATGGCTTTGGCTTTTTGCGCACACGCGAGTCTATGAAGTCTAGCAGTGGTAGTTCCGAGCCTCGTACGGGGGGCCTGACCTGTTGCATTTTCGTCCGGTTCGCTGGGAGGGGGATTCGGTTCGGACAAGGGCTGTCCAGCGGCAGGTTCTGGATGTTTCGGGAAGAGTCTGGGGCGCAAGATCTTCGTGGAGTGGGGGTCGGGGGTTGATGGGGGGTGGAAATCGGGCCGAGTCGTCGGAAGATCGGAAAGCGAGAATTTTGTCCTGGTTGCCGTCTGAGCTAAGCACCGATCCACGCGTGCTATGCTCGTTGCTTACCAGCGCTGATGGAGTCAGCACTGAGCACCCCCCCACCCCCAGTCTGCAGTGGATCTTGTTCCGGTATGAACCGTGCCGGAGGTGTCACGATGGCGTGGTCTTCTCAGGAGACGTCGTGCACCAGAAGATGGCGACGGACATTGCAACTTGCAGTGAGTTGCCGTGTGGCTTGCAGTTCTGGCGAAAGCCCGAACCGTAAGTTAGGTGCCTCATCGCCGCAGCAATGCCATCACTGGAACGTGCCAAGTATGTTTCTAAGGCAGACTGTCCGCTGACCCTGATCCAGCTTCCTTTGACCTTCGACTACTTCAACATGCACCTCGCCTTCGGAGGGGCTCAGCGGAACTTCGACGCCTCACTGTCCAGCGCAGCGATCACTGCCGGAATTTCAATTTGGAAGATGGGCCTAAGGAAGACGGACCTGGATGCCCTCCGCGAGCAAGAGCGGATCTACTTGGACCTCAAGGTCCTTCTTCTATCCCTTCTTGAAGTCAGCTTCTTGCCTTGGGCCCCAGGTTGAGAAGATCGTGAAGGATGTGCATCCAGAAAGCCCGAAGCTCCTGCTTTGCCAGGCGATGGTGATTGGAGCATCTGAGATCGGGGAATCTGAGATCCCTCTTGAGAGTTGCGCCTAAATTGCCTCAGGCGGTGGTGTCTCAGCTGGCGCAAGAGAAGCTGCGGAAGCAAGGCTTGGGATCCTTCTCGGGATATCTCGATCCTTGAGGATCCTTTGAAGAGTTCTCCCCCTTTTCAACTCCTTCATATCTGTCACAACTCCCTTTCCAAGTCCCTTTCCTTCGGGGGAGTTTGTTTTAGGCATCGCCGTGATCATCGGCGTCCCTGAGCACATTCTGCACCTCGTACAGCCGTACAGCGAAGATTTCTTTTAAAGTCTTTGCCAGCCTCCAGCCTCCCTGCCACGCGCTGCTTATGCTGTCGAGGAATGCCGTGGCCCGGACCGCCGGCTGCAAGGTCGTTCCCGCTGTGGCTCGACCATTTTGAGTATTGGGGCACGTGGAGAACATTGTGCACACTGGGCACACAAGTGAGATCATCGAGATCCCACAACATGGTCCTGAGCTGAGGTGGACTCCATCCGGCGGACGGGCGAGCAAATCGGAGGCGGCTGAGAAGGGAAAGCGCACGTCCCAGTACACAACAACACGCCCTGGCCCTGAACGCACGACTCTGCCCTCTCAAACACATAGCTGACATACCCCCCCCCCCCCTCGACACAGCCCGAAAATGCTTGGAAGCGAGAGGCAAGGCCCGGCACTTCTACGTGGCCCGCATCGGTCATTTGGGGGAGGCTGGCGCCAAGTCCCTGTGCCTTGGATGAAGCCAGCAGCCAAGTTAATGTCCCCGGATTTTGGAGCTTTCTGCCTGGCTAAGGACGGTGATCGAAGGCTCCAAGAAGGGGAAGTTCAGCCGCTTGCCCATCTGTGTTGCAAGATCCTTTTGGAACCTTCTTCTAGGCCCTAGGCCATGTCTTCTTTCCCAGATGGCAATCTTCGAGTCAACGAAGGCACCCTCGTGCTCCGGGGCGGAGGTCATCATCCCAATCACGTGGACGTCCTTGCCTTGGATCAGGGAGGGGTTCAGCTTGTGAGGGTGGGCATGGAAAAATCCAGCTGTTGTGCAGGGTGAAGAGACAATATAGAGCTGGATTTTGTGCAGAGCCTTGCTGGGCACAAAACGGTCCATCCGATAGGAGAGAGGGCACACGATCTCGTTTCTAGCTTCATGTGGGGCCTTGCGAACTACTGCAAACCCCTCAAAGACGACGCTTGTTATTCTGGAGGTTTGGAGTGGAGTGGTCTGCTTAGTTTTTGGCACAATGTCAGTCCAAAGAAAGGTAGTACAATGCATGCTCCAAGGCCTAAGAACGTCGTGCCCTGACACAAGCAAGTGGGAATTTTCTCTGGCATGTGTGGAATTCCTTAACCTGTCTAGGGTAGGCGTAGGGTTTCGGAGATTGCCGTGTTTATCTGCTGACCCAAGCCCTCAGCCTCAAGACATCTCAAGAGCACCCTCACAAAGCCAGTAAAGCCCCAGAAGCCGAATCAAAGGCTTTGAGGTTCCTCTCCAAGGCGAAGGAGGCTCGGACTCGGGTAGAGCATGCTGAGTTGCAAGCCGTAGATTGACTGGATTGGAAATTCTTAGTTCAAGGAAGTCTACTAAAGTAACAGGAAGCAAGTTTACATGTAAGGGGGTGGGGGGGTTTCTGAAACACCCCGAGGCCTGCACGCTCGTGGGCGTTCCCTCCAAAAAATGTTGATCAGGGGGTGCATGGGGGGGGGGGGGGGGTCAGGGGCTGCAATAAGCGTTTTGCGTGCGGCGATTCCGGCAGGTCTTGCAATGGGCCATCCGCTTGGCTCGGCACATGCAGCTGGAGAATCCCGGATCATTATGTACTTGTACCACTCCTTCCAGTGTTCAGGAAAGATATTTGTGAGAAGTCTGGTGTTGCTGTTCAACTCGGCCCTCTACTCCGTTCAGCCACCAAAGCCTAATGCAGGTCCCCGGCAGCCCAGGACAGAACTCCTTTTTGATTTATGGTGCAGCCACTGGAAGCGGGAGATCAGCCATGCGAGAGAAGGCGGCGCCTAGGGCGTGGGGGTTTTTCGGTTTTCAGCTAAGGCATGAGGATCAGGTTCGGGGCTTGACGAGCATGGATGAGCATCCAGAAGATCAGTCCAAAGCCCGCTGGAAGCCTGCCACTTTGATGAGGGTCGGCCTTGCCAAAGCCGTCCCCTGCTCACAAAGGTGGCCAACCTGAGTTTGAGAATCTCGACATCCTCTACTACCTAGTGGCTCGGAGGAGGTGAAGCTTCAGGAGGTTCAGACGGTTCAGAGTCTCAGATCAGGCATCCAAGTCATTCACAGAGGAAAGCAGCAAGATGATCTGCATGCATGTGAGGGACCAAGTTAGTTGCACCCACTTTTCAATTTCTTTCGAATTGAAGTGTGTTCCGAAGATTCCTGTTCACCGGAAGATTTTCAGATGCACGACATGATGAGGTGAACCGGGACAAGAGTTGCTCTGCACTCTATCGCTGCCGATGTCCACCCTACCGACCCGACCAAAACCAGAGCGAAGAGGTGGGGCTTGCAGGGGTAAGCCAACACTCTTCATGTCTTCAGGTGTGGCATGGAGTTGATGTTTCATGCTGGAAATTCTTTGACCTTTGCAGCTGCACAGGCTTCGGGCAACGATGGCGACACTGTAACGATGAGGGATTGCACTCTCCGCGAATGGTTGGAATCGTGCTTGAAGCGCCCGCAGGTGGGTGTCCGGAGAGGGCGAGGGAGAGGGAGAGTGGGGGGGCTCGAGCAGAAGAGCAAGAGAGCCGGAGAGAGCGTGAGAGAGGCATGCAAGAGAGAGAGAAACCATTTTGGCTCAAATTCACAGTTTCACGAGGACTGGACAACGTGGCGCACGTGTCGCGCGCGGGAGGGGCTGCTGTCTGGGAATTTCCTCTCGAGGCCGGGAGGAGGAGGATAAGAAGAAGAATCAGAATAGGAAGAAAAGCCGTTTTGCTCATGTTCGGGCCCAGGCTGTAATTAGTCAGCCGCGGCGCCGGTCCTGCAAGCCAAGTCAAGTGATCGCTGCTCTACGGAACACGGAAGTTGGGGCTTCGAACAGAGCGTGACAACAAAGACCAGTTGGAGCTGGCACGGGATGCGGGTGAGGCCACAGCTCCTCCGAAACACATGGGCGCTGGCACGCGCAAAAACCGAGAGTGGGAAAGACAACCCAAAGATCACCGAGATGTTCTCGTGAGCTGAAAACATGTGAAAGTTGAGCGCAGGTGGCGAGAAGAGGGGGGGGCAGTCTGGGTTTGTACGTGGATGGTGGGATGAGCGTGGTTTGAGTCTTACAAAGTTGCACTAGGCGTGAAACCGCCAGAATGAGGCTAAGTGGGGCAGCAAGGTGGGACGACGGGGCTGGAGTTCGGGGATTTCAAGTTCGGGAGTGGTTGATGGTGGGGGGGTGTGCGGTTGAGAGAGGTTTGAGTACCACCAGTCTCGTAGATCACCTGTGGAAGAAAGGCCCTTTTTCTGAGCAGGGAAGTCTGAGGGCCATTTGTGGTTGGGGGCCCCACCCTGAGAACAAGAGGGGGAAAGAGTGCAGACCGGTGGCGTAACTCGTGGGCGGGGACCCGCGGCCCACGTTCGCATCACTCGCTCCAATCAGACAGATGTGCATGTTTGTCTTGTTTTCCGCTGGTGCTGTGGTTTTGGATTTTGAGGGCAGTGCCTGTGAAGGGGGGGAGGGACGATCTGCCAGACTTCTTGTCGTTAGCCGACCCAGCAAAGATAAGACATCAATTTTTGTTTGACCCGGGGCAAGGGCCTGATTCGGGGTGGAGCGTGCAAAACAAGTGATGTCAGGCACTGCAAGTTTGTCCCTTAGTGCCGTGAGAAGAAGCAGCAGAAGAAGAAGAAGAAGAAGAAGAAGAAGAAGAAGAAGAAGAAGAAGAAGAAGAAGAAGAAGACGAAGAAGAAGAAGAAGAAGACGAAGAAGAAGAAGAAGAAGAAGAAGAAGAAGAAGAAGAAGAAGAAGAAGAAGAAGAAGAAGAAGAAGAAGAAGAAGAAGAAGAAGAAGAAGAGAGATGGTGGAGGGGGAGGGGAGACCCTGACCTCCTGCCCGGGGAGAAGAAGATGACATTTGTTTTCTTTGGTGTGTGTGTGGGATCAGGTTTAGATTTGTCTCAGACGACAGGGTGTGTGTCTGTGGCATCTACTTGATCGGTATAGTGAAGTATACAGTGCCCCGGCCCTAGCATCAGAAATCGTCTTTCAGTTGATCCTGACAGGCACAGATGCCTGCGCCCTCCGCAACAGCAGCTCTTTCAACTGAGGCTACAGAGGGTTGCCCACAGTGGAGCCACTTGTGTACTTACGTGCAAGGTCCGAAAAGCGACAGCAGGTTCAATTAAAGCCAGCGGAGGGCGCAGGGGTTCGAGTTGCGGGAGCATTTTGCAACCTGGATGTCGGATGGCGCTGACATGAAAGGATGCCGTCCTTACAGCCAACATGAACAACATCGGGAGCTTCTTCCGCGAGGGTGGCTCGTTGTGACAAGAGCTTGGAGAAGGTTCTTGAGCTCAGGTCTTCCAGGGTTTAGGGGCACACCGAACTCGTCCCTGACAACCTCACTTGTGCCTGGCGATGTGCGGTTCAGGTGTTTCTCACATCCTGCACAGACCAAACTAGAAGAATCCCTGTCATGATGGAGAGCCCCATGATGAGCTCCCGCGGAGAGCCAGACGTCAGACACTTCACGCCTTAGTGTAAACGTGGTACAACAGAAGTTTCAGTGCACGAAGTGATATCCACGAGGCGCCCAAACTAATATCCAACGTTGATATGCAAGAGACTGCACGAAGGACGCGGCACGGACGGAGCATCGACAGAGTTTCCGCTTCCTGAGTTGGGCAAGGCTGGGCAGGAGCTCAGTAAACCAGCCTGACCTGGCACATTAAACATTCAGTCCCCAGCTTCCTGAGAATAGATTGTGAATTGTAGCCAGGTGAAATATACGATCATATGAAAGAGTACCTGCGAGCTAGTTGCAGCTCACGGCATTGATACCCCTCTCGGCCGAAGGTGCTCTGCTTCCAACGGCTCCGCAGCCGAGTGGCACCTGTGTCTCGAAATTAGGGTTGCGTTTGGGCACCCGTAGCCTCGCATCCTTTACGGGGTCCCTTACGGCGTCCCGTGAGCAGTGAGCACTTTGTTCCGTTGTCAAGAAAGCTGCTTGGCTTCGTCAGGCTTAGTTTGCATCGCCGGCTTACGGTATGTCTTGAAATCTGAAGTGACAGGAGTCGGGTGTCGAGAGTCTTCGAGCACGCCTTAGCCTTTTCAGCTGGTTCATGCGAGGTGGTGGAGCTCCTGGAGAGCAACGAGGAGCGCGGTTGTCTCCACAGCCTAAGAGTTCCTGAGAGTGAGCAGGACGATTGACAACAGGCTCTCAGAGAGTCACTCTCCCTCTCAAGAGATAATGATGATGCCCCTGTTTCTCTTCTGTTGGAGAACTATTCTTGTGGCCAAGACGAGCTCCTGTAGATTTCCCTGTACATTTTTCAATCGAGAGGTTTGGCGGAGTGCTCTCACGCACTCTTTGAGGCTCTTCGATGCTTCTTTTTGCTGGGAGGAACTGCTCTGATGGCCGTGCTGGGGGGGCAGTGGCAGCTTCTAGGTATTTCTGGTCATCGTGCCTGCCATGACCCTTTGATACCCTGTCAAGGAGCGTGGTCGGCTGCGGTCTATGCCAGGAAGTCCTGAGACAGGCCCGAGCTTCACGCGTTCGCACCTTGGCAGATCACAGCCAGCAGAGAAGGACTTTTTGACAAGATGTGGGAAGCATGGGCACTTTGCTAGCTGGGCTTCCGGCTGGAAATGGCAAGAGCTTCGTGCTCTCCATGGAAGTGTCATTAGACCATCAACGATGTTAGCTGTAGGCCTAGAGGCAGTCATCAAGTTGCCCGCCCGGACTTAGACAGTTAAGCCCCTTTTCGCTTTTGGCCATTGTTGAGAGGCCCTAGACCCCTGCAGCGTGACACCTGCCGAAGGTCGCTGAAGCAGAAGCCCGGGGAGGTGCCTCAAGTCGGAAGCAATGCGTGAGGGATCCTTTCGGGCAGCCGCTTCGTTGAATTTTCATGTCATCTTAGACTCCGGAAATGCTGGGGGAAATCCGATCGGACATCCCCCCTGTTTTTCCTGTATTTGCAGGTGCTGAGAGTGGACTCTGGCTCCTGGGCTGAAGCGAGGGCGCTTAAGCGAGGGAGCTTTCTTATTTTCGAGTATTGCTGGGCGAGTCGCAGTATTTGCAGTGGGCAGGCTTGAGCAGTAGAGTCACATGCGTGGCAAGATGCTGGCACTTGCGCTGTTGATCTAGGGCTGAGGTCACAAGTATTGAGTGTTGCTGATGCCGTGCTGTGACCAATAGAGTTCCAGCCTGAAGCTTGAAACGCATTGAGCCTGCTTTGCATTGAACCGAATGCCCGAGGCTCGCAGCTGCCAGTTGAGGATGCCAATGCCTCAGGCACTCCCTCCTTCGAGCGGCGGCTCCACTGCAGGGCAGTGGGACCAGGGCTAGATCCACGTGTCGTGTGTCGCCGAAGCTCCCTGCTGAAGCCCAGCCATGCAGAGCACGCAGAGCACGGTGCGCCCAGGAAGCCTGGTGACAAGGAGGAGCCGCAGTTGACCCTGGAGCTCTGGCGTTACTGCCGGAAGTGTGGCTGCCAGGCCAGGGCAGATCACGGCTCAACGCTTGCCACTTGCTATTTGAAATGCTTCCGGCCCTTTTGTACGGCATGGTTCCGAGGGACGAGTTTAGAAGTTATGAGAGAACAGAGTAGAGCCGCATCCAACAGCATCCAAAAGGCTGTCGTGATCGAGGCCTCGTGGATTTTCCCTTCCCAAGTAAGAACATGTTCTGAGCCTGAGTCTGTTTACCACAGCACCTCCGGTAGGCCCTTTTGCTGGACATCGCACTATAGCAGCGCGCTCCGTCTATGTCTGCAGTGTGCATTTTCAAGCAGACCTCGGAGCCATGAAGCCTTTTGTTTCTTTTTCTGCAAGTGGCAAGCTGACCTTTTTTCCGGGAGGTCACTCCCAGGAGCGCCCTGTCGGACTTGGCCAGCTGGCACTCCATGTCGAAGTTCTTGGACGCCCAGCTCAGGGGCTTCTGGTTGTTGGATGTTGATGGTTTCGGAATGGTTCCTGCTTCATGGAGGTTGAAGCTCATGGAGGTTGAAGGCCCCAAAATCATATGGAGTGTTGCATCATCTTCGTAGGGCTTCTCTCTGTGACTGGCCCTTTCCCAGCGAGGACATCCTCTTGCACAACACCACCTCCGAGTTTTCCTCACTGGCTTCGAAGCTGCTGCCGACACCCCCAAACACTCCGTGCACGCACATGCCATTTCGGGACTCTTTGTCGCATCAAGCAGCATGCTGTGCAGGCCCGTCTTTTCATGTCCTTTGGGCATCCATGGGTCCGTGGTAGCCTGCTGCACACAGGCGCTAAGCATGAAGGGACGCATGGAGCAGAGTAGCGCAACTGAGGACCACATCCTCTTCTGTGGCAGCCCCGAGCGGCCTACACTGTTTTTGGGGTTCAAGCAGCTTGGTTGGGCTTAAGGCAGTACAAACTGGACGCACTCGGATTGATCTGCAGGCTAGGGGCGCATCGGGGGAAAGCTGCAGAGGTGGGAAGCTGTGCTGCTCTGGCAGCTCAACAGCCCCCATGCACCTCTTTGGGATTCGGCGACTGGGCTCTTCTTGCCGGCACCATCATCGGCAGAGCCTGGGCTGGCGAGTTGCAATGTGAGTGCGAGGTAATCGTAGAGAACCGGCTCAATGTGAAGAGTCTTGAGGCCAGTTGCAGGGGGCTTCATGAGTTCAATCGTATCGGATACATGCAGGGGGCTGATAGACGGATATAGACCGTGTACAACTAGACACAACTAGACCAAGTAAGCCAAGTAAACTAAAGTAAACTGCGAACACGAAGTAAACGGCATCTTGCAACAGTTTGTGTTGTATTTCAGAGGTGCCTAGTCACTTACATCTGGCGGGTCGGTGCACACGCTCCGGAGGCTCCGTGCCTTGGCTCGAGCTCTAGGAACCTGTCGCGAGAAGCCGCAGAAGTCGACTGACGCGTCTGCCGCATGGGGCAAGGGCCGCAGGGGCCGCAGCAGTCGCAGGAGTCGCAGGAGCCGCAGAAAGAGCCGACAAGGCCGACGACAAAGGAACCCCCCTTCTCTGTCTTTGCTTCGAAGCTTTCGGGTGAAGGCAAGACGTTCGAAGGTCTGCAGCCCAGTATGCTGCTTCGGGAGCTCAAAGAGGTGGGCTTGTCCATATAAACGCAGCTATTTCTTGGGCCTAGCAAGTGCTCAGCCAACTCGTCTCCTTGTCCCCTTGAGGTGATCTGCGGGGACCTCGGTCTGCGCAGCTTCAGCACCCAGCTCTTCTTGGACCGGGCCTTCGACGGCACGGACGAGGAACGACCGATCGGTGACCTCGGCATCGGTGAGGGTGCTCGGCTGGAGGTGTCAGGGCCAACATAGATAACACAGGGAAGCTTCATGCTGGCAGTTTTGTGGCTGGAAGCCAGTCTTTTTTTGTAAAGAATCGTCTGGCATGGGGGTCCTCTGACAGATGCAGAGATTTACGTTCCGAAGCATTTGAGAAACCTCCCCTCTGACCTCGTCAGCCCCCAGGTTGTGGTGGCTGCCTTCTGCACGCAGCTACCCGGCAGATGACAAGGCCTCACTGCACGTTCCGCCTCAGTTATGCATAAGTGGCAGGCTACCCGGCAGATGGGAGCCTGCCCGAGAGGATAACTCCCAGTGGATGCAGCGCATGACGATTGCAGAGGACGGCACTGGAAGCCTTTCTTGCAGCAGCGCTGTACTGCGCGCACATGTTTTTGCTGCTGTTGGATCTGGTGCTGCTTTGGGGTGGTGGTTGTGCTTGTGCTGCTTGTGGTGGTGATAGGTTGCGGTAGGTGGCGGTAGGTGGCGGTAGGTGGCGGTAGGTGGCGGTAGGTGGCGGGTGGCGGTGGGTGGTGGCGGCAGTGTCCATTGCAAGTCTTGGAGGACGGGAGGATTCGAGAAGTGCACATGTTGTTCTTTTCCTTCATCTGCTTGCAAGATAGCTTCATGAGCAGTTTCGGCCGATCCAGGATGGCAGCTTCAGCTGCAAGAGTGGCAGCATCACGGATGGCCTGGTACGCCTGCTCTCCGCATCAGAGCGAAAGATCAACCTCAAGAGGACCTAAATGTCAAGGGTGAAGTCGTTGTGATGAAGGGAAGCACGAAAGTAGCTCAAGAAGTAGAACCTCCCATAGTATCCTCAATAATGAGGAGGGGGCTTGCTATCCCAGCGTTTCTGGTTTCCAGCATGTGTTTCGTGTGCGCCCCCCTTGTGCCCCATTCCTTGCAAGTGTCTGTGAGAGAGAGGACCTGCTTCGATGCGAACGATCACATTTTCGTGGTGGAGGAGTCGGGCACAAGGATGCGCGGCCACTGTCCCCAAAGCGGCTCCACGTTCACGCTCACGAAGCAGTGAAGGCGCCAGTAGTAACCGATACAAGTTCAGTAGGTGAGCGCACCGTGGTTTGCACGGCACTTTGCTGTTGCTGTTTGGGGAAAATTGGTGCGCCTCCCCTTGACACTGGCATCGCTGGCCATGAATTACGTGGCCGCAGGCGTGCCTTCATAACTTTGTCTTCCTGCTCCAATGCAGTGAGCAGCCCATGAGTCGCATCGCCCTGATGCCTCAAGATTTTCCGAGCAGCGAAGGAAAAGTACTTTGCCAACCATGACTTTTGAATAAAGGGAGCAGTGGCTACAACACGTAAAGGGTTTAGTCATCACCCGGTGGACGGTAGGATGGTAGTCAACCATGTGAGCTTTAACGTATGTTCTTGTTTTGGGGGCTCTTATGGTTCAGGTGACACGCCTAGCCACTCAAGCCTACCTCTCAACCGTGAGATGCTGCCGTCACTGATTCTGCAGCGCGGAACTCGTGACTCCATGGCTCGTACAGCTGCTGCCTGCTTGGCTGAGGAAGGGCAAGGGAAGCCCAGCAGCGAGGAGCAGAGCTTTGAGGGTACAGCACCCATACCTGCTGCACCTGAGCAGCTGAACACAGTGCCTGGGAGGAGGGAATGAGACTAGATTTTCCGAGATTTCCCCCAGGGGGGTTGTGCGTAGAACATGTGCTGTGGGAGTGCAGGGCCGATGCAACGGACGTGACATGTTCCTTTTTGTTGAAGGTTGTAAGAGATGTGTAGGCCCTCGTGCCACATGAGGTGCTGGTCGAACTGGAGGCGCTGCAGGAGCATATCGCAGAGTTCATCCGGAGCGTACTGATCTGCCTCTCCACCATCGAGTCCGAGGACACCCTAAGAAACCCTAGTCACGGGCCTCCGAACCAAAGCTTGAGTTCCCTTGTTGATATCGGCATCCTTTCTAGGATTATCCAGGTTTATCAGGCAGGCTTTTTCTGAAGAGTGTCATCTGAAGCCAGGACAAGGCCTCCTCTGAGTCTCCAGCCGAGGGCTCACTGCCGGCACCGCGCAGTGAAAGCCACCTACGCGGTGCGGGCATCTTGGGGCAAAGAGGGGGTCGTGAGATGCCCAGGGCAACTGGGACTAATTCCTTGGGACTCCAGCAAGGTCTGTTTTCCAGCCTCCCTCCCATCATGTTCTGAAAGTGGTGACTTCCCCTTGGAAACCTGTTCGTGGTGGCAGTGGCATCCCTCATTCCGTTTCCAACCCAAGGCCGAAGCAAAGAAGCGGCCATCAACAGTTCGAGCCCAGTGCCCGAAGACTCTGTCCTCAGCTACGATGAGGAGGACGACCGTCCAGACACCGCATGCTTTCTGTTGCCCCTATCTACGTATGAATCCTCGACAGGTTGCACACGTGAGCCTTTTCATCTTCGCATTTTTTCCGTGCCCGCGATCATCTCCCAGAGGTTCGAGAGCCCCAACACAGAAGGGTCCCTGCGTGGAGGACACGGAGGCCATAGACTTGGCGAACACGCGGCGCTGGCTCATCCAGTGTCTTGAAGCAGTACTCCAGAACCATTCTGAGCAGTCGTATCTAAAAATGCATAAGCCCATAAGCCTTCGCAGGTTCCATGAGGTTTTCTGATGAAGCCGCAGTTGCAACAAGCTCTTCTGGCGCCTTAGTGCCGGCCCTGAGTGACTCAGTGCCCTTAGTCGGTGTCCCAAGGAATAAGACGGGCTGGCACCGTGTCATGGTGAATCTCAACGAGTTCCATGAAGATCTCAGCAAACGGCTGAGTCCTGGGTAGCAAGAGGGCGGCCATGCTTCAACTTCTGCTGAGTTTCCCTGAAGAGTCGTGGGGAGTCATCTCTTTGAGCCCAGGAAGGCGGTGAATGACAGCCTCCGCTCCCGAGGAGCTCTGCCGCCAATGAAGTTGGGTGACCTGTGCCGCAGCCCAGTGCAAAGCCGAGCAAATCCGAGCGAAAATCCGAGCAAGCTTGGAAGTTGGGACGCCTTATTCCCAGGCGACCCCGTTCTTGCAAGCACCCTTTGCCGGAACCTGCCCCTTGACTCACTTCTGGAATGCTTTTCCACACTTTCCGGGCGCAATGGTTTTGCACCCCCATGTCCCGCGCTACCTTGAGGATGGACTCATTCCGCGAAGGCCCTGTGGCCAAAAAGATCACCCAAACCTGTGAGGACCTGCGGCTTGAGCTGGTGTGATGCGCAGCATTTTGAGGCCTCATTCTTTGGTTCCACAGTCTGCGTGGCCGCATGTCCATACCAGGATCTCACAGCCCTGCAGAAGCTGCAGTCGGAAGGAGGCCCGGATGTGTCATCTGCCCTCGCAAGACCGGGTCCTTTCTGAGTAGGTCTCTGTCAGTTCAGTTTGCGCATGTTTGTGCCAAAGGAGAAGACAAAAACAAGGACGCCGGCTTCCAGGTGCCATCCGTGTTGCAGGGGATCTGGGGAAGATCTCAAGTCTGGCTCTGAGAATAGGAGTATACGTAGGAGTAGAGGCCACGGAGGGTCGGGAGCTCGCCTGCAGGTTCCCCTGCCAGCGGTCTTGTCGTCATTCGTGACCACGGCTGCTTGGCCGACAACGAAACCCGGCAGTCTTTGTCGTTCCAAACGCCTACTGCTCGTAGGTTCTTTGAGCAAGTCGATTTCAGTGCAGTTTTTTGGGCAAAAGCCGCTTGCATCGAAAGATCGCTTCTCGGCGAGTGGCGCCTACGGCAGGGGTGTTAGGCTGCTGCCGTTCCAACTTCTAACGAATTGCCAGCTACTGCTTAAGGCAAGATGCTTTTTAGAAGATGCTGTTAGCTTCGAGACTTGCTTGTCTTCTGTTGGAATTTAAGAAGCCACTTCGAGGCAAAGGAAACCTACAAGCGCTTCTGGCCTCGAGAGGTGCACTGGGATGGGGGGGCACGGCTCCAGCCTTCCGAATTTCCCGCGTACCAAAAACCTCCGACTCCTCGACTTCTGTCCTCTCGGACTAGTGAAAGCTTGCTTCTGTTTCTCAACATCTGTCTTTCTCTATTGCCAGGCCCAGGACATGCTGCCAGCCAAGAGCCCGGATCCCGCGGAGGGTGTGCAAAGCGCCAATATCGCCTCTTCACAGAGGTGGGTGGGGGGTCGATGCGGGTCGACCCGATCCCTTTTGAGATTTGGCGGGATTTGGGACAAGTCAGCTGCAGGTAGCATGTTGCCGCAACTTGAAGCGCCAGGTCTCGGGCCAAGTCTGCCCAGGACGAGGAGCGCCGTCGTCCAGTGACCTTTCGAGGTTGAAAATGGGTGTTGAAAATGGGTGTCTCAGAAATGGGTGTGTCAAAGGATGCAATTACATCAAATCCCTGCGAGGAGCGACCCGCTCCGCTGCGGAGATCTCGCTCAGTCGAGGCGGGAATCCCGGGAAACGGCCATAAGATGCCGAATGAGTCGAGGATTTTCGTGAGGCCAAACGCGGCCTGCCATACAGCTAACGGGACTGGTTGCAGCTCACGGTTCCAGATCATGCCAGCGAGGACCCCAAACAGTGCCATGCGCTCCAAGATGTTTCCTCCAAAGGGGCCAACAGCGACGACAGTTCTGCACTTGCAGCGAGAGCATAACAGCCAGAAATGCTACTGGTAACTGCCCAGACCGGATGCGCGACGTAAACATACGTGAACCATCCAACAGGCCAACATGCAGAAAAGAACGCGCCGGCTGTGTTTTGGCACCACGGAGCGACGCAAGCCCCAAAAGGCGCGGGACCCAGGCCGGAAGATGATTTCGAGAATGAGAACCTAATGAGAACCTAGGCGAGAGCGCGATTTGGCCCGCTAGGCATGCTATTTGTGAGGAAGACCACGTCACGGGAGTCCAAAATGGAGGCCTCGAGCTAGAGCCGTCGTTTGGGGAGGCAGACACACGGAGTCACAGTGTGCCGGTATGAAATTGTAGTCCGTTGAACCAGAGTTGCCTTAGGTCAGAAATGTTCAGCAGGCGCTGTTGCAGAAGCCTTTGACTCCCTGATAGCACTGCAGGCTAGGCAGAAGACGCCGGCCGGTCGCATGAGGCGTCAGGAGCCGGGTAACAACTTGGGAGGGGGTGTGTCCACCCGGGGGGTTGAAGCTTTGCCAGAAGAGTGCAGAGAAGTTCAGATCAGCTTTTGCCGAGTGACCAAAATCTGAGAGCAGGACAGCGAGACAGGCCCCTCAGCGCTGCCGAACTGCCTGAACCTGCCTTGGAATTCAGTTGTTGTGCGTAGGGCCTCCTGCACAAGTGGTGGACACAGTTGCAAAGGGAATTCACGATATGCCCCCCCGAAAACTCAGGAATCAGGTCACTGCGGCCTTTACCTCAGCTGTGGAGAGCCGGAACAGCCAGGTGGGGTTCTCAGGGTTACCTGCAGTGGCGGTACTTTCGTTCCTGTGAGAGTTGGGGTTTGCAAAGGTGCCATTGATACGAGAGGGGAGAGGCTATTGAGCCAGTCCCAGGCTGCATAATCTCTCCTGTGGTTCAGGGCGGTCCGGATATTTGAGAAGCAAGTGCTAGGTTCTGCTAGATTGCTCATAGGTCCTACAGAATGTGCTCGTAATCTGTGCGAACGAGCTACGCAATGTGTACCGTGCTTCGAAAGTCCTGGGCTTGCCGCGAAAAGCTCTGGTGATAGCTGGGTGGTTAGGCCCGGCTAGTCTGTCAGTTTTGATCCTCTCTTTGCCTTTAGGGAAAGCAACTCCAAGCACCTGAGTTGTCCTGAAACTCCCACGCGAAGCTGCGAAAATGCTGTGCCGAATGCTCTGACTTCAACTCCCACCGCTGCCTGCAGATTACGACCCTTCCACGCTGTGTCCACGGCATCTCACTGCCTCTCGGACATTGCGTTCATGTACAGTTCTTTTCTTTCGAGCACGCTTCTGAACTCGATTCGTAGTAGCTCTGTCAGATTTGCACGCGTCTTGCGAGTAGGCATGGGAGGCAGCATTTCCATAGATTGCTTGCTGAATCATACAGGGTTTTCTAGAAGGTTTCTGGTGACTGCATATTGGGCGTCCTTTTGGATTACTAGTAAAACATAAACCCTACTTCCTATGAGGTCCGTACATTTTGAGGATGTGGGCTCGCTCATTGCTTACGCGCTCCTGAGCGAGAAGGCCTTACTCCAATGAGGGCAAAGACGCGGTAGGACCTGGCAGAATGAAACGGATCCAGCGACGCGTAGTTTCGCGAATCGTGAGGCATCGGAGCAGCTGTCGTCGCAGTGGAGCGCACTCTGGGGGAAGAGCCACTGTCCCCTCGCCGACACACACACCGTCCCTTGGACATCGGGGAGAACCTGGGAAAACCGGCTGTTTAAGAGCGTCGTGCGCGCGATAGCATGCCCAGCTAGTTCACTTCAGGAAGTACATGGCACCACTGTCAGGACAGAAAGTAGCCTAGCGTGCATTTTTCTCTTAGGAATGCTGCATGCGGTCTTTTCCAAGCTGCCTTTCGCGGCGAGCTCCCAGCGGCAGGCGGGAGGTGAAGCCCAAGCAGGGATCATGAGGCTTCAGCCGGAGCCCTCCTATAACTCGTTCACGCTCAGCCCCAATGCGTGTGTCGCAGGCCCTCCCCTGTTGTGGGGCGCGCCAGCAACGCAGAGGACATTGCAGGGGGTCCGAGCGCGCGCCCCCTTGATCTGTCTCGAAGTTCCCCAGTTCCCACTGTGCACTTGATGCACAACTTGTAACTTGATGCACATCTGGCCTCTCTGACAGCATCGCAGGCCCGGTTGGCGCCCGCAGATTCAGCAATGGCAGCGCTCAAGGCAAAGGCGTGGAAGGGGCCGCAGGACGGTAGCTGCAATGCTTCAGTTGTCAGTTGTTACATGTTGCAACAAGTTGCAACATGTTGCTGGGAAAGTTGCCCTCAGATTCACCCTAGGAGGGGCCCAACGCGATCCGCTACACGTGGGAGCAGGACAGGCCATCTCGAAGACATGCAGAGAGCCTTCTGTTTTTGCAATCTGAATTGCGAGCTTAAGCCGATGGAGGACATGGACAGCGCCGGACTTCGGACCATCCTCAACACCCCCGTTCTCAAAGAACCCGTGAAGGCAACTTTGGAAATCCTTCCTGGAAGCCTTTTAAGGAATCCTTTTCAAGGAATCCTCTAAAGATTCCTCTAAGGAATCCTTTAAGGAGTCCTTGGGGCCCTTTTCGGGGTTGGCTCCAGACTTGGGATGCGCGCGCTCCTCCTCCACAGGTGGATTTCGAGGACAAGCAGGCCAAGAAACTCGGCTTGCCAAGAATGAGAGCCGCAATATGCGTTTCCGTATGCCTTTGTCATACATTACGTATACATTGACGCACATCCGACATACATGTCGTTGATCATTGATGATATTTTGCAAATCAACAGTCATTTGGAGAGTAGGGGAGCTTGTGTATGCTGCATGGTGGCATGAGTTGCGGCAGCTTTGCTGTTGATCTTGGTGATCGGGTTGGTGAGCAAAGCGGACACAGATCCTTGTTAAGGTACCAGGTGGCTGTCCATTTCGCGCCGCACTATCATGCACTGCGCCATTGGATCTGTGGCGATGATCTCAACTTCGTTCGGTCTTTGCAGCGCTGTCCCTTGGCTCGCCCTGGTTGTCGGGTCTGACGACCGCAGGTGCTCATCTCAACAGTTTCTACTGCTGAGATCGCCTCTTGCATGTGAGGGCTTCATGAAGCAAAGGGTGCCAGTCGGGTAGATTCGGTGAACACGTTGAGCTTGCTCGGCATGTCGTCCAGGCGAGGCGCCCTGCAGGTTTGTATACCAAGCAGAAGAGACACCGAAGAAGTCTGCAGATACGCCCCTAAGCATGGACACGTCAACCAGCAAGCTTGGGAATGAACATGAAAAGAGCTATGTGTAAGGCAAGTCGATTCAGACTTCTGGTGGGAAGTCTCGGGCTACGTTCCTCATGTCCCACGACAAACGCTTCCTTCTCAAAGCGATTAACGAATCGGAGTTCAAAAAGCTGAACAGCAGCTTGTCTGATGGATGATGAATGTAGCTCCCTGAAGACTGGGGTCCACGGAAGAGCGATGTCAAGGTGAGGCAGAGAATCTCTTCTGGTACTTCGACAAGGTCCGGGCTTGTGCCTGCTGATTTGACCGCAGGAGAGTCTGCTCTGGCCTGGCAGGTGCTTTTCGACAAGTGGCCTTCTGTGCTGACCCAGGTCATCGGGCTCTTCTCAGTCTCGGTGACCAAGAAGTCCCAGTACAAAGGCTCCTGGGTGCTCGAGTTTGCACCACCATGCATTCAGATTGTTCACCGTCCTAGGATCCTAGGTCCTATCCCTAAGCTTTGCAGCTGGCGTCATACCCTCCAGCCGCAAAGCCCTCAGTCCTACTCCCTAAGCTCTCTGATGGAGTCTTAGCCCTCAAGGTCTTACACCCTCCTAGTGGCACTAACCGCAAGCCGCTCCGATAACTTCCGGTCACCATTCCTGCAAGCGGCCAGGCTACTATGTTGTGCAGCAGAACCTTCGACACAGCGCCTCGGTGGACTGGAAATGGTTGAGATGGCCAAGAACCAATAAGAACAAGACTCACGTGAAGCTCCATGTTGACAGGGTAGCATGGCTCTGGTATCCGGTAGCATGCTCTCTTCGCTGGTTTCTCCTTTCATCTCCGAACCGGTGTGGGAGTTTCTGTTGAATCGCTGTTCAAGTTTCGTTCAAGTTTCCAGGCCTCCGTGACACCTGGGCCTTCACATTCGACCTGAAGGGCACGGGAAAGAATCGCCGCGTTCAAGCGACGGCGCGGGTCTGCTCTGGATTTCCTCGCAGGTTTCTCTAGTTCCTTTTGTCGCAAAGGCTCGGTTGCAGAAGGCTATTGGCCATCAGCGGCGAAGCGCGCAAATAATCTTACACCCGAGCTTGTGGCAGGACCTTGGTGAGGAGGCGGACTCCCGAGAATCGCCCAGCGGCAGCAGAGCCCCGCGCCTACATGGGAGGAGGTTTCCGAAAGGCTTCGGAAGTGCAGAGTCACGGTTCTGGGGGGTGGATGTGTTGGGATCGTGCTGACTCCTTCCCTGCAGACCCACTTTCAATGCATCAATATTGCAGATTATTGCAGTGCAATCGGCCTATACGGACTACAATCCGACTGCAATCCTGAGGGCCCGGAGGATGACAGCACCGAGCGTGACAGAGCCGCGAAGGTGTTTTGGGATCAGAGCCTGGACTTCTTCATTTCGTGGTGAGTGGTGGGTTCCCAAGGGACCCCGGCAAGGGGAGTCCCTTTTTCTGCTCTGGCTCTGACCGTGAACTGAACTGTGCCAGATGAAGGAACTTCCGAGAATGGACGAAAGGCAAGCCGCTTTGCCTTGTGCCTTCCGCCTCTCCACGGCATTGTCGGGTTTCAGTGGATATGAGCATGCAGAACTCTGAAGGAGAGCTCTTAGCCTGCAATCCTGCAATGCACCGCCCGAGTCCGAAATGCGTATAGGCTGCCGAAATGAGTGAAAGCGCACCCGAAATTCCTGAAAGCTTCGCTCTGCTCAAGCTTCGGCCCTTGCCCTGCTACGCTGAGGATCTGACATATCTGGAAGCTGCCATCTTCAACGATACCACGCTCCTTTCAACCAGGGATCTGATGGACTGCCCCTGTTTCACTCTTTGTCTTGTCCCTTGTTGTGCTTGTTGGGTGAAGTGGGCTTGGTGACATTTTCATGTACCGAGCGCCCGGAACTTGAGAGCGTCATGAGCAGGATTACTCCCTTCTGCTGGCAGCAGTGCCGCCAGAGCCCGGCGCCAGCGCGGGCCGTTTGATCTTGGGCTCCTCGGCCTCAAGTGGGCTCAAGTGCATCCGAGACTTCTTTTTTTGGGGGGGGGGGGGGGGAGGAGGGGGGCTCTTTTGGGGTCCACTGTTGGCGTCTCCGGGCAGTGTTCGAGTTGAGAGGGATTTTCGAGGCATGATCGACTACCTTCGTGCCTTCACCATTGACAAGAAGGCCGCTCCCCAAGCCTTGCACAGAGCTGGGCAAAGAACGCACAGTGACGTAAAGCCGCCTGAGACAGGTTGAGAGCGCCGTGAAGACTGCGCTGGCGCCGACGCCCGCTGAGCAGCCCACGATCATCGCTCCCAAGGATCAGACGTCACACAAACTCCTCTTTGAGTTCCATCTCGCACTGTATCCTGTCCCCAAAGGTCCTGAAAGTTCAAAGTTTGCGGTCTGCGGGCTTTCTCCGCCCCCGGGCCCCGCCTTCCCCCCAGGACTACGCTGCTCGCTTCATGCGCGCCATGAGCACCTACTTCGTAGCAGACTGCCCAGAGCAACCGTGACCCAGAGGCCGAGATTCCCTCGATTCCCTCCCATCAAGCCTTGGAAATGCCAAGAAGGACTGTTGAGCCAGGACATGACATCGCTTCTAGGCTTGAGGCCTGAACTTCATCCATGTGCACAGCTGCACATCAATCCAATACTTAAAGGGTTTGCAAAGTTCCGGAAAAACCGCTGGGGTTCGTGGAAAGGTGCTCGCCCGCGAGTGCAAGAGTGGGAAGAAGGCCAAGTACGAGAGGTACGAGAGCTCGCTGCCCGATACAGAGCAGAGACATTCAGAGGCCCCCAGGATTCCCAAGGAATTCTGGGCCCGGGGGCCTGCGAGGGCTAGGACTCCGCACCTTCCCCGGGTGCATTTGGATCCGCCACTTGCTCACCCAGTTCGCGTTCGTGGCTTGACTGGCTGTTCTTCGACCTGTCTTCGACCTGACAGCTCGCGGATGCGAGACGGTGTCCAGGTGTTCGCAAAATCTTCAGTGCTTCACCGTTGCACATGCCAGAGAAAAGGCAAAGAGCCAACTGCATGTCAATGGGCACTTGCTCGATGCCGACGTTCGAAGAAAATGGACGGGTGTCAGCAGAGTTTCCCACGGCTGTGAGAAAGTCTTGCGCCAAGACAAATCTTGCTGTGTCAAGTGCGTGTTCAGGCAACTCATGCGAGTCGAATGAAGCGTGGCTCCATACGTGAAGACGCTGTTCCGGAGCCTTACCCTCATCACACGGACCTGCTTTGCACGACTTTACAGACTTTACATGTACCCGCATGTCTGGGAGAGTCGCAAAATCTTCCAGCAAGAGATCAAACACATGGAGAAGGCCCTCCTCACACTCTCTGAACACCCGCCCTTGTGTCCCCAGCCACTTCTTGAATCCGAGTGCGCAATGTGGGCCCTTCCTTCCCGAAGTTCCGGGAGTGCTGTCCAGCTGCTCGGTGGACCGCACCTACTGCAACCGGTGCTGCGGAGGCGAGGGGCTGTGCATGAGCTAAGAGGTATCAAAAGGTGTTGGTTCATTGAAGTGCCTTCCGTCCTGGCTCCCGGTGCAGTATCAAACGACGCACACCTAACCCTGCCTCCGTAATTTAAGACATTTTAAGACTCCCTATGTCACCAAGAGGAGATGCAGCTCGACGCCGCAGCACTGCGCCTTTGCCGTGCCTGCGGTGGTGGCTATGGCGCCTGGGCTGCTCAAGAAATTGATGATTGGCAGATAGAGAAGTTCAGCGGAAGTCCAGCATATGCTCGGTCTTGTTTGGTGTTCCAATGGAGGTCTCAATTTAGCCAGTGATAATTGAAGTTGTACCAGGCTCCACTTTGCCGACGTGGCCCAGCACGTGGCATGGCACGGGCTTCTGCTGAGCCGACGGCACCATTGTGCAAGGCAAACCCACCAGTCAACCGAATGGACTACGTTCCCACATTTTGAAGTTCACACGGTCCTCGAATTTGAAGATTCCCCGTGCGCAAATCATCAATCTTTGTGTGTATAGTATAGTCTGTATGCACGTTGAAGAAATGCTGGGCATCCGTGAGGCATGGCGGATCTTGCTCTGTGCAAGGTGTATATCAACTTTACATGATAGACACGGAGAATGATACAGAGCTTCTGCTACATTCTTTTGCCAATGTAAGGGAGCCTTTATCAAGGCAATGTGCATTTTGAGATCAGTGACCAGAAGTGGATGAAGTGCTGTGCGCTCGGGCATGGAGAGGCGCAAAGCACGGTTCTCCGCCGAAGTGACGTACTACCAGAACTGGGTGCAGCCATTTGCAGGGATGGCTCGAGGCTTTCGGCGGCTTTCGGTTTCCTTTCAAGATCACACTGACTCAGATGCGGTGGACTTACACAGCGATGGCATTTCATGCAACGCAGCCCCTGGAGGCCTGCGGACGAGGAAGCAATCTGTCGGCTCTTGCAGACTTGCGGCCTGCGCAAGTGGCTAGAGACTCGGCTTGATATGGCAATCTGTGCAACAGGCATCGTGCCTGCCACAGGTAGCTTGCTAGTCGGCAAAGCCAGGCTACAGAGGGTCGGCAGACTGATCGGTGCGTTGCTCTTTGGCCTGTGGCTGCGCGACTGAGGCCGAGCTCGAGGGCATCCATGAAGCCCTGGCGTCTTCGGAGCATGAGTTGCTTGGATGCCATGGATACCCTGCCCGGCCTTCTGGCGGTTCAAGCACCAAGCATGAAACGATTGCACCCGCACCTCCTGCCTCTCCTAGAGTCCTAGAGGATCTCGGCCGCGGTCGTGAGCGCATTCTGCGATGCTGCTGCAAGGCGAAGCAAGCTTGCAGACATCTGGGGCTCTCTCTCTCTCTCTCTCTCTGTGTTCATAAAGGTGCGGTAAGGAATTCTGCAGTGATTCTGCGCAGTCTGCTGAGCGCTGTGCATCTCACAGCGTTCAGCTCATCAAAGCCTCTCATGCTTTCTGTGACACCGTGATCAGCATTGTTTGGTTTCCGGCAGCTGCCTCCAGAAGCGCCAAGCTTCAGATTCAATTGAATCGCCACGCGGGTCATGGTGTTGGCCTTGAGGTGCTTGTCAGGCCTGCGGTTGCCGCGGCGTGCCCGGACGTCGAAATGCGCGGAGGCGAGGTGACCGGACTGGTACAGCACTACTGTGTACTACTCAGACTTCGGTGCAAGGGCCAAGTTCCGAAGCTTGCAATATTGTAACAAAGTTGCCAGAGAGGTCCTTGACCGAGCCCGCGGGCTGTGGCAAGCTTGGGCCGATACCTGGGGAGGAGGCCACAACCAGGTGTGTAGGGTTGTATATATGGAACCCTCAATCTGCAGAATTTGGAACCTGAACAGGGTGGTGCTTTTGGTGGTCTGCCGAGTTTTTCCATGAGCAGGCGCTGCATGCTTCGATGTCGCCTTGGCGGCGGGGCTGCGCCTCTGTGTCACTCGGCGTCGTAGGTGGGCAGCTCCATGTGCGGTGGTGATTTGAACATGCGCCGGCGCGCCATTCTGCAAGTGCGATTGTTGCTGCTCTTGTTCTCGTTATTCAGCAATTGCTTCTGAATCCTGACACGAACTCATCCCCCGGCTCAATATCCCACGAACCCACATCGCATGGCTCGCGTTGCAAAAGCTGGGAATGAAGCTCTCATGCAGTGGTCGATTCAGATACTCAGATACTTCTTCTTGTGAATTCTGAATCTTAAGGGCTGTGGCCCTTGTGGACACAGTAGACGGACAGATGTTCCGGCAGTTGAGATCCCTTGCTGCAACTATCAACACATACCGATGCAAGAGAACTGATACACTTTCGCCAAGCTCCTGCAAGCTCAACAGAATAATTCGATGTTACTTCGTGCTTCAAACTGGCTCACTAGGCACCCCAGGGGCACACCGTGGATCTTTGTGGGATTCTTTGCGAGACGCGGGCGGGCAGTACCGGAGACCCGGGCGAGGAGCCCTGAGCCATCCCTGAGCCAAAACCTAACAACCCCAGCTGCCGGTGTCTGGTCGCGCTGATGGCTTCGGCCTTGAAAAGTGAGTTCAGGCAAAGGGAGTGTTCAAACCACCAGCAGCTGGACAAGGCGGGATTGGGGCGCACAGCGCCTGGGGTGGAGACGAGCCTTTCGAAAGTCCAAGTCCACGCCCGCAGCTTCTCAACGGCAACCTCTACCAATTGTTGCCGGGAGGGCCGGGCCTCCAACAAGACATGAGGGAGGCCAATCATAGCTAGACTACAGCTAGATCCTTCCCAAGGCTTACAATTCACGTCGGGATGTCGCGCTTGTTGTTGTCGGGTCACGACTTGGTGCGGTGTTTTCATTTGCTTTCTCTCGAGCACCCCGTGTGAAGATTTGCCTCCCCAGGAAGAAGGGGGGAGAGAAGGGAACATAATGACGGCAGCCAGTTCTAGATTCAGCCTGGTAGCTCTCTGATCCCAAGGATATCGTTCGGACCCCAGCCGCGCTGGTTTGGGCCGAGGAGATCTGGGACCAGGCCCCTCCGGCATTGCCAAGAAGAACTGTCACAAGCTGTATAAGCTGTGCAACGTAGGTTTTTTCAATGGCAGTGAGTGACCGAAAGAGCCTCAGAGAGCCTCTTGGGGGGCTGAGGCGAGGGCCCAAGCAGCAGCTGGGTTGCACTTGGGAGATCGGAGCTTGCAGTGGTTGAAAGACCCTTCTGGCTGGGGTCCATGGGCTCTTGACTGGACAGGAGCCTGAGGAGTCTGAGCCGGAATCAATATTTGGTGACTCTGCACCGAGCATCTGTAACGCCTGCAAGTGCGGAGGTGCCAAGAACCGTGCCCCTCTACAATGCCATGCTGTGCATATTGGAGTGGCACAACAGATATGATGCCGTGGACAAGATTCTCCTTCAGGCCAGTGTTGAGCTCGATTCCATTTCAAGACTTTGTGAAAAAACGCGAGCTTAGACCGTCGAGCAACGGCTTGTGACGGGGTGTACGCTGTCAGCTGTCGTCCACAAATCGGCACAGCTTGCTCTCGAGGACATGTTGGAGGACCGCTTGTCGCCAAACGCGGAGGCCTGGAGCAGTTGTGAGCACAGGGGTGGAATGTCGATTCGCCGGCGTGTGTCGCCGGTCTTTCTGTAGGTCTTCGTCGTGCTTTCGAAGGTGTTGTAGGCTCAGGCGTCATGTCCCCGATCCAAGGTTCTGGAGGAACTGGTCGGTCGAGCCGCCGCGCGTCAGGCGAGCGATCGTAGTTTGAGTCCTTTTTTTTGGACACTCACGTGTGTGAGAAGGACTGGGAGCGCACCGATCTCCTTTGGAACTTTCTGGTGTGCAGCCACCATGTCCAACCCACAGCGCTGCTCGGACTCAGTCCTAATGTTAACAGATGGCCACCATAAAGGCAGCCATGGAGTGTTGCAGTGGATCGACGAATCGACACAGAAGCCGTTTCTTGGGGCATCCGCACAGTCTTAAGACGCCTTTTTGAGCAAGGAGTCTACCTGGTGTAACCGCATTATTGGCTGGCAGTAATTCCAAGATTGAGCATGGCATAGAGCAACGGCAAGACGGAGCTCTTTCCATCCAAGCCCAGGGCTAAAGCCGTCTGAGACGTCTGAGCTTCCATAGCCAAGGGCATGCTATGCTGCGCATGCGGAAGCGCACCTGCTGGCCGGGCGCCCTTCTAATGCCGCCTCCATCTTGGAGGACGGCTCACCGACTCGAGGTCTAAGAATGCTGCCGCGGTCTTGCTGATCTCAGCATCGTCAGCATTTTGGGCAATGCTCCGTGAGGACATGTTCGATGCCGGCGTGGGGCCGCTGACTCCCACCATCGCTGTGCCTCGGAATGCCTCGGAGTGCCAGTCAGTGAGAAAGGAGTGTACAGAGAGATGCTCCCGTGACGCCCTTGCACTGTCTTGCTCAGTACAAAAATGTGCTTAGCCTTCCGGATGTAGTTGCCTGACGTGTGGGAGCTCTTTGAACGCTTGGGCTCCAGCAGGCTTCGTATCTACAGATCCTCCTGGTGATCTGCCACTCCGATCCGACACCTTCCAACATGACGCGTTTGAAAGACGCTTGTCAGCTCAGCTTTCGGCCCACTGCTTGCGGGTCGGAACCGGAAATGTCGCTGATGTTTGCCCGTGCCTAAGGGCTGAGGGTTGACAAGTCAACAGGATCACCCTGAGTCGGGTTGCTACATTGCTACATGAGATAGAATTAGTTAGGCAGCATTCCTTGCTGGTCATCCGAGGAGGCTCTCAAGCAGGCGGAAGGCCGAGCTATGTCATCCCTTCATGGAGCGGTGGCACAAGTTTGCAGCTGCGTGAGAGCTCGATGCAGCAGCTCCAGTATGAGCCCTTTGCAGGCCTTACCGCCACCGGGCTCGCAGCCAAAGAGCTGACAAAGCTGAAGCAGGTTGGGATTCGATGCTCTTGTCTCGGGCTCTCTGGAAAAGGCGATACCCACAAACCGACATGTTCGAAATCCTTGGCTCAGCACATTAGTCCCAAAGGGGGCACGGTGGTATGGCTGTGCAATGCTGTGCGGCGATTTGTTGTTTATGCTGTTTTGCCATTCAAAAGGGAAGCCGGGCAACTTTACCGGAACGATGGCGTTGGACGCTGTAGGTCTGCACCAAAGATGATATTTACCGGCTCAAGATTTTTACGGTTAGGCACGAGCGTCGTGACTCTTTTTGCGGGCAACATCTTCCCACATTCAAGTTGGAGGTACTGCTTACAATACCCCAAGACCGCAATCTTGCAGGTGGCCGGGAAGCTGATGTTGGATCCCTGCGCGCTGCCCTTTCGCCAGGTGCTTCTCGTTGCAGCTTCTGACTCTGCTCCACATGCCATCGGAACCCCACAATTCTTTATAGCCGATGCCTGCAGCTCTAATTGGTTTTGAGTGCACCTTCTGGGTGGTATCAATCTACTCATGCCTGCCACATGGCTCGGCAGGTGCTGGTTTCCCGCAAAGCCCGGCAAAGCGAGATGAAGGGCTGGCGGAGCCCTCGCGCGGGCAGCTGCTATGCGCGCCGGTAGCTGGAGAAAGGGCTGCGCTGCGGGGACGTCTCACTCAGGTTGTCAAAGCTAAGTCTAGATTTCTCTTGGCATGACATGCCCGATTGGTGCGCCTGCCCAGGTTTCACTGGGGCTTCATGAAGGCCACGCACAACGTGCTGCGCTGCGGCTGGGATGCAACTGGTACAGTACTGACTCTTGACAAGTATGGTTTTCAATTGGCTTAGGTCTATGTTGCATACAGTTGCTTCTGTGTCCGAGACTGTGTGACTTCTGACATCGGAGCAGCTCAGCTACACAGCCTCAGGCGTTTGCTTCTACTGCTCCAAGCTGCTCGCGGATCCAAAGGCCTGGTTAGTTTTGGTGGCAGTCACGATAGTGAGCCCCTGAGACTGTACCTTTTGAGGCAAGCTGCCGGCTTTTCATTGAATTTTTCCACCTGGGATCTTCTGATGGCTGTTTGCTGCCTGTTGGCTGGTCCACGAGGATGTCAAGATGCAGAATGCCATGAAGCAGATCAGCAGGAAGAAGCGCCTGCAGGTGGGTATCAAGCCCCATGTCCGGCTATGTAAGTATAGTCTATAGTGTAACCGCAGCATCCCTCAAAGACACTTTCACATATTGTCACGAGGCTTCAGGGTGAGGAAATGCCTGCCCACGGGAGGCTGTCATGCTTTGCTGCCGGGCCAGACGGACATGCAGCGTGAAGCAGGAGGATGACGAGGCCGCCCAATACTTTGGTTCAGGCGTATTGTGAAGTTGCAGCGGTTCCAGAAGCCCGAGAAACGGCAGCACCCCAAACTCGCCTGTGCAAATCACCCTGGGCTTTGCAGGCACCACCCGGCGAGGGTGGAGCGGCAGGCAGCCACTGGGGAAACAGAGTTGAAGTCCGAGTTTTGAGGTAGAGGAGTGGAATTTGGTGCTGTGGTGGCTTCGGACCTTAGGGGGTCAGAGGCGAAGATTTTGGCAACTTGCCTGCCCCTCAAGTTTCTGAAGCACGCTCACACAGACCTCGCATAATCCCACATCATTCAAAGTCTTCTTGGCACCCTTTTTTGATCTGGCTCCCTTGCCTGCTTCCCAATGAATGCCAGCAGTCGAACCCGGCGCGAACCCTCTGCTCAGACGGCGATGTCTCCAAGTTCAGAGGAGGTTGCGGGCTTCGCCCCCGGACTTTTGCCCTCGAGATGCCTGGAAGCCCCTGGAAGATTTGTTGCGAGCTCAAATTCAACCACACACACCAGGCTCTGAACTGTTGTCAATCCGTGGTTGTGTTCGGAGCATCGTTGAGTCAGCCTCCCAGGTACCTGCAGCCTCGTTACTTCATAGATGCAACCGCCCTTCCCTCGGAATTCTGCGAGAGGCCCTATGGCTTGCCAAAGATCCTGCCAGATGAAATGTTACCAGCGCACTCTGCTCACGATGGGGGGGTTCTTACATTGCCCGTATTGAACTCGCGCCGCCGCCGGCTCCCAGTCTCACCTAGGTACTCACGCCCCTCTTCCCCTCCCCCCCCTCCCCCCCCGCCCCCCATTGTTTCGGGTCCTGACAGTCCTGTTGAGGCCATTGCAGTTTTGGAGAACTCTTGGTGGCCTGTTGTTTTTGGGGCCTACGAGTCTCTGGGGAAGACCAGCCCCTAAAGATCCTAAGCCCTATGACGCAGCAAGTACCAACTGACTTGGGGAGTTCGCGCAGTATTGCTGCCCAAGGTTTTGATGGTGTCCTTCCCGGAGGTGGAGGGCCAAGAGGCCAGTTGGCAGCTCCCAAAAAGCAGTTGCAACATGGTAAGAAGAATAATATCAGAGATGATGCATTCTATAGAATATTTGGTACTCAAATAGTTCATACCTTCAGGCATTTCAACAAGCGCGTGCTGGTTTCTGCTTTGCCTGTACTCGGGAGTCCGCTTTGCAGGCCACCGGTCAGGATCGAAAGCGAATGCTGCCAGCGGATGAGGCGCGTCACCGGCTGCATCCGCTTGGCGCTGGGTCTCTCAGCGTTGCCTTTTTGTTTTTCAGTGGGCTTGTGGAGTGCCCGTACCTTTTGGCCGGAGGCGCTGACCATCTTCAAGCGAATTAGTGACGCGCCGCCTCCCAAGCCACTATCGCGAGCAGAGTTTTTAGTACCGAGTAGTACAGAGTAGTACCGAGTAGTACCGAGTAGCACCCTGTAGTACCGAGTAGTACCGAGTAGTACTAAGTAGTATTGAGTAGTGCTGAGCACCAGCTGAGTACATGCACTTTCAAGGAGGAGCTAGGGGATCGGCCTCAGAGAAGGGTTCAGAATTTGGTAGAGCCGGATGTCTGCGACGTGATTAGTTCACGGAGAGTCCGGCCCCAGGGATGTGAAGCGCATGGGCTTCGACCCGGCTGCGGGCCATCATCCCAAGAGCCTGATCCTGGCCCCTCGGTTTAAGCTTCGGCTTGTTGGCCGCTCAGTGTGACTCTTTTTTTTTAACAAGAAGGACATTCGTATCCTCAAGAGCATGAAGAACCACGGGATTATCAGTCGGATTCATAAGCAGCTCAGCTCTCGGGAGATTTTGCATATCGCACGTCTATCCAGTTCATGTGACACGCGCTTCTTATTGTCTGTCTGTCTGTCTGTCGTGAGATTCACATACGCATTCATATGCATTCATAGAAGCCTCGATGTGTTTTTGTGCATGGAAAGTCTAGCCGTGCCTAGAAGACCCGAACCTGAACCACTGTACGAGACCTCTCCCAGAGCTGCGCAGACGCACCTGGCCATCCCCCCGCCCCACGTGCGGCCGACCATCTCCTTCGGTGCTGCACGCAGTGAGGACTCTGCACCTGTGCCTGGCATCCTTTGGTGGACTCCCCTTGAGTTCTTCGATTTTCGGTTTTGAGTTTTGAGTTGCGCCCTTCGTTTTGGTGTGCAGGGTTATTGAAAATGGAAAATGCTAAGGACCCGGCCCCAAGCACCAACCTGGCACACGGCTAAACTAGTTCCATGTAACGTTGGATAGTGCAGCTTTCAGGGGTCTCCACTTGAAGTCTGCTTCAAGAAAGACAAGAAGCTTCGAGCCTTCATGGACTCGTGTAGTGTTCCCTGTGAGTCCCACTCAGGAGCTGCTCATGTGTGACATGGCGTAGGTGGACCAGGGTAGATGCACATCTTCTGCACGCTGCTTGAACTGTCCGGCCGGCGCACCTCTCAAGTTGGAAGGATGGGTGGGTTTCATGGATCGCCGATGTGCGTGAGAATGGGCACTCAAAGGAAAGATCCTGACAACCGCACACACAGAGACACAAACAAAGGCTGCTTAGGAAGGGCTCGGTCTTGTGTAGGAATGCTTCGCCCTTCACGTACTGGAAAAGTCGACTTTCTTTACCCTCGGAGGTCTCTTCGGCAGAGCCAGCACTGGGTTCAGATTTAGACAGAAATATGCCCTCAGTGAGGCAGTAGTCTGTCCTTCGAATGAGCCATGTCACAGGATGACGGCAGGACTGGACAGGATCGGTAGAATCTGATATCCCCAATCTGAGGAAGGCACTGCGAGGCTTTGGAGGTGCCGATGCGTGGAAAGCGCGATAAATCAAGATACCCAATCCTCAGCCCATCGCATCCAATCTCAAAAGTGAGCTTGTTCCGCATATTGGAGGATGGACGACACGCAGGCCGTCCAGTTGCTGCTCTGAGAGGGGCCCGGGGGAGTAGACATACACGCACTCAAGTGCCCAAGTGCTGAGCCCCCGCAAGTCTCCCGTACATTCCTAAAAGTCGAAAGCCACCGGCTGTGCCATGAAACTTCCGTGTACACACCAGATGTGTGAAATTGCTTGCGAGCTTGTCCACCCGGTGCCCGAAGTGCGTGAGAAGCTCTCGGGAGCATCTGGCAGGTGGAGCTCCGACCCGCGGTGGACCTGGACCTGGTCGAGGCTGCTCCGGATCGTGGGCCTCGATAGAGGAAAAGCAGCATGAGACCACCCGTTACAACCCGCTACGCCCTGGTACAACTTGCTATAACCCTCCCCAACATCTTGCCATGGGCCGTGGAGATGTTCTTCTGCAGGTGGATGCAAGCCAACCCTAAACTTACCAACCTTGGCGCGGACGTGAGCTGAACACGTACACACACCCCGCGATTCAGACATGTCCCGCAGGCCCGCATCCACCTGGCGGCGGCGCAGTATCACAACAGCCTGGCCAACGGAAAGTAGCGCACTCAGGGTGCTCACCTTCACAGAAAATCTGCACCGACCTCGACGGCCGATGGCTAACCTCTTCCATTGTAATGCCGAAGTTTGCCGCAGAGCCTTCCCGTTCACAAGGCTCGTGCCACGTCCGCCAGATGCGCCCCGTGTGCGGCCTGCCGGGACCTGAAACAGAGCCTTCCGGAAATCGTCCGCAGCCGTCGAACTTCCTGCTCTGGAGGCCAGTGCGGGCGCGCGGCCGGCGCCGCAGGCTGCAGCAGGGCAATCTCAGAAACCTTGGATGGGAGTCGTAGAAAGGTATTCATTGTATTCTTAGAAAACGGAGCTAGGAATGAAGATGAGAAGGTGCGGAACCAGCGGGACCAGAGGGGGTTTCTGAGTATGGCTCTCGGCTCTTGTCCGACGTGTCGGTTATTCTGTCGTTGGATCTGCCAGGAGAGCCGCCTGGCAAGGCCCTGGTCGGCTCAGACGGTGCGAAGCAGTAGCCAGCCGGGAGCCCGAATGGGCAACTCCGGGAAGCGGGAAGGGGTACTTCAGCACTGGGCTTTGGGGAATTCCCCTTCCCCCCCTGAAGCCACCAAGCAACCTGAGGAAGGCGAGCTGCGCAGATCTAAGAAGCCCCAAGCTGCACCTCAAACCATCTCCCCACCCTCTCCCTTTTGAGGCATGGCGTTGTGCGAGACCTCCGCGCCTCCCGTGAATCGGCGGCGGCCATGGAGACGTTCGGCACAACCGGATCTGCATGTAAGAGTAGATGGTTTATCCCCCCCGACTGTTACTACTAGGCTCCTTAAGAAAACAGCTTGCGTGCCTTTCAGGCTTCTTGCAGTCAGGTTCTCTGGGATTTTCGGAGCAGTTGAGAGAGTATAGACCGGTTTGGAGTTAATCCACATTACCCGAGATATTGAGCTGTGACACCGTGTGTGCCTTGCACCACCATGAGTTCAGAGCGAAGACTTCTCAAACCTGTTGGAATGCCGAGGAATGCGACAGAAGCACTGGCAGGTGCATGGGTATAGCCTGGGCGTTTTTGGCAGAGCACGGGGTAAGCATATATCCAAGCACTCATGAAACATCAGCAACAAGCTTGAAGACCTGTCAACCTGCGACCGAAGCCTCTCCGCTTTCACTTCGGCTTACACGTCACTTCATCATCATGTAGATGGCGCGGATGCCGCGGTTGCACGGGCGCGGCCTAGCAATTGGAGACCACTGGCAACCCTACCAAACATGCCACAGTGGGAACGGCTCAGCTCCTTGTACTTTTGCTGTCGTGCAGCCATCAAGTGACTCTCACGTGACATCACGTGGTGCCGTCGCCATGGGGACGTCCGATCCTCAACTGGCCAAGGCCCCGCTGCGGGAGCTTGCGGGCTGGCTGTTGGAGCCGAGTGGTTCGTGGCGAAAACACATGGGAAGAGCAATGCTGGCTTCTAGCTATGGCAGGCAGAAGACCTCCTGCTGACCTCCGAGGAGCATCAAAAGGCCAGGTTTGGGTCATTGCTTTCTCCCTGTGAGATCCCCAAACCATCAGCCTCCCAATGAAAGCTACAACTCTTCGAAACTCTCTCCACGAAAGTCTAATAGCCCATCACCAAAGATGAGCCCCAAACCCCCATAAAACCCCACGGGCTGATCTCAATAAAGCCCTGGCTTTGAGGCCCGGCGCCTTGCTGAGGAGGCCCTGAGCGCAGCGAGGACGCGAGGTGACCTCCAGGCGGCAAGAGAATGAAAGAGAGAAGGTTTCGGATTCCAGTTGCCCCTTTGGGCCTGTTGGAGCTGCCGCTGGGTTTTTGCTGTTAGCTTCTGCTTGTTTAGATGTTGCTTTGGCTTCTTGGGTTTCCTTTCGTCTTGAGGGTCCAGGGCTTTGTGGTTTCTGGATGCTTTGAGCCTAAACCCTGTGCCGCTACGCCGTAAACTCTAAACCCTCAAGTGTCTGGGGGCGAAACGACGTAACGAGACGGGCGTTCAGGCACTTGCCTTGCATCCCTCCTTGCGTCCTGCCAGGCTCCCAAAAACATGGAAGATGAGATTCCACCCCTGTCGACGGCTTTTGTAGACGCAGAAATTAGGGAACAGCTCATGACCCACGCCTCGCCACACGTAGCTTCTTGAGAACCCGGTAAAAGACACCGGTGAACTCCCACAGGTTGCAGCTGATGCGCTCGGATCTTAGCAGGTTGCCGCTTACCGGGGCAAAGCTCTCCAGTTTTTGCAGTTCGGGGTTCAGAGGGTCTTAAAGGAGTCCAAACAGGGATTGCTATCAGAATCATGTACATGGGTGGTATAGGGGTTTAACAGCCCAAAACGAAGAGAAGGCCCGAGACCATGACCTTCTCTTGCCTCCTCCTGGATCTGCGCCCCAGGCTGCGAGTCATAGTCAACTGCTGCCGCGTTCAGGCGCAGCAGCCTCGATTCAAGGACCTGTTTCTGGCGGGGGAAAGGGGATGATAATGATGATTGATTGGCCCAACTGTGTCGTAGTCTGCGGTTTGTCATGATTTCTGAGATCGATCCCCCGACCACCACCCAAACCGAACCCGAACCGACACTCCAAACAAAAGACTGACAATCTCACAACCTGACTCTTGACAGTCTCACAACCTCACTCCGAACTTCTTTCGAGCATTTCGACACCCGAACCTGAACTCCCAACCCTGTGGTAATGTATTTGTTTTTTCAGTGTAGGGTTTTGACTCACCAGTTAATAGGTTCGGGAGCATGGCAATTCTTTGCAAGCAAAGCAAGTTACAACAGAACCTTGGAGGTCCTCCCTTAACGTCTCTTCATGAAGCCCCAGATCTGGTGCTCTGTTGCGAGGATGGGGCCGAGAAAAAGGCCCTCCTCGTAGAGGCCATGCTTGGTACTTTGTTGTGGTTGCGATTTCTCTCTCTCTCTCTCTCTCTCGCAGTCGAGGTAAGCTGCGACAAGTGGGGGTATGCAGGAGTATCGTGGCAATCAGGGTATTAGCATTGGCCGGGAAGGTTTTGAGTCTCCAAGGTCATGGAAGATGACCCATTGCTCCCGATCGTACGGAAAGGTTTCGGTCATTTGTCACCTGCAACCAACAAGTTCTCGTAACAAAGCGAGAGAGTTGACCCCTACGCTTGCCTGAGCCCGAACCCTCCTTCCTTTGCAAATCCTCATTCACCCCGATGTGAAGGCCGAGAAGCGGGCGAACGAGGAGCTCTCCTTCTTTCGAGACAAGGGTGACCGTCGCGGTGAGGCCAGGGGTCGATTTTGGTGGCTATTTGGAATGAGGCGTCCATTTATTGGAATCATGAAACAGCATCGAGCTTATTTTGGGTTGTGCTCACATGAACTCAGTTCAACCTTTGTGTGAGAATTGCAGGCCATGATGCTTCTCTGCGGCGCCGAGGCGCTGTTGGAGAGCCGAAGGCCAGGGCTTTTCTCTTCTGGGCTTCAGGGCCCGGCGGCGCGGAGTCCGGGGGTTGTCTTGGAGTCTGCGAGTCCTTGCTCTCCTCGAGTAACAACCCAAAAACTCCTAAACATCCTGTTTCCGTATCTCGCGCTTGTTCCAAGCAGGCTCCCGGAGGGCCGGCGCGGGAACAAGAAGCGGCAGGAGGCAAAACCTTCGCGTTTGATGTATGAGTACCTGCATGTACTTGCTAGCCTTCATCTGAGCCTGCATCAGACTTGATGTACCCGTGACACAATCACACAGGCAAGTAGGCACCCATCCACGCAGGGCGCACAGGCGTGCAGGGTGCGTAAGGCGTGCAGGACGCGCGCCGGGCTTTTCAGTGCGCGCAAGGCTTTCAGGGCGCGCAAAGCTTGAAGAGCGCGCGCGCTAGCATGCGCATGTGCGCATGCGCACGAACTAAATTTTTCCAACAAACCGCTGATGAGCAGTACTCCTCATGACAAAGGCCCGTGCGGCCGCGAAGCGGGCACTGGATACCTTCGCAGAGCTTGGGGATGACGTGAACGAGGCAGAGGGAGACCTTGTGGGGCTCGTACGGCTTTGTGGCCGGTTTAGGGTTGTTTTGCGTTTTAGGGTTTGAGGGCTTGAGGTTTTTGTGGGCTTTAGCGTTTTGAGGTTGAGGGTTTTGAGGTCACAGGGCTTCGCAAGGTTTGGGGTGTCTATTGGTACTAGGTGAAAGACGTTTGCCCTAAACGAAGAGAGAAGTTGACAACTCCCGAGGTGAATGCCCATCTCGTGCTGGCCATGGCCTCGCTGGCCCTGAACGACCCGGGCGAGGCATTCTTGCCCCTGTCGAGGACATGCAAAGGAGTTGAGCGGTGTGGAAAATTTCTGAAGAAGTTGGGTTCACTGTTGTAGAGGGGGAATCTAGAGGACGCCCGTTCTTTCTCGCCAGGTTCCAAGGTGTTGATGCATTATAGCGTCATGCACCACACGCCCCCAAGTCGTCATTCAGGCCTTGGCCTTCGCCGAGGGTGGCCTGGCACTGGCCAAGCGAGGGACGGATCGTCGGCAGGTGGGGCGTAGGGGTTTTTTCTTGAAATCACATTGACATGGAAGGGTTTAGGGATTTAGATGCAGTCTGGTCATTCGACTAGGTGGGAGAATCTAAGCACGCTTTGGACGACCTCCGTGGTGAAAGCCCGAAGCGCAAGAAACCCTAAATCAGTTCTGCGTTCCGATTTGGATGCTGTTTAAGATATTCTGTCTAAAGCAGAACGAGGCGTTGGGTGGGTGCGACGATACCATCTACCCTGTTACTGACCCATTGTTCTGACAGGAAGCACGAGCTTTGCACGTTTGCGCCGTGGTTTCAAAAGCCTCTTCGGTTGTTCTTGCTTAGTTTTGGAGAACTTCCGAGGATTCCAAAACTACGGGTCTTCTTCTGTCCTTGTTCCTTGATGTGGAGTGGAGCATATGCAAAGAGGTCACATCAGCAAGTCCTGAGCAGCAAAGGTGCAATTGCCGTCAGCAAGGGACCGACAGTGAAGGATGCACTGGACAAGGGCCTTCGGTATGAACAGAACCTTGGCGGATTGTTTATGAGATTACCACCTCTGTCTCCTCACCTCCACCCCCGTGCCGTGAATATACTTCTGACCAATGTAATGAGAGGGGGACATGGCGAAGTTTTTTTAATCTGGGAGGGGGGGCTGATGTTTGCTCTTTGCGTGCTCTGGGCTGTCATGAACATGACGCGGATTGTCGTCCCACAGGGAAGCCCTCAGCATCCAGAGAAAGTTGGGCACTCCCAAACCACTGGCCTGGCAGTGCCTCTCTGCTGCAACTGGTGATTGCTCAACGAGCGCTCTACTGAAAGCGGGGTTTAGGGTTTAGGGTTTAGGGTTTAGGGTTTAGGGTTTAGGGTTTAGGGTTTAGGGAGCATCTGCCCTTTCGAGCACGCACGTCATCGGATAACCAGCTTCCTTTCACAGTAAGTCTCACCTTCTGCCCAGGCCACTACGTAGCCAAGTGGTACCTCATGATTGAGCGCCCACGTGAAGCGGTCGCTCCGGCCAAGGCACGGGGCTTAGGGTGGACTCGGGTGGACCTCCGCTTTGTCGAGGAAATGTCGTGTTTGCCCCTGCACAGGAGAGTGTCCACATCTTCCAGGAGCATCTCGGCTGCTTCAGAAACCTCTTGCCCGCTGTGGGCGGCGTGGACGTACTCGTGACAGGAAAGCGGCAAGTTCTCAAGGTGTGTGTGTGTGTGTGTGCAGCGAATGCAGAGCTGGTGTTATCACCCATCACCCCGGAGCAGCTGCCACTGTTAACGAGCTGGCCCCCAGGCTGCGGACAGACTCCGGGGCGCTTCAAGAGTGCCAGCATACGCTCTGCAAGTCCATGGCCGCTTGAGCAAAGGATTAGCAAGCTGAGTCTCAGGCACTGCTGTCCGTAAGCGATGTAACCCCATGTAGAAAGCTTTCTGCATGAAGTCATGAAGTGATCAAGCAATCGATCTGTGGCTTGAGAAAGCCAAACTGACCAAGGTAGGGGCTGCAGACGTGAAGGGCGCCTTGCGCATCGCAAGGGACCGGGAGTCTTGGGAGGGCCACGGTTTCTTTGCCTTCAAGCCCTCGGATCCTAAGCTCATAGCATCGTGCAAGCCTAGATAATTGGAGCATCCAAGCCACGCCTGGAAGCCCCGCACCACAACCTCGGAATGGGTGGACAGAATTGTAAACGCTTGCGCGGGCCGCCTCGGCAGCCGGGCCGGCCCAGAGCATGCAGTATGCGGAGATGACGCCTGGAGGCGCCCTCTAGGGGGGGTCCCGTCCCACGGGGGCAGGAAGGGTTGGTTGGGGGAAGGAGCAGGCACAAAATGCGCTTATCGGCAGAAAGCTGACAAGGAGGGGGAGAAGGTTTTATGAAGGTTTGAGGGGTTGGACAGGGGTTCAATGCAGGGCGTTGCAAGAGGTCTAAGTACTCCTCCAAGCGATCGGGGGGGGTCCCACAGAGCTGGGGGCGGGGGGTTCGTCGGGGAAGGAGACCGGACGCTTCTCGGCAGAAAGCCGAGGCGAATGTTGTCGTCCTTTTTTGGTCTCTGACCCCCACAGCTTCATCCGGCAGGAGGCTCTCGACGAGGTACGAGCCAGAGGCGATCGCCGGTGCGAGGTGCCGAAATCAACCTTCCTAGGACTCAAAAATCCTGGGTTTAAGGCGGTGCGCTGTGTGGATTTGGGGTTTGAGTCATGCGCGGAATTTAAGCAGAGCCAGGGTCACAATCAGTCCACGGAAAAGTTTAAGCCTTGTTTCGGAGGGGTTTGATATGCTTTAATCGGTGCAGCAGACGGGTGTAGTGAAAGGCAGAAGATTCTACTGTCAAGAGAGTCAGACAGCGGTCGGCATCACTGTTGAGGAAATGCGGCACCACAGAACCCTTTGCAGAAGCATGCAAGCACAATTCCATCGGCAGGTTCTGGCTCTGGAAACCTTGGCTGCTTGGCCAACACTACGTTTTACTTCGGACATCCCCACCTTGATCCTCGTTAAAAGAAAGAACGCATAATATGCTCAAACAAAGACACATTGATTTGCATACGCTTTCTTAGTATGTGCTTGCAACTGGGTTGGGCATTCCAGGGACACTTTGGGGTTGGGCACTCCAGGGACACTGGGGGTGGGGACTCCAAGCACGCTCTGGCGTTGGGACTCGGGTTGGTCACACCCAGAAACTCTCTAGGGTTGGGCACTCCAGGGATGAGCGAGGAGTAGACCGGGCGAGGAGAAGAGTTCCGGGCGAGGAGAAGAGTTCCCCACACCGAAGGTGGGGAATAATTTGGTAAGTATTCACACAATCATACTTATATACGTCTCTCTGCTAAACCACTAGCGACCTACCGTATTTGACGTTTCGATATGAACGGTCTGATGGCGAAGCGTTCCTTGTGCGGAGCATGCAAGCATGTCTTTGAATTCATGTCCAAGCGTAGGGTGTTGTTGTCACTGATACCGGCACCGCGCAATGAAGGACAGCTACTGGGACACCCGCCTCGCAGGCCGATAAGCCAGCATTGAATTAATCCATATCTGTTGAATCAATCTCTCAAGGCGATATAAAGAGGACAGTTTCGATTGTTTTTCGATTATTGGGTTCTCTCTAAGCAAACTTTCTTGGCAGAATGTGTTTTGTCGAGGCGAACGATACTTCAACGAGACGAATAGCGCTTTTGCTAGATTAGAAACGAAAAGTAGTTTTTCCTACTGAAAAAGGAATTATTCGGTGCATTCTACGTGCTTCCGCATTGTAGGCGAATTGAATGTGAATGAGTACTTTCGAATACAGCTAAACCATGAAATAAATATGAATGAAAACACCAACTAGGCAAGAACTAGTGGTTTACAGGCAAAAAGTGCGTTGTGCCAGACAAATGAATTGCTAGGCAAAATCTGCACGCAACATGCGAGTTCGGTACTCCTGAAGTACAAGTTGAATTTCTTATACACAACTAAAATGTTCCTTGAATACGGCATCACATACGGATTAACAAATAGAGCATGAATTACATAGCCCCCGTACGAGTAGTCGTATACAAATTACCAGACTACTTGCAAACAAACGCATATTACTCAATACTTCTAAAGTATTTGTGGAAAACAGTATATTTCAATTGCACACTAATTGAGTTTCATCAGATATTAGATGCCTGGACATGCAAAAAAATGCTCAGAACCACCTACCTAGCCAATCACAACTGTTTTGCAACGTTTGCTCAATGAAGGCCCAGCAGGATGAAAGCCCACAAATCCCAACATCCAAAACATTTTGTCCCGGCCTTGAAACGAAAAAGAGACGCCGTGGAGGCTCGAGTGTTGCTAGTCCTGCGGTGCTTTCGAGCCTTTGCGAATCTGCGCAAACTGATTAAAGATTTCCTTCCATGGATCTGCTATTTCCTTTATTCTAAATGCCTAGTACGTTCTAGGGCTTGGTTTATATTTTAATAAAGACGAAAAAGACCAAAGTTAAGAACAAAAGCAAAACCAAAGCACCAAAAACAATTTTCCAGGACATTTCCCAACTGCTCGAAGGAAAGAGTTGTGGAACAGACCCGGATATTTTTTGTTTTGGTTTTGGTTTTTAGACTTTGTAGTTTTGACTTGCGACTTTCTCTGTGGTAAAAGAAAGAAGACCATTGAACCGCCAATCGCTGAGACATCATCTATTCACCTACTACCCGTTACTACCTTGTGGCCCACAGGACGGTGGTGTTGGAGTTGGAGTTTCTTTGGCATTGGTGAGTGAGGAGGATGGTTGGGCGAAGGGTGCAATCTAACGACGTCGAATTTGTATTGATTCGTTCTAGATGCCAAGCTGCTTGAGATCTTTCACGCGCCTTTGAAAAACTTGGCCCGACATCATGCGGGCAAACAACGCTGCCTGAAAGCATGCTCAGTTCCGGACCCAGATAGCTTCGCTCTCTTCGCATTTGCACATGAGCCCAGGTTGCTGTGCACCTCGAGGCAGATGCCTTCTTCGAGAGCGGCGATCTGCAGGAGGCTTGCGGGAGAGAGGTTCCGAGTAGTGAGGCCCGACGCTTTCTCTTGAAGGGTGAGTGGGATCTGCCCTGGCAGAGGCCCGAGAGCTCAGTGGGCAAGCGTACGAGATCTGCCAGAGACTGGAGGTGTCGGGACATGTCGGGACATGTTGCGAGCCAGTGAGCACCTTCGGTTTTGCCATCTTGGGAGGATCCGTTCTGAGCTGAGCCAAGATGTGCAGCATGCAGCCACATGAGAGTTCCCAAAGGCGCATCACACGGCAGGACAAGAGATGGGAGGCCACCGCGCTGCACAGCTCAGCTCAGGCTTGCCTGAGGCGCCTTTGCCCGCATGTTGGCCCGTTGAAAAACTTAAAAGAACCGGGCCCGCAGCCCATTTGGTTAGGGAATTTAGCTCTCCGCCGCCCAGGCTTCGACTGCACGAGGAGGCGCTGACGAAAATCACCGAGAGCTCGACCATACTGGACGACATGGGCGAGCATGCTGAGAGGGCTACAATCCTTCAGAGCCTTGGCGAGAGCGGGAGTAGACAGAGTCAGGAGGCGAATTTAGTTGGGATGATGTGGTCGGCTGTTCGGCCTTTGCACATCTTGACATAGCCGAGAAAGCCGGTTTGGTTCACATCTGATCTGAGCTATAGCTGGAAAGGAGTTCATCACTGATTCTAAGCACCACTCTTGGTTCTTCGCTGACCAAGGACCGCCCTTGAGATCCTCATGGCCAAGGCAGGGAGAACTCAGTTCCCTGAGTTTGCGGAACCTGGAAGTGCCCCAGCAAACGATCCTCTTCCCCCTCTTCCCCCCTAAACCCTAAACCCTAAACCCTAAACCCTAAACCCTAAACCCTAGTAGACTCAAAGACTCCCATGAGCTGAATCTGCAGGGCGATGGCCGCGCAGCCCTGGAGGCCCGTCTCGAAGGGTGCTGGCTCAAGGGAATGTCGGAGGCTTTGCGCGTGGGAGTTTGCGATTAACAGGGGGGGTACCTTACTGCGGTCCTGTTTATAAGTTTAAGGGGATCCTACCATTTGTGGTCAATGTTAGGGATCCCCGATTTTCGTAAACTCCCACATCGTCGCAAAGGTCTGACTGGCGTTCCAGTTCGTGCCATGCCTCGAGACTTTGGTACTGAAGGCACCTCGCTATGCCAGGTTGCCCAGGAGATTCGGCGGACGACCAAGGAGATTGGAAAACGCTCCAGGGAGGCCTCCGGGGGTTCAGATGGGTTCAGGGATTTTAGGGATTCGGGGATCTGCGCAGGGCGCTGGATGAACCGAATACGGTTTCTTGATCTTTTCCTGGCGGCCAAAGCGATCCCATCGTCCCGTCCCGCTGGGCTCTGCTGGACCTCCTTGACAGGCAAATGCCATGCTCATGGAAGCGCAGATCCAGCACACCTTAGGCAAGGCTTCAGCTAACTCTTGCCGGGTTCATGTTGAACTGTTGCAAGGGGCATGTCGAGGTCTTATCATGCCTCGGTGCCCTGTGATGCAGGACAGTTCGATGCGGCAAAGCGCCTGGCACATGAAGCCCAGGTGGGAGGGGAGAGGCTGCCTCAGGAGCTTCAGAGGTTGGATCCCAGATTCCTCTCTTACTGGTTGAGCAATGCGTACCTCCATGGAGTGAGAAGCCCGAAGTCCGTTGACGTGCCAGGAACATACTGCAACACTCCCCGCCTTGACAGGTGATCTTCCAGCAGATCGGGGACAAGAAGGGTGAGGTCCGGGCTTTCGACCTCGTTCTGCGGCCCGTCGGAGTTACGGCCCATTGCTCTGGGCCCTGCAGGTGGACAGAATCCTCGGAATCCTCGAAATTCCTCGGAATCCTCCCTCATTCAATGCTGAACTTTTGCTGAACCTTTCTCTCTGACAGGGCCTGAGTTGGAGCGTCCTGTCGGAAGTCCAGAAGAACATGGGCGAGAAGGCTTGGCCCATGGTTCGAGTTCCCGTGGCCACTTTGGCGGGCCTCTGAAAAAAGTCAGGCTGGTTCTCGGGCGTAGACAGGTTTTCATCGGTTTGAGCAAATTTGCCCCACTACTTCTTGCAGGTCTAGGAGATTCTGTGGCTGCCTACAAGAGACCATGTTGCGAGATGAAAGCACCTGAGACACTGCAATGGGCGCCAAAACCAGCTTTGGCAACAGGCAGACGCTCTGAAAGCTTGCCGCACCACCCAGACCCTGTACCAGCAAGTGGGCGACAAGAGATCACAGGCGGGAGAGAAAGTCAGACATCCAAAGAGAGAAGTCGTGATTTTGCTGTGATGTGCTTCGACTTTGGACCCAAAATTCTCATGACACGTTGTCTTGGTGAAGCTTGCCGGGCTTTTTGTGCGCACGAGGCATATGCCATGAAGTCCGGACCTTGGATGGTGTGTAGGGAAGATCCATGCTCGGAGCCCGAAAGATGTGATTCAGAGTGTCGGAAGTACGCGACGGCAATATGATGAACAGGCATGTTGAACTAACAAATGCGTGCTTGGACACCTTAGCTATTAGTTTGCCCAGCACAACGAGCTCGAGCTCAGGAGCAGCACGACGCTGTTCGTGGCGCAAAGCTGCGATGACGAGGCCAAATTGTCAGAGAAGGGAGCGAGAGTTTGCGCAAAGCAAGGAACCGAGCGCGACGACTTGTTCTTGCTCCGCCTGGTTTTGGCTCGAAGGCTGCATTGCCCTGACAAAGAACTCACTCTTGCGTCCTTGCGTGCTCCTCTGGATTGGTGGCTTTTTGGCTGGGGCAAGAGTGGCAGCAACCGAACCCCTTGGCATAGTCGTTGGCCTTTTGGTGGCATGTGGGGCTTCGGCAGTGGCCCAAACGGTCGCACTTAGTTACCGGCATTCTGGGGATGACGGCATCATCTCCAGCCTCCGGAGTCTGCTTGGTGACAACAAGGGGGGCCTGATGATCGACTCTTGAAGCACACGCAGGGATTTGCTGCTGACCCCCCCCCTCCCCTGTTGAAGGCGCCTGAGCATCTTCAGTGAAATTTTGAAGGACTGGGAAGTCATGGAAGCCTGCCCATCATGGAAGAAAGCTTCTTGTCCTTTCTTGTGACGTTGTGCTTCCTTGCTGCTGCTTTGCTTGCGTTGCCATTCCAGATAATCCGTTTGGCTTAACGTAATAGATCTCCATGAGGGCAAAGTCCGGGAACACCGGGAACACGGAACACACCTACTCTGTGGAGTTGCAAGCCCGTCCGACTGAGCAGCCCGTGAACCCAAAGACCAATCGTGAAGAAATGAGCATCTTCGACACCTTCGAGTCCCTGCGATGTAGGTCGCAACCCAGCCCGTTCTGACTCTAAGTCAGCGGTCGCACTAATTACTGGCACTGTCCTGGACAGCGGTGATGACGTCACCCACATGTGGATGGGCCCGGGTGGTCACGACATCACTGTAGTCAGCAGATCCTCGCCAAGGGGGGCATCCTTCTCACTACCTCGGCGGAAAAGGAGATTGTCCGAGAACGAAAGATGGGGATTTCCACATGACTTATCCAAAGTTCAATACGTGGCCCAGTCAATCCAGCATGACACAGAGAGGTCCTCGATCGTCTTTGCGCCCTGCTGATTGCCTTTGCAAAACAGCTGCGTCCAATAACCCGCGTACTGTTTTCTACTGCAAGCAAAACCGACAATGCCACAAGAAGCCACCACACCAAGTGAATCCATTCTCCGTGCTTGTATAAACCCTCGCTGCTGAGAATTTGTGCGAATTGTGCACGCTGCAAGATGCATGCTACCAAATCAGCATGGTCTGCCGGGTCTGCCGCATGAATGATACCGAAGCCTCGATCATTCCAAGATCAAGTGTCAAGAGCTGCATAGCCTGTCGGACAGGAGATGCTTTGCCTTGTTGCGCTGGATTTCGGTAAGGCGATGGAGGTGTCATGGCCTGGGTGACCGACTGCAAGCGGAGCTCGGACATCTGGCTCCTTCAAGCATTCGTGTCAAGGTGGTTGTTGGGCCGGATCGGAAGTACAGCGTGTGAAGGCGGTTCTGTCTGGGCATCCATGAGCTTGTTTGATCCAGAACATGTCTATCACCATGGGAGGAATATGAAAAGGACGGGGCCTGGCATTGTCCATCGCAAGTGCTTCTGAGGCAATACATTTCAACACGAGAATCTGTCTTGGTGTGCATGAACTATTTTCAATACATGCTTATCACCTTGGAATATGACAAGCAGGGGCCTGCTGTCCATCTCGTTTGCTCCTGTGGCAGAGCGGTGCAATTCATCACAAGAACCCTTGCCGATGACTTTGAGCTGCGAGTCTAGGAAGAAGATGGCCCATGGTCCCATGGTGCTTGCATATAAATGTTGTGCTCGCTCTAGTTCCTTGGCCTCGCCCTCCCACCGGGCATCGTGTAAATCGGGGCCAACATCAGTGCGCTGGCCATCGCATGCCTTCGGTGGCAGACCACATGGCTTTGATCAAGGTGTAGACACTCGTGATCCTTAATGTACCTAGCTCCCTCTTCTGCAAACTGTGCCAGGCAGTTCGTTCCGCCAATGAAGCACTGCACTCAGCGTTCGCCAGGATTTGCAGGCTGAATTGGACAGATCATTCTAAAACATCCGGTTGCGCAGTTTCAAGCTGGCGTTGGAGCGTCGGTACTCTCGCTTGTCCATTACCTGCTATACCTGCAGCTCAACTTGCTCAATGGTTGACCTATTCGACCTCTAACTGCAACTGATAAAGTTCATTTCAGAAGTTCATGGAGGATGTCGAGCGACATCAGGCCTTGACCCTGGCACGCGCCTCTGGCGACACCAAAGCTGAGGACCTGGGAGAGGGAGCGTTTCGAGGGTTTCGGAGAGTGGGGTTTTGGGTCGAGGGCATTTAAGAGGCTTGCTTCTTGTGCTTCTCCCGTTGTTTGCTTGGACAAGCAGAGGCAAATTCCATGGTGCTTGTCCTGGAAACATACCTCACCCTGCAACGCATCAAGAAACTCCCAATCGCATCCATGTTATAGTGTATAGGCTTTGCCGAGTGCACCGCTGAAGTTTTCAAAGCCGGTCCTTCGGAGGTAGAGATGCTCAACTTGGTGGCGCAAGCCACGCTGAACAGCATCATCAAGCGCAGCCAGGCATATGTGCGGAAACAGCTGTGGCTGCTGCGTCTTCTGCCCACTGCCCATCCTCAGACTGGGACGTCTGTCGAACCCAATATTAGACACTGCGGGCCGAAAAATCCTGAAGCCAAACCGGAAACTGGAGGAGATGCAAGACGAGGACGCGATCGTTCACATCATGCAGAGGGAGGTTGGGCTGAGGGTGGAGTTTTGTGTGACACAAACACAAATATTCTCAAGTAGTCACAATGATGTCGCTCAGGGTTTGTGGACATCGACAGTGGTTGCATCAAACTTGTGTCCTTCATATGGAGTGCTAGCTACTCGTACTTTGTATTGTGAAGCTGTTCGCCCAGAAGGCCTCTGCCGTGCGCCCGGCACGCGAGGCGGCTGCGCTGGCGCGGAAGATGGGGGACAAGCAGCCGCTCCAATTAAATGCACACGTGGCCCTGCCACATGTTCGGTTCGGAAGTGGGTGTTGGCATTTCATGCCTGTGGCAGTTCATGCCAGTGGCAGTCTCGAAGTCCCGCCTCGGTCAAGGACGTGATCTGGGGAGTGAATGAGTCAATGAGCATGCCACGGGTTAGGTCTTTGAACATGTTGCGCCGCTGCACTAGCCACGAGTCCGTGTAGAAGCCCGGTGCATCGTGTCCGACAAATATGGTAAATCCGGTATCATGTAATCGAATTTATCGCAGCCCCAAGGATGACCGGCATAGCAACGTCTCTTCGCGGCAAGACGGACTAGGTCGAAGGATTGGGTTTCGGATGCTGTTTGAGGCGCTGGGGTAGCACCACGGCGGACCGGGAACCTGGGGTGACACAGTAACTTGCAATTGAAACGGTGTGGCAGCCCGATTGTTGCTCTGACCGTAGCAAAGGCTAGTATTGTTGATGTCTCATTTGCACTGTCCATAGAAGCTGTGTGAGCTGCCGTTCTCAGTGCCGAATGTAGGATTGCACCAACAAGAACCGCTCAAGCAGTGAAGAGTGGCAGCAAGGTATTCCGTGGCCCAGTGCCATGCTGTTGCGGGGCGAACCGGTGCTGCTGTGCAGGCACCTGTGCCAGGAACTCTCACTCTGTTTCCCAGCCTTCTGGCTTGCGACAAAGCCCCGAACGAATCCGCACCCACGAGCATCCCCCTCTAATCCCAGCCAGTGCAATCCATGGCTCACGAAAGCTCCTCATACAAGGTCTGTGGGTGTGGCATGGCCGTCTGGTGTAGTGCCGTCCTGCAGGCGGCCACGGAAGCGCGAAACCTTTTCGCCCAGACCTGGGACAGGCTGCTTTTAGTCTTGGCCTGGAGTGGAGACAAGCCACTGCTCAGGCAAGTTCAGAGTTCCTCTGATTGCCAGGCAAGGTGAGGCGATGGCCATCCTGATGCTGGGCGAGAGCTCGGTGTTAGACGGAGACATTCCTCGCGGCCGAGAGTTCACGAAGGCGCCACGACCCACCATGTTTTCCAAAGTTGTCGAAGGCTGCCAGACGCATTTCTACAGTGCCCGACTCCTAAAGATGACGATTACTTGCGATCACCAGCTTCACCCCACTGGAAGGAAGCCTCTGAGCTCTTTGCCAGCATCAATGACTTCGAAGGAGTTGAGAAGGCACTGGGTGCGCACTTGCGTAAGTTTACATCCATCTCAACACAGGTACAGTAGGACTCCGCAGTGTTTGCCAGTGTTGTTAAGATGCGAGTGAGACAGAATGTGAGCAACGTTAGATGAGATTACCGGTGAGTTGCCGCTGCCGGGTGGTCTTTGATAGTGTGTGTGTAGCTGGTCAGTGCATACCTTTACAAAGGTCGTTGGGAAGATGTGCTGTCTGTGCAGGCAGGGCGGACTCTCCAGCAAATCGAAGAGATCGCCGTGTCTCAGGCCTGTCTAGTGTCTGGACACTGTCAAGGCCGTTTGTCGATGCATGTTGGTCCAATCCCGCTAGTACGATCATATGGCGCACTCTGAGTAAGGGCACTGACGAGGATCGTCGTTATCCAAGCTTCGACGCCCAGTGCTTGACTGCCTTGCTCAGGGCGCACATGTCCCTTCGCCGGAGGCGAAGGCACCCTCGCAGGAGGCTGGTTGTTTTCGGTCCTTACACCATGCTCCTTGTCGCCATCGGTTGATGGCCTCACAAGGCTGCTGGGCCCTCGCTGGTCGTAGCCAAGCAGCCGCAGATGACGATCGATAAGGCGAGATTCTGAAACTGCAAGGCTCACAGCCAGCTAGAGTACGTGTATCGCCCCGAATCATGGGAAGCAGGAGCTGAGCTGAGGCAGGCACTATCGGATCGCACGCCCCTAAACCCCTCCCCGTAACCCTAAACCCCTGCAACTCCATAGAGCCCTGAATTCAAGCAGGGGACCCCGAGTCCCCGAATCCAGAGGCGCGGCAGCTCGCGATGAGCTGCGCGGCCGAGGCCCGTCCTCGCTGCGGAGATGCCTCTCCATCAGAGGTTTTGATACTGGGGGGGTTAGAGGTGTAGAGTTTCGGGGTATTCAGTGTTCAGGGGTTTAGGGTTCAAGCCCCTGTTGCTATTGGGTATATTGCACAAGAAAGTTAACCCGGCCATGCGAGCCCAAGGTTCGAACGGGAGAAGAGCCCAAACGCCAAAGCCCCTAAGCTCCCAGACTCTGACGCCAGGCCGTCGGAACCGAGGAGGCCATTGCTTTCGACGCTGCGTGGGTTGCACCTGGCTGCGCGTGCAATGAGCCACACGTGTTGCAGAAGGAATTCAAGAGGCTGATCCCCCTCTATCTTGTGTTGCCAACGTGGGGTGTACTGAGCGTAGCGGTGCTGACTTGCACAGGCGTCATGCAGAGATCGCCTTTATGCGCATCGTCTTTAGGGTCTCGTAGGGCTTTTCCTGTCGGAATTTTTCGGGGAACCCCAGCCTGGCTGCTTTCTGAACTGATCCAAGATCCTCTTCAATATACCGGGCAAAGCTGGACTGTCCAAACTTTCCCAATGCATCTGAGGATGGATTGATGGACATTGGCTTAGACAGCCGGGCTGCTCAGTTCTCTGCTTTCCCCAACAGTCCACCATTCTCTTCATGGGAGCCAGGAGAGCTGAGTGCAAAAGAGTGATCAAGGAAGCATATACCTTTTCCCCAAACAGTGCTTGTACATGCTTGTACTGTGTGACATCTGCTGCGCCCATCTGCGCCTACCTTCGGAGCAGAGGAAACCGACAGGTCCTTCCCGTGGCTCGCATGCGCCCGCGAATGAGAAACCAAGTCGGCGACCCTCTCGGTGTTTCCGCATGCCTTTGACGCTCTCGCCTAGGCGCGCAAGGGCCCGCGGATCCGACGACATCCCAAGTACTGGTATTTTCCAAAGAAGTATTCCTGCACTGTTTGGGGTCGACGCCGGAGACGATCGTGCATGTGTTGCACGGTTGAAAGGCTCTCTCTTTTCTGCTACATTTTTTCGGGAGTCATGTACCCCGAATATAGATCCCCAAATAGTAGGATCCCCTCAAGATGAGGACCCCAAGAATGTACCCTGATATCGCCAACCCCTCCTCAGATGCCTTTCAGGTCTGGCAGCCATCGCCTTCCGGGAGACGCTGTCGCGAGAGTCGGGCCTGAACTTGCACCGTGGCCTCAAAAGCGTGGGAAGAATGAGAGAGATGGGCTTTCTAAGATGAGAAGCAGCCGCTTCCTCGATTTTCTTGAGGCCCAGCACCCTGATCTTCGACTATCCAAACCTAAGCGCGGTGGCCGCGATGATGGTGGAATCGAGTGCGATGCTTCCTGGCATGGAAGAGGGGAAGCTCCTCTGTGCACGAAGCTTACCAAGCCAACAAGCTCTGCCACGTTGAGTAAGGTGAGCCCATCAGTTTCGCACATTTGAGCCCGGTCCTCAGATGTTTCCGTCTCGACGAGTTCCGGGCTGAGCACTAAGCAGGTCGTTCAGGTATGTTCAGGGTGTGGCTGCCCAGTGCGTGTACAGCAGGGCAAGGAATGACCAGGCTGTCTGGGGTTGAGCGTGCGCCGCCTTCAGAAGTAGGCATGTGATGCAGGCTCTGGCTTCAAAGAGCGTAGAATGTGTGCAGCGTAGAAGCTGCCACTTCTAGCAGTGTGAGCAGTGTGTAGAGTTGAGCTAGTGTCCAAGACTTCAAGGGCACGTGGTCACATGCCTCATAGAAACTATGCTAGTCAATGTGGACCCTCCCGCACGCCCATCAGCATTTCCGTAGCCCAAGCAAGCCGTTGCAGGTGCATCTTTAAAGTGAGAAGCTGCTCGTCGGAGCTGTAGGGAGGGTGATTCGCAGCAGCCAGCAATGGGTCAGCCTTGCCGAGAGGGTAAACCCTCATGGATGCCCAACCTACACGAGTGACACATCCGGCCCCGGGGCAACTAGAAGCAACCCCTCATCCACTGCCTCGCTGCCTCGCTGTCTTCCGCATTCAGTTCACTGCGGCGTGTCGGAGGAAAAGCGAGAGTCGGGCTTTGGGTTGTGGAGCATCCGACATAGCAAACAATTGCACTGTCTGATGGTGGGGGTGTGGAACACAAGAGTTGTACATCCGGAACCTTGAGTTTCCTGGCGTGTAGCGTAAGACTCAGGGGGCCAAACAAAAGGTGCATGATGAGGGGTTGAGGTGCCTGCAACATAGTCCAAGAATCCACGGACGGACTTGACAAAGCTTGTAACAGCATGTAATGTACAGGGTAGTGGCTTAGTGCCCTCCACTTGGGGATGATTACTGTGGTGTCTTTGTCAAGTTGGACGCCCCCTCATTCAGAAGTTCAGATTCAATCCTGGCCAGTTCTGATGGGACCCTGGGGCACCTGCTGCTGTGATGCGCAGGGCAGCCCAGGGAATGGGAGTCAGGCGGAACCGGTTGGCAGCCAAAGCCCACTACGTCACTGCTGGGTCACTGAGGGTTGCACCAGCTGCAACAGCCATCGCGAATGTCGAGTCCAGACATGCTTGCGTCCTTGAACTACTACTATGTTGCGGGTTGTATCATATGCCTTGAACCAGGTTGCGGAAGCTAAGACCTTGCACTCGAATCTGCTCCCCACTTTCTCAAGAAGCCCTGAGGCCTCCAGGCGTCATCACCACGACACTCCAGGACATCGCGGAGATGCTCCGGGTTTCTGCGAACCACCGGACACGCAGGTGCCTCTATTCTGGGGGGTAATTGCAAGGTAAGAAAGGAGCGTGCTTGCCGTGAGAAACAGGAAGTGTCTTGGGGAAGTCAGGCAGTGACTTGAGAAGTTAGTAGTACCTTGAGGAGCGAGACCAGTGGTGAACATGGGTGAGGAATATGGACTACACTCAGTGGCTGTTCCAGGACATGACCATGCCTGGATTTTGAGGTTTGAATCACCCCCGGCAGGAGAAACTTGGTCAGCACTTCGCGGATGAAGTTCCTGCCGCGGTCGCAAGACTCGGTGGAACGACGGGGCCTGAGACAGACTGTCCTTGCCAGTCACGCGGACCTCCTGGACAATAAGGGCATCCGCTGAAAATCCGGGAAGTACTACAAAAGCAGGATGACTTGGAAGCTCCATAAGAGATCAGGGGTCTGCCGAACAGGAGCTTCGCCAGACTTCCAAGGAAAAACGGTGAGAGCAAGGGCCTTCAGACGTCTCGTTCGGGCCTTCAACCTAGATCCTCTTGCGAGTAGGACTCTCGTGCAAATGTCAGGACTCTCATGGAGTCCTGAAAATGCCTGATGCTCTAGATTCTACCAATGGATCCCGCCAGCTCCCAAGGTCTCCATGCCAGCATCATCGGGCGGAGCCTTGGCCGCTCCTTTGCCAATGTGATCGGGACCCAGACCGTCCTTCCGAGATCTGGGCTGACATGTGCGCAGCCAAAGGAGACTTGCAGAGGTTGTACTCAAGTAGCAGCCGAAGCTTTGTCAAGCAGGAGATCACACTTTCCATGAACCTCATTTGTGGGTGGTGTGTACTGAAATTTGCTAGCGCAGCTAAGCTTTCGTCTCCATCAGCATCAGCAGAGATGCCCAAAGGGGCTGAGCAAGCATTTGCTGACGTTTCGGGCAAAACACCCCCCATGCCTCCCTCCCACTCCCTGACAGGTCAGTGCACGTATAAGTCGGTAAGGGCATGCAGCTGGCAGCTCTCAAGTGGGCAATCCCTGATGAAACCGTGAACGTCTATCCAAGCAACTACTGTACAACAACTCACTGCAGCCTGCGTTGTCCTGCACTCCGATCTGAGGCTGCTGCTGACCAAGGTCCTGATGGCCTTCAAGGAGGCAAGCGGTTGACGAATGCCAACATAAGAGAAATGCTCGTAATCATAGTAATCATAGCGGTAAGAGCAATACTAGCAATAGTAGTAACAATTGCAAAAACAGAGTTGAGCAGTAGCAATGAAGGTAACAATACTGGCCTCGAGGGCCTCGGAAGACCCTTGTCAAGCAAACAAGTGCAAGTGCAAACAAGTGCAAGTCTTCCCAATGCTTCCCCCAATGTCTCTGTGGAGGCTCTCCATCACGGAGGCCTCGATGCACTGCTGAAACACCGCACCGGCCCAGATCTCAGTACTCAGAGCGCCGCCCAGAAAGGAGCAGAGATACTTCGCGACTTTCATGGCTAGGTGCTCACTGTTGAGGCGAAGTTTCATTCCTGAATGTCATGCGAAGAAGCATGCGGAACCAATCTTGAGCCACTTCTCACCTTCTCACTGCCTGGCAAGGAACAAGTATGGAAGATCAAGTAGATTTGACAGCAAAGCGACCCCGCAGAAGAGGAGAGCTCGCGAAGAATCACGAGTGTCAATTTCAAGCCCAAGCCCGAAGCCGTTGCAAAACATGCACCCCAAACTTTCAAAGTCTATGCTGTAAACCTGAAATAAAGCCCCTAAGCTCCCTCTCTCGACCCAACGCCCCTCCGTGCCGCACGGAGCCCAGGGCGGCTCAAAGCCGCCGCCTCCGCGCCGGACGCGGCGGCTGCGGAGCGCAGCTTCCGGGCCTGGCTCGGCCCTCGCATCAGGGAATCGTTCGCATGGGGTTTGTGTCGGCCCTTGGGTATAGTATAACTCTAAAGAAGGTATATTTACATATATAGTATACAGTTTCATATGTGTATTAGATGTATACTGTTTTGTGTGTTGTACATCTTCCTTTGGAGAGTTTGAGGGTCGAGGGTTTACTGGGCCCGTGGTATTGTCCATATTGTCCCCATGCTGGGAGGTTAGAGGATCTCAGTTGAAGGCTAAACGGCCAAGGACGGCTTGAGGCTGTACTGTTTTATGTTTTGGCTCGGGGTTCAACGATTGACAATTGGCATGTCTGATACCTACAAGTTCTTCCAATCTGCCTACACCCTAAGCCCTGCAAATCCCAAACAACGCCTTGTGACCGCCCCCCACAAAGGCGGAGCGCAACTGTGCTCTGCCAATCCCAACGGGCCGCGGAAGCTGAGATTGTGCGAGGTGCCCTGGGGATTTTGGAGGCAATCTCAGACTACTGCTCCACTTGTATTAGTTACTAGTAGGGTCTGCGGATCAGAGATGTCCTCACGCAGTAGGCTCAGTAGGCCAGGGGTATGCCATTCGTGTTTGTCAAATCCACCTGCCTGAACTATACCCATTGCGTGGATGCGTGTCAGGAAGAGCGGCATTGGTGAACGTCTGGAGCAAGGCGCAGGGATCCTGAAGCTTTATGAAGGAGTTTTGAAGAGGTTTGGGCCGAATTCACGTGAGGAAGAATGAACAAACAAAATCAAGAACGTGTCAAGCCTGGGATCTAAACGCGACAGATCGAAGACTCTTCAACGCCCCAAGCCTTCTGTGGACGCAGTTGCCGCTACTCCCCACCAGCAAAGCCCTCTCTCTCTTGTTGAGTTTTCGTGGCGCAGCTTCCTTTCAGAGCTTGGCTCCGACTGGAGAGCCAGGGCCGAGAAGACCTTGGCCGTGCTGTGGAGTCCATCCATGCCTGTGAGCTCAGCATCTTCCGAAGTGGTGAGCACTGTGCATATTGGAGGATGTTGTTTTTTTTTGCTGGTGTGGGTGACTTGTGGTTGTCGTAGTTATCGTAGGAGCAGAGTAGCGGCAGCAATGGCAGCGGCAGACCTTGCAACCTTGAAGCATTTTGATCAATCAGAAGTTGGAACGACCAGGCCCGACTCCTCCTTGAGATGATGGAGTGTTGCTTCCTGTGCTGGAGGGATGCTGTGCAGGGAGCTCAAGGGCGGGTCAGAAAGTTTCGAGGACCCGCTTGTCGCAGATCCGAAAGAGACAGGAGAAGTCTTTCTCTGCCCAGGCGGATCTTCAGCCTGGAGAGCTACGACAGCCACCTCTGCACTCTGCGCGAAAGGCTTGGGCTTGGAAACTTGGGGCTGGCTGCTGGGCATGGACAACTACGCACTTGCCTGTTTCTGAGAGTTGAAGAGCGCGCCCAATGTTACCGGGTAGTAGAGTTGTGACCGCCGCTCGTCGCTCCAAGACTACTCTTCCTTGCGAGGATGCCTGTGGTGCTCGACAGAGTTGCAGTGTTGGCAGATGAGGCACGCGGTTGGTCTCAGCAGGTATGTGCTTCAATTCCAATGCATCTTCTTCAGACCATCGAGAATTCTTGTCAAGCCATGAGTAGCTTCAGTTTGACGGCCTGGGTCTGCGCAGAGGAATTTGCGTCGCTCTGATGGCATTTTTGTTTGCCACTGAGCTGTATGTGAAGTCTCATGCCGTCTTGCATGCGAAGCTCGCATTTCAGCACCATCAAGGCTTGCTGACCTTTTGCCGAACCATAATTTGAGCCAAGCCCTTTGTCTCCTCCGTGCCAAACTGGAAGGCTCTTCTCCTGCAGCCGCCTCAGATCACAACATCTCACGTTCTGATTGCTTCTTA